CCTCCGCTTAAACGTCGACATTCTTTCTAATTATTATCATGAACACCTTACATTAGAAACATGACCTTCGTAATTATTTCACTTTACTACAAAGACGTTCGTGAAATACTGTTTTATATAATATAAAGCCCAGCAGCGTTTTGTTTTCACACATCGCTGATATTGGGTCAATAAACGTAATGGCCGTGATTGCAGTGGAAATCCGCCCGAGGTATTTTTAGATACAGTAACGGTCAAAAGTCAGAGAAACGAAGAGGGATCGCGAAAGTCGAAATAAGCAACTGTAAGTCACCATAAGCGTATCCATCGAGGGGCAAGGAAGTGCTGCTGTCCCCCTCCTAGATCTTTCTAAATGCTTATACAAATTACAAACACTTTTTAAAATTTCTAGAAAGTATTATTTTCCTCCTCTAGTTCCACATACAGGGAAAACCAAGTTTGACTGACGGCTTGAGTTCAATGTGTACGAGAGAGAAGCGCGAGAATTGTGTATCAACACATGTTAGAAAGAGATAGAAGCCGGGTGAAGAGCAAAGGTCTACACTGCCCAGCAACGGTGACGCAGAAGGTCGTGCTATCTGCCGCGTTGACAATATGTTACACCAGAAAATGTTCGCACAGGTTGTTACAATAGGTTAGATTACTGCCAAACCCAAGAAGGAGGTCTGTACGAACATTTAATTCAATATTTTGTTTTCATCTTGATTAGAATTATTTATTTCAACTTTGATGCGACTTAATGCGTTTTAATTTATTTTAGAATTAATTTTGATTTCCACCGATGGTAATAAAATCAACGCATCCTGAGTTATTTTACGACAACGCTGTGATACAAATTATCACTGCCTGCGTGTACGCAGATGAAGGCCAGTTACCCATAGATGGCTACTGACTAAAATCACTCAACTATAATCATGGAGGTTGAATCCTTGCCTTGGTGTGTACAAGACAAATTGTCGCGTCAGCGTTGCCAGGCAACGCAGTGATGAGCTTCGTTATCCAGCCAGCTTCTATCTCTTTCTAACATATAGGTCTTACATACTTCTCTCGAGCCGTCAGACAAATTTGGTTTTCAGAGTGTACAAAAAACACTCAATTGAATATGTTGTGTTGGATCCTTTGGCGTAGCGACTTCGACTACTACAGAGTTTTACCTCGGTTTGGCTCTGTAGACGTCATAGTCACTACCCAAAGCATCCAACATAACGTACATATATATTCAGAATCGCTTGACGGTCAAAAGATCATTTATATCATAAGTTGTACACTATGATTAAGTCATATCTTTTATATACGAGTAGGTACCTTCCATTGTGCACGGATATATTAATGATGCAAGACCCTGTATATAGCATTAACATTTACACATATCGCAACGCATTATCTTAGGAAGTCGAGGTTGCTAAATATTTATCAGCTGTGTATTGATTAAATTGTCGTTTTGAATATTTTATCGAGGATATTTCACCATCCAAAGAATAAATAACCTTTGAACGCATTTTTGGTAAAGACATGGCTGTGATATCATTAATCGATCTGAAAGGGTATAATTATCGGATACCGTATTGAAAAATTAGGGGATGTTTGAGTGAATATAATCAGTTTTTATTATTATTTATTTCATTTCCGTTATATGCGCGTTCACAGATGCGCGTCATATGATTATTTTAGTCAATGTCACAAAACTTTAAGTCCTTCAATTAAAATTCAGAGTCTTAGCGCGACGTTGTCACGAGCAATGTATATATATAACAACAAGTAGGAAAATAATGGGCAAAATCCGCAAAAAGGAGGAAAGTGGATTCGAGCAGAAAATAGGATAGGTAACCCGAGCGATACGTATTTCTGCTGGTTGGCTTCATCAGGCCCGAAATAAATGCACATATGAAACTACAAAAGTAGATACACATGCCCACACATCCGGATACGGGAGTAACCTGAGGAAACGAAGTTGGAGGGGGAAAAACGACACACGTTTCCTCAGGTTACACCCGTATCCGGATGTGTGGGCATGTGTATCTACTTTTGTAGTTTCATATGTGCATTCATTTCGGGCCTGATGAAGCCAACCAGCAGAAATACATATCGCTCGGGTTACCTATCCTATTTTCTGCTCGAATCCACTTTCCTCCTTTTTGCGGATTTCGCCCATTATTTTCCTACTTCTTGTTATATACCTTTCTCCGCATGATCATATTCTCTTTATATATATATACGAGCCCCTTCCCACTTCAGTTGGCCCAACTATTGAAATCTTAGTTTTTTTCTTATCAAACACAAATAATAAAAATGTAGCAGGGTGTTATAGGTTTAAAATATTAACAATGAATATTTTGATAATATATAGTAGAAAACACCAACTTTATCACTCCCTAATCAAATTTGCAGCATAAAAATAACACATGTTGCAATTACAGCATATCAACCTATTTTCATTTCAATGCAAAATAAGTCTATAATGCATAGGTGGCTGTGAAAAATAAAAGCCATGACAATTGTTTTTATTAATCACAGCTGTCAGAATACGTTTAAAATAGTTTTGGGTAGTTAAGGTTTTCAAAATGGGTAGAGGAAAAGTTATTAGTGAGAAAATTCGGTTACTGATAATTAAATTTTTTTAAGGAAATCAAACTCAGAAATTGCAACTTTGTTAGACTTATCGCGGTACAGTGTGAGAAATATTGTTAGAAGTTATAAGGTAACCGGTTCAGTTAATATTAAGCCACGATATGTGAAAAAAGTAATATCACAAATGCCGACCGAAGAGCATTAAGAAGAATAATCGTGAAAAACAGGCAAGCCAATTATTTATAATTAAGTGCTCTGTGGAGTGACGCTGTTGGAAGGAGAATTTCGAGGTCCACAACTCATAGAGAGGCCCAAAAACTGGGATTTAGCACTTGCAAGGTAAGTTTTCTTATAAAAAAAAGTGAAGTAAAAACCCTAAAGTTGCACAGCTTGTTTATAGGCCAAAGAAAAGCCACTATTAACTCCACTGCAAAGAAAAATCGACTTAGATGGGCTAAAGAACATAGACAATGGACACCTCAACAATGGCGTGCAATACAATGGAGTGATGAGACCCGATTCGAAGTTTGTGTTGGTGACAGTCGCAGTAGAGTTATTCGCAAAAAAATTAAGCATTCCATGTTGACTGTCTGAAGAGAAAAGTGAAATTTCCAGCATCCATTATGGTCTGCGGCAGTATGTCATCAAAAGGAGTAGGAAAACTTCATTTTATTGATGGAAATGTGGAAACAAACAAGATTTTGTGTGTCAGCAAGATGGTGCAGCGTGCCATACCTCAAAAAAGGCTATAAAATGGATGGAAGAAAATAATGTACCACTTTTGAAATGGGTTTCTCACAGTCCAGATCTGTCACCTATTGAAACTTTGTGGCACGAGATGAAAAAGGTTTTACGACAACATCCTGCTCGTACAATCACCGAACTGAGACAAAAGCTTCAAGAAATATGGGATTGTTTTACCACCAAATTTTTGCCAAAACTTGGTTAACACTATGCCGCAAAGAATTTCAGCCGTAATAAAAAATAAAGGTCATGTTACTCAATGGTAATCTTTCAATTGTTGCTTTGTTAACTTCGCGCATTTATTCGCACATTGTTTATTTGTTCAGATGTTCTATTAGTTATAGGTCTAAGTGATTTCAAATATGTATTTTTTACGACGAGAGTGTATCTAAAATGTTTTTGAGAAAATAAAATGTTTTAGAAGTAAATAGTTTCGTCATGTATATATATCAGACGATGCATCTGTATTTAAGGAAGTATTTGGGTTTGATCACAATCCGTAGAAATGCCTGAAATTTATAGTATGTTGAGTGTATACTCTATGGATAAATGTTCCTATGAAAATTGAACTAAATCTACATTCAATTCCTGAGATAATCGATTTACATTATTGTATATAGCTATACTTGAATAATTGGCGTTACATTTTTTTATATTTATAGCAACAGCTTCCTCAGGAGGTTGGGATCTTGTAAACACCTCACTCAATTGACACAACAATGTTCATTAGTCAGGTGGATTAATGTGAATAATTATCACAAAACTTACCTTTTTCCGAAAAAAATACTGTCAAATAACTTCGACACAAAGACGATGCACGCTATATTAGACTCGCACAGGCATGGAATAAAACAAAATGGAAACCGGTAATCGGGTCGGCTTGCCATTATGGCATTGGTCACTTGCAACACATGCGGGATTGGTCGAAAAATTCATCTGATAGATTCCGGTGGAATGTCCTTATCACGTGCCAGGAACATCCCTTTTTATTACCTGGTAGAATGTTACTGCCACCTGAAGATTTTATACCGTCATTCCCTAAAAATGAGTATTGTTAAATTGTTAGGAGAATATGCTTTATAGGTATGTGAACAGTATATATGCTGAGAACATACTTTATTAGGATATAAAATGCAGGTACATCCCAAGAACTTTATGTTTACTGACGTGAGCCTGCTATCCGCTATTCTTTTTAAACTCCGTTTCAGTTCAAAAAGTACATTGGGAAAAACAGAAACTTAAGAAGTAGTGAACGCCTGCAATTTTTGACAAATAAATCTCAAATCGATTTATTTTTCAACTTTGCCAGATATAATTTATAAAAATGAAGTTTAAATAATGCTACACATTAACTACAATGTGAAAGGTCGTGGCTGTGGGTTCTAGTCTGATTTCAAACTTTCAAAAACTTTTAGCTGCTTCAAATATTTATTAGATCTTTAATTAAATAGCGGTTCGATTTTGGGCACTATCCTCTAGCTTGTTAAACCTCCATGTTCGGGCCATACTCCGTCCACCCCGATTATGACATCTCAGATACAAACATATAAAAAATCATGAATAATGCAAACGAGGAAATATTCAAGCACTCTCTTGCCATTCAGAGAACTCATAGCTAAGGGAAACGAACCTTTCATAAACGGCCTAGTGAATATTAGCATATATGCTAATGCGAAACTTTCTTTCAGAGGGGCACAGAGTTCGGAGAAATCATGTTTTCCTTGAGCTATCTTCCGACCGCTGAGAGATTAACGGTTGTGGTGGTAAAAGCGAGAAACTTGAAGTTCTCCACTGACACACCAGGGGAAGCTTTTGTTAAGGTAAGATGGAGAGCGAGGGTTCATTGGCCGCTCCGTAAGCTTGGGAAATGTATGGCTTTCAATTTATCGCTTACATAATTCTGTGGCTTCGTTAAACGTTGGCGTCAGGGAGACAAATGAAATTGAATCAAGTAGACGAACTCCTAACTTATTATACATTTATTTTCGAGTTTCGTACATATAAAAGTTTTGAACCTCGAGCAATGAGAACGCGTTTTTTGGGGTAAAATGGATCTGATGAATATAGTCGACTAGAAAAAAGTTATACGATTTGTGTAGCATGGGCTCCTAATTCCCTTATTGAATCAAGAAATACTTCATAAAACACCTGCACATATAAAAACCTATGTTTTCAGTTTGCGGATATGGACACAAAATCCATCAATCAAAAAGAAGGATTTGGCGCCATACTTGAAGCATGGATATCACAGTAAATACTAAGCATTTTATTGAAAATAATAGTGTCACTACTTACTTGAAAGAGATAATTTTAAAAATAAGAATATATTTTTAACGGTTTTATCAATATGTGCACTGAATTGCCGAATAATTTAGTTTAACCACTGTCTCCTGTTTTGGCTTGAGCACTGTCTGTATCCGGCTGATATTTATTTTAAGATAAATATTTGCACTTATTCTTATCTTACTTATAATAAGGGTATACATCTAACGTATATTTCTTTATTAATATGTCAATATATATAATAGCCTACGAAAATACAAGTAAGTGCTTCGTTTTACAAGAGGTTTATTCCTAAACACTGCCTTGATCGCGCCAGCAGGATCTTCTTGCTATTTTGCTTATTATTCTCAACACACTGAGAAAATAAAGAATTGTTGAAACCTTCACCTAAGTAACAACCGATATTTTTTTCATTTTTCTCAGGTATTTGTATGTGTTTTAAATTCTTATATGCATTACTTACAAGGTATATACGTATATTAAGTTAATGACAGAATTCCTGAAATCCTCACCTAAGAAACAAACGATATATCCTTTTTTAAATTTTCTCAGGTATCTATGTGTGTTTTTAATTTGGCGATATGTATTATTTAGAAGGTAGGTATGAGAACTTGTTCCTGATTGGTGGAGATAGTGTGAAAGCAACAAATTTTGTGTTCGGTTACAAATGAAAAAATAGGTTTTATATCTGAACCAGGTGATGCACACCAATACTAAGTCGCATTCGTGGTATATCTGCAACATGAAAAATAAGTCTGTCTGGTTTCATAATGTTTGAACCGCTTACATGATTTGCGTTCATCATAAAACTAAAAACTTGGAATAAAGAAATTTGAAATTATTTTTACCTTTCTCAAAAAGTATTTGACTACATCCCAGAATTATCACAAACTCAAAAACCATGCAAATGGATACGGAGCTTGGAGGCATTGCGGAATTGTTAGCTTTTTGCTCATAATTCCGCTGCCACTGAAGGGATCTTAAAAACCACAATAATATCCATTTTTTGTATATCTTTCATCATTTCCATCGATCTGTGGTGTCTTTCTGCCCTCGTAACCTTAAAACGGCTGAAAAGTTTTGATAGAGTTTGGTGAGCAATATGATATAGTATCATAGCACAAAGCTGCTTCATATTCTGTGCAGTGTCGACAGAGTTATGGAAAGACTTTTGTATGTTTTGTAATAGTAAATTTTTTTTAAATGTACAAAAATCTGTTTAATTGGTCAAAAATATATCTACAATCTGTTTTTTTATATCATTATCTTGTTTTACACCTCTTGGGGTTAGTTCATAGTCAACTGTTTTTTAAGGGACACAATCATTCTGAAACTCACTTTTATTGTGATGCTGCTTCGGCCAATAATAACTGGGTGTTTCAGAACTATTTGAGTATAGGGACCCATATCCGGAAAAGTGTCTCTACGGCCCTAAGACGCGTTAAAATTTAGAAAGATGATTAATTGACTAAATAAGATTTAATGCATTTAATTTTTGCCTTTGTACATGATGTCAGCACAACAATTGTTCAAAATGTCTTCCTCCACCTGAATACACCTTTCCTGTGGGACATGTAAAGTCTTTGGTGTACGAAACTCCAGTAGAAACAGAGCAAGACTTAATTGGGCGAATTACAGCAGCATTTGAAATCATCCAAAACGAGTATCAAATTTTTAATCAGTCCGCCGCAATCATGTGCGACGTTTAAATCGGTGTATTCAGGTTCAAGGAAGACATTTGAACAATTGTTGTGATGATATCATGTACAAAAGGCAAAAATTAAACGCATTAAATCCTATTTAGGCAATTCATCGTCTTTATAAATTTTAACGCGTCTTAGGGCGTAGTGCCGTAGTGACACTTTTCCGGATATGGGTCCCTATACTCAAATGTTTTCTACTGTTACACCCTGCATAAAGAGCTTTTAAAAGCTCCCGCCCCTGTTTCCTTTTTTAAAACGGGTCAAGTTAGCAAGGCCGAAATTGGACACGTTGAAATATTGATGCATGATACTATATTCTACCGCCTAAGTGGCAGCTGGGTGCCAACGTGAAACGTTTCTTCACATGGAATGTTTGGTCATACGATACCCATTTTCAAGCTCCTTACATCTAAAAAATGTTCCAATATGGCGGGCGCCAGCCGCCATGTTGAAATTTCCAACTGCTATTTTTAAGTTGAATACAAATAGAATTTATACACCAACTTCGCCACCCTTGACCCGTTAAAGAATAAGCAGGAGGAACCTCTTTTTGAAAATAAATAAAATATTCTAGATAAACGGGGGAAAAAAATTAGTACACGATGTTGTTAACTGCATTGAATTTGTTTTTCAATTATCAATGATAACACTGCGTACTCTAAACCATAGTTTGCATTGGAATTGAAAAAGCAGTACACAAGTAAAATCCTACAACGTCATAGTGCCACCGCAAAGACTCATAATAAATTGCTGCCTTCTAAAGTTTTCTCATTTACGGTAACACGATTCATTCACGAACTTTTCCGCTTTCCATAGGTGTACCTGATGCATCAGAATAAGAAGATCAACAAGAAAAGACTTCGACAAAGAAAGGAGAGAAGAGTCCTATTTTTAATGAATCCATGATGTTCAGTGTACCTGCACATACGTTATCGGTAAGTATTTTCAAAGGTTTTCCTTACAATAATATGATGCAACAAATGCTCAGGCCTTTTAGGTTTCACGAATGTTGAACCACGACAGTTTTGTTAGTATAATCAATTTCTTTTTTTTTTTTTTGTTTTTGAGAGGGACGTGAAATAATATTAGGGTTTTATAAACGTACTTTCGTAAACTTCAAGGGATGATTCTTCAGTGGAGGTCCGTTAGACGTAAAAACATTAGGCGTATTCATCTTTAGTATTTTTCTTAACAAATCGTAACCTAGGTTAGGTTTCTTGTGAGTGCATCAATAACGATCCTCCACTGCGACCCTTTGGTCTATTGTGGCTCACATTTATTTAAATTCCCCCCAGTAGCTCCGACCTCCTGAGGAAGTCGTTTGTTTGGAGAAATATCCTTCAGGTCTTCTGCTTGGAGTACTACGTCTCCAAGTATGTTGTACCTGATTCTGGCAATTGCAGGGCATCTGCACAATACATGCCTGACCGTTTCATCTCCCTCCATGCACAGTCTGCACTCAGCGTCTTCCGCCATGCCCAGCCTGCTCATGTGGTGACGCAATTTGAATTAAAGAGTCTGTTACCTCCTTTGTCTAGATTGGTATAGTTGCCTTATCATGGGTTAACCCTGCTAATCCCTCCCACCTCGTAACCTTTGTGTAACTTGAAATTTAAAAAAAAGTTGATCCTTATTCGGAAAGACAGAATGTGGGACTGATGGAATCACAATCATATTGAATTATTCAAAGCAAACATCTGAGTGCCATATTTTGTCAATTTGTTTGTGGAGCTTTAAGCTATATCGCCACATAGACACGTTATCGAATACGAGTAAAAAGTAGCATGATCAATCATTTGTCGGAGCATAAATCAGATTATTGACGAACTTTTGAGGAAAGTGTTTATGTTTTGATTTCCATTACACACAAACTGTGAAACCTATACCTAGTACTTTTTTATTATGACATTAGGTATACCTTTTGTGATATCTGAGCCCGAGAGTGGTCACGGGCCAGAGCCCCGAAAAGAGCAAGGAGTGACATTTTTGAGAATAAATGCCTGTATCACAAATGGGGAAGAGAGAACGTTCACTCCCAGCTCTCACGACACACCAATCATCGATTATCCGATTTATTGGAATACCTGAGCGTCTAGGGGGGCACTGTATAATGAGAATAGTGATAATTTCAGGAAATAATGAGCAAAAACGAGTAGCCGAAAGCATAATGAGAAAAATAATTCCGTTGACAACCTACTGAAATCATTCACTTTCATATGTCTCAGACGTTCTCGAGGCTTCCCAGAGAAACAATATCGCGAATGTGGAAAGTTCGAATGCGTTTGCCACAATATCTTGGTGATAGGTTCACATTGGCGTGAATCTGCAAGAGATGTCACTATAGTCTGGGTCTAGCGGGTCTGATAGTTTTTTCTTTCTTTTTTTTCAGACAATCCAATTACGCTTAACAGTGGCCGAGCCACCGGTGGCGACCCCTCCGGGCGAAGAGAACGCCAAGGCGTACTCGATCGGTCACGTTATTGTGGGAGCTCAGGCGAGTGGCAGGTCGCTCAGTCACTGGAACCAGATGCTGACCGCCCTCAGGAAACCGGTCGCCATGTGGCATTCGCTCAGAAAATAACAGGACTTTCAATAATCCACTCCCAATAGTTGACAAAATAAGAGATAAACAAAAAGATAAAAGTCGAGACCACTTAGATAGGTAGGTGTAGCGTCAACAAGACGCTTCTGGTTTACTGCTGCAAAACATTGAAATCCCAACCACTCGAAAAAACTCTGGATGATAAAAACTTGAACAAGAGATCAATATTTAAGATGTACACATTCAACAGGAACTGTATAGTTTGAGTAAACCTGTTGATCATTGGAACGCAACTTAACTTTGATCGCGTCATGAACACTTCTGCGTATTTAGCTGGACAACCTTTTCTGCTTTGCTGATACCAATTGGACATTTTTCAGACAAAATACACACCACACCTATGAATGTCGCTCACACTGTAGCTATGTAAGTAGTCTTGAAAACCCAAAGATATGTTTGTATTTTGTGGCGCTGAATCCTGAAGTTGGAATCTTCCGATGTATTCAACAAAAATCTTATGAGCATCTGAATGAAATAAATATATCCCGATTCTCCTACCAAAAAAATACTCATATTTTCAAGATATGTACTTAAAAAATAAATAACATTCAGATGGTTGGTCGTCTGTTTTGTGTTTTATCATAATCAGCTCTTTTTGACTTCACATCTAAGTTTGAAATACATGAAAGAGCTTAAGCAACTATTTACGTTAATTTTTTGTGTTCTATGTTACTGAGATATGGTACTATGCTGTAGTTTTGATACCGCCATACCGACCTTTTCAAAAAGGTCCTCCCTTCCAACTTATTTATTGAATGGCTCAAATTAGCAAGATGAAATTGGGAGTGCAGAAATTGTGATATCCCATTTTGAAGCTCCTTATCCTTATAATCGTAAAATATAAATTTAATATCTTTCACAGTGCTCGACCGGTCGGCTCTGCCAAAGTTTGACGTTTTTGTACGCTGAATAACTCAACAACCAATCATCAAAATGCCATAGTATGTTAAATCAACATTCTTGTTAAGTAATGGTCTATTCGAATGTGCGACAGACTATGGGACATTTTTCATTTAAGAAAAATAAACCATTTCGGTATCCTAAGTTTCAGCTTGCTAACTTGACCCATTCAAAAAATAAGTAGGATGAACCTTTTTGGAAAGCACAGTGAAGGATACTTTGCCTATTAAAACAAATTATCCAATATGAACCAATTAACTCATATGCAAAACGTGCATGTAATCTTTTTCGATACTTTCAATACCACATCAACACTCTCGTAGAGATTAATATCTCTCTGAAGAACTGGAAATACGCCACTTGCTAACAAAAAATCACAAGCTACCAAAAATAATTAGAAGGACTAAACATTGTTTTCATGTGTATATATGTATATGTATACCCATATCTGCTCCTAAAAAGAAGCACTATACTTTTAATATCCAGATATCTTTATCCTTAAATGTAAATGTGTACAATCCCCCAAAAATACACCAAGTGTCATTACTTCCAATGTATGTGATAAAAATGTTGAAACCTGTTTGAATTCTATATAAAAAAATATGCAATCATATGTATCTAACCTGTTCTTATATATTCTACCCTGTTGAATATTTCTTCTTTGACAATAAATAAAAATAATATACTTTTACAGCTGTAGAAAGAAACGAGATGTTGATAAGAAATGTTACAAAAAACAACACAATAACATCAACTATAGGTAAAAGTCGATTTTTTTCTATTTTAATAAATTATTATGAACCTACGAGATTTTGCTGTGTCCAGACTGTGAATTTCAAAAGTATATGTTATGAGTGTATGTTAAGGTACTACCCGCCTAGAGTAGATTTGGATTCAAATATAAACCTATGTCATATATAGCCACTTGCAATAAATTGCAATAAGTATATGTGATTTCTTAATACAATGGAGGACTTTTATTATTTTAAATTCGAATGAACATAAAACATTAATCGATTATTACTTTCCTGGATAATAACAGGTGTTCTCCAGGTAAATAGTATTTTAACATTGATTAAAAAGTGAACTTTTCTGGCATTAGTAAACCAAAAATCACCAGAAATACATGTTATATTGGATGTCATTGGGAGAAGCCAATTAACTATGGATATGGACGACTGAGCGCATTATAAATCACGTATGTTTAAGAGATCTTCAACCTCTTATAACCAAAATACTTGGTGCCATACCAATTTTAGCCATTTCAATCACCCTGTACATTTTTTAACTCGGTACGCGTACTCAGTAGCTTATCCTATCGAATCGATTATAACAGGACAGACAAATTAACACAATTCTAAACTTACCAAAAATGCTCAAATCCGTTCTTGTCGGAAACAATACCTGAATTTGCCTTCCATATTTGCAAAAAAAAAACACAAAAAGATCCGCCTTTGGTATATCCCTATCTCTCAAATTTTCATACACAGTACGTTACCACGACTATCACATAGCCGGAGCATCATAGGCAGTGTAAATGGCAACATTGGCGCGGTGGCAATTTCGCCAGACATGAAATTTTTTTCAATATATGGATATGTAACCGCCTATCTTTAGTTTTTGTCTCCTATCTTCTTCTAAATCCAACATAGCGCATATAGTCTTGAATAGTATGTAATAAAATTAATATACCCTCCAGGCTCCCGCCTTGTACCAAAATGTTGATACGAGTACATGGGCCGGAAAAAAATGATAGGTACCCATGCTTTAACTTTACTTATAGTAGATTGAGCAACATCTTTCAACAGTTTTGGAGTCTCGACGAAATGCCGTATACAAAATCCTTTCAAAAGATATAAAATATGGTAATTTTTAGTATTCTCATCAACATCTCCGGATTAAGTAGTTAACCTCCAAGACCTATATTCAAAAGTTGTTAGGTTTGTAAATAGCTTATTCATATATTATGCTGTGATACACCATGGGCACACCCATTTTTCACCCACATATTTTTTTAGATACGGAACATAGAGAAAGAGACGTTGTTGTTGATATTTAGATAGCTATTCTGGGTCTTGAGTGCATGTAAAAGAATGTCTTTTCTAAAAAAACGTATCCATGATCATATGTGTAGCTGTTGTTGAGTTTTATTAATAATATAACCACATATCACCTTTGTTGTTAGGCCCTAAGTACAATTCAGAATGCAGGCACGATTCAAAGGAGAAACGTTTTTCTCTAGTCTTTTTTTAAGAATGTAATTAAAAAGTTATTGAGGTGGAAACATTCGAAATGTGTCAAAAACTTTTTTGCCGGAATTCTGTCGACTCGTTTCTATATTGTTTTGCAATCACTCGGTTTCATTTATGACGTGTTTAAGGCTTACGTATATAAAGAAGACACTACATAGAACTGTTCGTGATATCCGCAATTATTGTATTGAAATACACCTTTCTTGATTACAAACTCTGAAATATTTTGGATATGCGTCACGAATAGTTCTTAAGTGAACTGTTTGATTAATCATGGCTTTAAGGGTAAACTCATAACTCTACTATCAGTAGCCTAAACTCTATATTCTGATCAATCTTAGTTACTGCTTTACTACAGTTTACTGCTGATTTCTATACAAATAGTGTTTGAAACCTATAAATTATGGATCTTGTCAAAAAACAGAAACATTGAATCAACTAAAAAAAAGTGGCTTCTAGAAAACTTGAACAAAGCAGAGAACAGTTCATAGGAAGAATAAAAATGTTTTTAATATGACTTGGTATATTTCGTCACGTACACTTTCATTTTTTTTAAGTAATCATATCCTATAATGCTGCATTATTTGAAAGAAATGAGTATTAGTAAAGGCATCTATATCTGTACTGTTTCCCATATATTATCTCATTCCATAGTAACCGTCAATCGAGAGATTCAAAAAATGACAGCGATGGAGCACTTTCAGAAAACTACTGATGCAAAGTGTCTAGGCTCTTTATTATGAACAATCGAAAAAATGAATGCGCTTTTGATGTTCCTCTCAGTCACTCTGTTTCATCTCCTTTTTGTAATTTACTTGCTACAAAGATTTTGACAATCGTTGCATTTTCGGCATAGTAACTAGAAAAAAAATCATGGGACAGGTTCTTTGAAAAATATGGTATAGATATTCCCTTTTTTGTTTATAACTGGTATAACACAATACGAAAGAACGGCTGGGCGAGGACATGGAGGAAACGAGGTCTGGAGGATTCTAGCATTAATAGCGGAAAAGACTCATTTCTTTTTTATAACAAAGAGCTTGGTACTATTTGCAAGTATGAGATATCTCACACACTGCCTTTTAAAAATACATACATGTGGTTTCTGTAATTTTTCATATGAAAGGAGGATCTGTCGATTGGCTTATATAGCTACATGTAACTCTCATTCCAATTTAATGATATAAGACTGTACACAACTTGTGTGTTGTACACAAGATGTTATATTTGTTGTATTATATTGTTTGTTGTACTCTCAACTATGTATGATCTTCTCATTATGCAATATTCTTTATATGTAATATGTATGTAAATAAAAATATAATGTAGATTTTCTGAAATTTTATTTAATGTATGAAGAAATCAAAAGAACATTAATGCATGAGAAATTTGAAAATCATCTAGTAAATTGGTTGAAAAAGATCTGGTAAATTCAACATCCTAATGGCCATACCTGTAAAAGAAATTCATAATGTAAAACATGTGATAATAAGTAAAATAATCTGAAATGATAAAAGATACTGATAAAATGCTACAAAAAACTTTTATTGTACCAGGTGCACCAGCATAACTTACTTTTTTACAATTAGAGCCATTCAGACTATAAAGATTTTCCCGACAAAGTTCACTTGCCAACATGCTTTGCAACAGTAAGGAGCAAACTTTTGCCATTGAAGCCTACTCTTCGAGTGAATGTCAAATGCCATAAATCAGCTTACTCAGTATATGAAGAACAGGGGATATGACATATCTGATTTGATTTTCAAAACTGTGTAAAACAATTCAGATTCATACAAGTTCTGAAAAATGGAAGTTGTGCTACTGCACCCTGTATGCACAATATCTTTATTTCTGGAAAATAATACAAATACATCTGTACAAAGAACTTACTTTTGAAACTCCCATTCTCTATTATCTAGAGGACAAACTTGCCTAGTTTTCAGCCATCTTGATATGCAGTGGAAATGGAAAGCATGCTGTAATTTAAAATCAAATAACTCAATCAGTAGAGTTCAGTCACCCCAATTTTACATAAGTATAAATTGACTTAATTTTTTTCAACGGATAGATTCATGATATTGCTTGTACTTGAAACATTCTGGTGAATAAATTTCACCTGAACTCAACAGCATTAAAGACTTTTATACTGAAGCAGCAATGCAGTCAGAGCCTAAAAGGGTGCTGAAAATATTGTATTGATATATTTATTCAGACTATCCATTTTCTTGATAACCATGAAGAAGCAACCACACTGACCAGTTTCTGATACACTTATCCTTAATAAGTTTAAATTAAAACATAAACTTGATAGGGTTATATGGCAGGCACAGGATGGGGTGGTATCATGAAAAAAAGTCGAGAGGAGTCAGGTAGGGTGATAGTAGCATGGTGCCCGATCACAGACTGTCCATTAATGTAAGAGATCAGTCTCTCTCAAAGCGAGCGTGTTTTTATAAAAACTTGAAAACGAAAATACTTCATTTCCCAAAATGGGCATTAGATGAAATAAGTCCAAAATATCTGGTTCAAATTGTATATTAAGGCAGCGTCATTAAACACAATGGTATACTACTTACATTACAAACTCCCCAAGCAACTGTGCATTCCTCACTCGTAGCTGAAGCCTGATTTGCTTGACATTCAATACAAAGGTCCATTATGTGATTCCTGCAGATAGCACAGTTGTCCACAACAATATCTACAAATTTACATACTTATTAGTGCATCTGGTTCTAGGACATTGTTGCAGTTACTCACCCCAAGCCCACAAGGCCACTGCATTCCACTAAAACAAAAATTATAACGAAATTAAGAGACTCATTACTGTAATGTCATGGTCAGATACCTTTTTTACTTCAAATCGTTTCTTCTCTCCTTTGGAACTACTGGATGTAGGCATTTCAACTTCTTCTGCGTCGACATCCATTGCTGTGGCCATAATATGTCTTTAACAGCGAGTTATTATTATTCTTTTATAAAAAAAACAGCCTTCAAATTATTTTTGTAAATTAGAAAGTCAAAAAATGAAATTACAAATAATTTTGTTTGTCAGACGTCAAGCTTCAAAGTGCAGCAATACCAACACAAAACATATACACTGAGAATAAATCACTTGACAGCTGTCAAATTGGTCGCCATCTTCAAAAGTAATGCCAACTTAAAGTTCTATACCTCGAAAAAAAACACCCGTTAGAAGCTTGACGGAACTTTATGTTCTTCTGGCTAGCCTATAGTATAGGCAGCGCCACCTTCAACTTAGTTGAAGGTGGCGCTGGTATAGGCCATATACATCTGTCAAAGATATCTCAGAGCAGCGCTAAAGCCACCTTGACCTTGAACTTCTGGGTTTGCGTCAAAGGCCTATGTATGTAGTACCAAAAGAAACTACGTCAATGCTATTCGTGCTGCAAAAACGGCCATGAAACTTGACGTAGCAGTGGTGCGGGTATTTTGACCAACAGGGTGCTATGCAAAGAAGATAAACGCACGCCGTGAGACTAGAGTTAGGAAGTTAAACTGCGTAACTATGTATTCGTATGAAGCAAATCCTTTCGCCAAGGATGATGGTGACTTGACTTGACTTCTACTCATCAGGGCAGGCCGGGGGCCTAGAATGATAGTGCGGTAATCTGGTGGACATACGATATGGCGCAGAGCGTCTGTGCTTAGCCTACGGCAATCTTTATATGTGCATTTCACTCACGTTTCGCCATGTTTTGTAGGTTCAATAATATTGTCTAATATTTCTGCAGCAGCTCGTCCGAACAGTCAAAATTGGCGTTGTTTAGGGCCGTATCATCAGTCCTTCCTATAATTATTGTATGGAGTCCTTGATTCATAGTTTTCTACTGTTCCGTGTCAGCGCTCTATTTTTGAGGTTATGTAACAAATACCTATTTGCATCAAATTGTTCATGCTTTTGATTTATAATATTTATATCATCTCTTATATCAGCCTGAAATTTCCTACAATTAAAAAAAACATAGCGTCACAATAGGAGAGCGCTGACGCTGACACGGAACAGTAGAAATCTAGAAAATATCCCAGCCTTTCTGGAGGAGAGAAAGGACTATGGGATTCAAGGAGACGATGACGGGATCCTACAATTATTGCAGGAAAGACTGACGACTGACGATACGGCCTTTAACTCGTGATGACTGGAACAAAGAGGGATAGAGAGAAATTACACATGCGCATAACCTAAAATTCATTACCTGCGCAGTGTACACACGAGAGAGATGCTCTATACACCCTATTTCCCGCGTATCCAACACGGGACAATGACAGCTAGTTATCTAGTAATATTTCAAAATTCCCCATATCAGCACAGGACACATTAATTCCTAGGGATCGGTGAATTCCACGTAGACAGACCCGAATTTTGTTGTGGTTCTTAGTACGCTACAGATTCATTTTGTACTTGCTAACAACTGTTATTTACAAAAGTTTCTTTGCATATGAAAGAAACGCTACATGCACAATGGTTGCTAATGACCGTGACTACATTTCAAGTCAGGTAGGGATAAAATAAGATAAACAGTTTTTGACTATACTAATTATATCTACTTTTTAGAACTTGAAACGCCATATGATCTTAAAGGGCAATGAAACAACCATACATTTAGTTCAGAATAATCAAATCCAAGCGAATAACCAAAATTTTTGTGTTATGTGCCGCGGTTATAATATGGTTCAAGATGACACACGAGTTGATGACGTCAGTTACACGAATCGCTTGAACGCGTTGGTTTTAACCGCGGTTTTGTTGCAAGTTGTTTATTTTAGAAAAGCGCGTATATAATCTCTGATTATTTATATTATCACTTAATAATCGGTACTTTTTCGTCTACAATTGTGTATGGAAAGTTTAAATAAGAAACCTTTCATAGTATTCATGGGAGAAATGTTTTTTCAGATTTTTTTTGTAATGGTGGAACCATGGCTTTGTAGCTATGATAACTTTCAATTCTCTAAATTTTTCCGCATGTCAAAAAAAACATTTATTGATTCAGCAGAAATGATGAAAAAAGAAATTAGCAAAACCGCATACAGGTGGATATCATCTAGTGAGTTTATATGGCCATATTTTAATATTCTTGTGGTATATGGCTACACAGGATACTTTGTTAAGCATAGGAGCTACAACAACTGTAATGAGTATAACTAATAAGGTGCTCCACTTTATGGTAAAACTGAAGTCAGCCTGTATCAATTTTCTCAAAAATGAAGCTGAAGTACAATAACAATATCCAATACCCGGCAAAATTCTAACTTGTCACATTTCAAATAATAAAAAGAAATATAAAACTACTCTTGGGTTGGGTAAATACCACAATTTTGCGGTGATAACTATGACATATAACAGCTGATTCGTGACGTCACGGATCTTATAACCAAACTGATAACTACACTCGCTTGAACGGATTGGTAAATACCAACCCAAAATGGTAAATACCATTTCCATTTGGTTATCCGCTTGAATTTGATTAAATGTGTGATTCCCTCAATTAGGTCTGAACATTACTCAGGTAATTCTAACAAGTAATAAAATATAAAAATATGTATGTCAAATGTACAACTATTGCAGGAGGTCATGAAATGTACACAACTGGGACAATGCAGTGTTCGTAAATACAGGCATGGGCCAACTGTGGAAGCTGATAGCGCTTGTGGCAGGCAAATAAGAAATATAGTTTATAATTTTTTGAAAGAGAGTAAGATCTTCATAAGAATATAGCAAGTCAGTAAATTGATTCTATGCCATCATTACATATCGAGGAAATGGGAAATGTGGATAAATAAAGACGTCTATTATTATTATATTTTGTTTTGCTGTTTGAGTGGTATGATGCATTTGATGTATCACAATAATATGCCATGGTGGTGGGTCGTTTTCTGGGTGAAGGTATTAGATTTGATGTGATTAGTTATCTGTTAGTACGATCTTAAATCAATACCTAGTAAGTCCGAAAAATTTCGATTTTCTGATTTTGTTCTGTTTTGATTCCTGGATGCATAAATCGCGACATTTTCGGACTTACGAGGTATTGATTTGAGATCGTCGATGCTTCCCGAAAAGAACCAACGATATGGATTTTTTGAAAGCATTCCTGTATGCATACAGGAATAAAAACAAAATTAGAAAATCAACATTTTCGGACTTACGAGATATTGATTTGAGACCGTCCATATACTACCCACTTGAAAATAATATAATCCTGTTATTGCCAACGTTACAAATTATCACGGAGATGTCGCTTTTGTGATCAGCTGTTCAGCATAGGATTAACCTCCTACCTCTAGTCTTCATGGTCCATGTGCATGCGATCAGTCTATCTCTTTCGCAGGCGCGGCGTCACTCGGAGACAAAAATTTGTGGTTAGTTTCGTTACCAGTGTTATTCACAAAAGTGTTGTATGTGCCTTTTTATCTGGTTTCATGTGTGTTACAATCTGTGTGAAATATAATTAAAAAACACTGAAATAAACATTTGACTATGGTGTATTGTGCAGTGATCGGTTGTTCAAGCAACAACAACAAGAAAAGCAAAAACGTTTCAAATTGGCGTTTCTTCAGTTTTCCAAAAAACAAAGAAATTTGCGAACAATGGGTTCTGAGGTGTTATCAGCAACACAAATTTAATGTACAAACTGCAAGGATATGTTCGAGGCATTTTGTGGAAAGTGACTACTGTTTAAAAGAAAAAACCTTAGGATTACCTCAAAATAAATGGAAGTTGAAAAGTGAAGCAATACCTTCCCTTCATTTGATAAAATCACCAAAGGAGCAGACTTCTCTCAGTATAGTAATGGAGGAAAATCTAAATAAAGAGGTCATAAAATCAATCAACCACTAGATATAGGAATAGAACTAGAGCTAGAGACTTACTAAACTAGAAGTACAAAGTGGAATTGACGAAAAAACAATTTACACATAAAATTTTATACAAAATTATGTCATAATACCAGTTAATATAACAAATTGATAAATGTCACTGATGCACAATTTGATTGTGCTAGTGTCCAGACAGTTTAGACAAAAATTTAATACAAAGTGTAATTACGAATTTTGTTCTCAAGATAACTAAACTAATGTTTTTGAAGGTAGTCATATATGTTGTTAACTTTTTACCAACAACAAATACATTGCTTATAGATGTTCCTGTAATTTTATGAAAAAATATATAAAAAAGTGCTATTTTGCCAGCACTCAGACAGAAGCTGTTGCTAGTTGGCTGGCTAGTTGCCAGTTTAGCATTTGAGTGAATAGTATTAGATAAAACTGTATTTAAAAATATGTGATAGTAGAATAGAAATATCAAATTGGTTATATCATTAAGACTGAGGAAAATGAATTAAACAAACTCATACTTGTAATATACATATTTTTATCAAAAATATATATGAACTACATAAAAATGAACAAGAAACTATTTTTTCCCCTTTAATGTGGTTCTGTGCTGTCTACTTCGAACTACCATATGTTTACATCTTTCAAGCAATTTCCAGTGTTACCCTCAGCTTCAATTGTCTCCTTTAACCTATGAAATTTTATTTCATTGTGGGAAAATGGGTTATATTGGGATGGTATGAAATTTGGTTCAATCCAATAGTCCGACACAATATCAGTGTCCATAATCAACACTATTTGTTATCTTCTGCTGTTCATACACTGGTTGGGGCTTTAATAGTATTTTGGTTTGTTTAATTCCAAAAGACAAGTTTGATAGTCCCTGGGGTTAAATAGAAAAGGATTCCAGTAGCTAAACACTTATCACATTACTGGACAGTATGATGATTCAGTCAGCAACCACTCCAATTTGACCTCAAAATGTTACAAAATTTATATTAATTTCATAAATTTTTAATGTCTTCTGCATATGTTACAAGAGCAGCATTTATAATTATATTGTCAGCTGATGATTCCACTTGCTTTTAAAGTTTGTCAGTTACTAAACAACTGATGAACATTGAGAAATCGAATGCATGCTGTTTTTGACACACATGTTGTCAGTATAACAACTGTGGATGTGAAATTTTGTGAACTGTCACAACTGAGTTGATAAATGTGGTGTCAGTTACCAGCAAGTAGGTATAGGATTTCAAATATTCAAGTTTTGACTGGTAATATAAGATTTGTCCAACTACTGGTAGTGTCTGGCTTATTGGCACATTGATACTACTATTTGAAACCAATTTACTTCATTAAAAAGTAATTCTCTTTATTTGGAGCTCTAAAGAAGTTTCAGTTTGAAAAGTTACAAGCGCATCGTCAATGATTACGACTTGAGTTATTTAGGACTTTTCAACTTGTCTATTGTTAATTTTTCAAAAGTGATAACTGGGATGATATGATTAAATTGTATTGGCAAGACAGCAAAATGTATATAAAATAATATAAAAATTATCATGTAAAATTGTTAACACACATAGCGTGCGCAAAGAGGTAAAAAATTCGATCGTAAAGTGAGCATATCTGTCATAGGTTGGTATAAACAAAAGTGAAGGGGTTTTTGTCGCATAAATGAACTTTTGCATTGCACATCAAGATCAACCATTCATGTATGTGGAACTTCAAAAGTAATGCAAAGAAAGAGATTGCCCAAACTCATTACAAAGATGTTATATAAATTATTCATTTTTAACATGTTTTATGGTAGATTTCAAACAAAGCACCATGAAAATGAAAACAAAATAGTGCCTAGTGGACACTAGCAACATAGTCTGATTTTCAAAAAATTTAACTAGGGACAGCCTTGTTCTGGCATATTCAAACTTAATTTATTTGAATTATCTACTACTTCCACTATATTGATGAGGGATGATAATCAGTGTGTATATCCAAAGTGGTCTGGAGATGCAGCACTTTTTTGCTGAATAGTAGTAGCTTTTATAGTTCACAACATTCAAACTACCAAATCTTACAGCCAAGTGAACACTGCTGTCAAGCTGACAAAGCTAACCCACGGTTACTGCAATGAGCATAAAAGCACTGCACTTTAGCTGAATGCTCTCATTAAACATTAGAGTGAAAGAAATTGTCATTTTATAGTTATGTGACATTTCAATGTTCATTATTTTTTCATTTCAATCATATTTTAGCAAAGTCCCATGGCAATGGAAACTATAACAGAGATGGAATTTGTAAAAGTTGAAATAAAAATAGAACCACCAGAATATCACAGCGATTCATTTGCAGTTCATCAAGGCACTTTGGATATAAGTGACAATTACAATGTGGATGAGATAGTTTTGAGCAGGTAAGCTTTTTAAATTGCTATCAACAACATAGCACTTAGCTTAACCCAGGAAACAATTGCAGTTGAAACTAGCGTTGAGTAGCAAATATGTTTGCCGATTTCAAAAAATATTGATTCAACAACCCATTCTAGAGATGACAAATGCTTAATATAAGGTATAAAGTTTAAAGGTTTGAAAATATATTAGTATATGCTCTAAACTTTTATATAGACCAGGAAGCTTCCTTGTTGTTTAAAGAATAAGTATAAAACAGCACATTTTCAATTGAATTAAAGTCATTTTTAACTCTTATGTTCTTATTTTTTGACAGCTGAAAAATGTTCCTTTTGAAAATGTTTGTTTTTTCATTTACTTGCATTTTTTGTATGGAAACGGCAAAGACTACAGAAAATTACACGCCAAAATTGCAACATAATATTAGTAAGCATGACAATAATTTTTCTTGTGCAAGGTCCAATGTGACCTTGCTTTTACCATGGCGGGACTTGTGCCACAGATGGGTTAGTCTACATGGTTTGACTATGCTTTGTGTTTTTCAGCATAAAAAGTGATCCTGACATTACTAGAGGTTCTATCAAAACTGAAGTAGAAACAGAGGCTGGTCAGTCGCAAGCATACAAAATCAAATTAGAAAAACATATGGATACTGCAACAATGGAAATCACTGAGGGATTAATTGTCAAAAGTGAAGATGATTGTGACAGATTCATAGATGTAAATCCAGATATGTTTTACAATGAGTAACTATTCGGAGTAATTTGCTCTTTGGTGAAAATTATATGACAAATTATTTCAGAATTGATAATGATTATACTGAAAATGAGGATGACCCAAAGTTTATGCCTACTAATCATAAAGCACCTTTGGATACAGACAATCATTATCAAAACAAATATATCTCTCACCTTCATTGTCAATCCAGCATAGATGGAGAAAGGTAATTGTTAATAGTTAGAATGCTATTCAGTAGTTATTTCTCCAGGATTTTGCAATTGTCATGGTTCTTCATTACCGGTCTGGTTAAAAACAATAAATACACTTGTAAAAAAAGATACTGGAAGTCCACAACGTGAAGTTAAATCATCTCTAGCTCCATCTTGTAAACATTTTTTTTCTGTAATACGAATGCTAAAAACATCGTCTCGTTAAAGTTGGTTTGTTAGACAAGTGACATTCCTATGGTGTAAATTATACTAATGAGACCATGTCAACGAGTGCGTGTTGGTCACTGTCATTGATCTCACGTCATTCCATTTTCCAAATGCTCTAATTTGATAAAATCATCCGCATCGGTTCCAAATGGAGCAACGCGGCCAATCCTGTGGTGATTAAACATTCCGTCAGATAATCTTCTTGTTCTGAACGATTCATGTCTCTTTGTACATGAACAATTTTTAGTTATGATGCGTCACATTTGAGGTCATGATATCGTCATCATCGTATTCGTTATCTAAACGCAGTGTCCTTAACATTAGTTTTGACAGCGCGTCGTTAACGTCACGCTTTCAGCGTCAGTATAACAACAAAAATACGCGCCTTCAGCCTTTATTTAACATGTCACTTGCGAAATTCATGTTTTTTTTTTTTTTAGTTCTGTGGCATGCAAGCAGCATTATGTAGCATATAACAAAGCAAGTGGAAAATTATTCAGTTGTTGTAACTGTAAAAATAGTCCTTGCTGTAAGGTCCCACTAGATGAAATTATGGAAGAACACAAACAAGATCCAGATTCTATTTCATCAGCTTCCTGTAAATCAAGCAGCAGTTTTAAATGTATCTGTTGTAATGCATCATTTAAAACGAAAAGGGCAATGGATGAACATGTTGTCAAAAAACATCCCAAGTTTAAGTCAACTCTTAGTAGTAAGTTGCACGAATGTACATTTTGTTCATATAAAACGACTAAGAAGGATATATTTAACAATCATATGTTCAAACAACATCCTGACAAGGTTCACAGACTCACTTGTGAACATTGTAATTCAACATGCAGTAGCAAACCAGAACTGGATTATCATATAGAAAAAAAACATCCAGAGTTTATACATTGCACTTATGAAAGTAATCACTTTAAGTGTAATTATTGTAAAGGAACATACAATACAAAAAGAAGAATAAATGAACATATAGCTAAAAAACATTCTGAGTTTATATCTACGTCTCCTAACTCAACATCCCGTTCTGAGCTGCTTTATATATGTGAACATTGCAATGTATCATTCACAAGGAAATGTCGGAGGGATGATCATGTACTTGGAAAACATCCCGAGTTTATTTCAAAAATTAGTTGTAAAGTACTTGAATGTACATATTGTTCGTTCAAGACCGCCATAAAAGATCGTTTTGAAAAGCATATACTAAGACATGTACTCAACACGTGTACACACTGTAACGAGAGTTTCGAAACAAAAATGATGTTGAACACCCATATATTTCAGAAACACGACCTTATTTCATTTATATGAATGTAAGTGCTGTACATATAAAACACCTAAGCAGTTTAACATGGAACAACATTAAAAATAATCCAGGAGATGCTAGTAGTAAAACTGTTTCATATGTTTAAATGTTACTTTTGTGTTAATTCTTCAGTGTTAATGGTGAAGCTGGTGAAAATCAGTACGTTTACAAATTATTTGTATTGAATATAAAATTTATTTATTCAGTTCATTTTGTTTCAATTCCTATATCCCTTGAGAGTTTCAGCACCCATTTTTAAAACCCTCTATCCCACCCGTTTGAGCACCAAATAATTTTTATAACAAAAATTATGACACCATTTCTCAATTACAAATTTAGTTATGTATACACGCCGGACTGACTAGGGGTTTCCTTATTTTATTTTCATTTTATGATGATCAATCTAAAGTGCACTTTATTGCAACTAATTCTTGATAAAATTTAAAATATATTACATCTTGTACTGAGTTCATATAGCAGAAGAATTATCTATAATACTATCATTCTTCCAAATTTCTTGTACTGTTCGACTATTCTTTATTTAGCAAATAATTCTATTTTTGAAAGACTGCAAGTTTTACTAAACAAGTGCATGAGAATAATACTGAATAAAGATAAATATGCTCCAATTAGTCAAATGCTTAGCAAATTAAAATGGCCCAATGTAAAAAAAATTATCAAATATCTTGTAATGATATTTATTTATAAAGTAAAAAATAATATATTTGCATCAAGTCGAAGTAGAAATAAAGATGACTTCCATTTAATGGCCATTAAGTATAACATTATGCTAAAAATCTGTATTCCATCAAGGGTTGATTGAATATAATAATTTTTATACAGAGATAAAAGACCAGAAAACTGTGACAAAATTAAAAGTAAAATTGAAGAATCACTTGTTAAATCTACAATTATAGCTAGCCCAGCATTTATATCATATGGCTTAAATCTACTAATTTCTAAGTTGTTTACAATTAGTCTAATTAATCTGTTTTTTTTTTCTACTACTACTACTACTACAAAAAGCATCAGAGATTAATTTGCTTTTCACATTGTCTTCAAATTTGTTTATAGGCATGTCTCTGATACTTTTTCGGAGTTGATTAAGTAATGTTATACCCTGGTACTCTTAGAACTTCTGACATCTTTTTAGGATCAGGTTACCCTTGTACCTGGCAAATAAATAAATAATTTCTTGGCTGAAGAGACTGTACTGTTATCGTGAACATCACTGTGCATTCCGGTCAGGCCAAGGTTGTTCTTTATATGGAGAAGGCAGTTCCATGATGTATTGTGGGAGTAATGTTTAAATCCCTAAGGTCAGCATGTACCAACCGAGATATTTGAAAACTAAGTATATTGCTAAAAATATATGAACTGGCGACTTCAGGAGTTCTGTGTTCGAATCATGAGATTTCACGGTGAATTTAATTCATTTTCAGCAACAAACTAACTTGGTTTCCCAGCCAGCAAGGACACGTATATTTCACGTGAAACGAACGTACCTCTTTACGTACTATTCACGGCCCTATTCGACGTGGAAAGTCCGTTGAATTTGTGGGCGACATGTCAGATAGAATCGACGTCACCTTCGAACAGAGAGTCCACGTGATTTATAGACGTGGTTTTCACGTCCCTTTTCGACGTGGAAGCGACGTTACTTTCTGACGACGATTTCACGTGATCTACACACGTCGTTTACATGCCTCCTTTCGACGTGGAAAGTCCGTTAATTTATGGCCGAAGTGTGAGATAGAATCGACGTCACGATCTGACGACGATTTCACGTAATGATTAACTGGTAAATAACATTTGGATCAAAAATGAGTTCAATATATTTGGCGAAACCTAGAAGTAGTACTATGTCCGGAAAACAAGTTGCTCATACTGTTATTGTTAACAACCAGTTTTAAAGACAGAATATCACTTGTAGCCTTCACCAAACATACTGAACTCATTTTAACCCAAATATTACTACCCACCTTCATCCACTCAACTCTTCAAATGTTATTGTACTGTGGTGGAAGAAATGTTTACCATATACAGTATTTAAATTATGTGGTTCGGATTGTAAGGGCACAAAAAATGAAGGATTAAGAATATAGTAATTTTATTTGAAATAACTACTTGAATAGTCATAATAACTTCTTAAAAACCTGAGTTGTCCAATTTTTTTCAAAGTTGTAAGCATTTTAGTTCTAAATATGTCTTGTTAACAACGTTTCACTGATTGCTTTAAATACAAACCACCATATCTGCTCATACATTTTATGTGAGATTTAAAAATAAATGAATACTGATAAGATTATATATTAACTTATATACATACAGTAATAGACAAAAGTATATAGACAAATTTGAATATTTACCTAAATACCTTTAGAAAACGAATTCATACTTCATTGCTCCATAAACAAATGCGTTATTAGTAGATAAACTAAATTCCTTGTTTTTACATTATCTGCAATGAACACAATACAAGTTTGAATATAAAGCACTTTTTATGAGGGACAAAAATATGTAGACAACTTCTTTTCAACATTAGTTTAGTACAGTTTCGTGTCAGAAGAGGATTAGTTTGTGTTCATCAAGTACTGTGGAATAATATGAGTGATTTTAAGACCATGCCGCGTGGTCCAGAAATTTCTTGCGATGTGAAAACTAAGATCATTGAGTTATACAAAGATGGTCAACGTTTGGGCAATATTGAACAAATATAAACAAAAAGGTATCTTGAAAGCCTCTAAGAGAAGTGGGGCCTAGAAATAGAATGCTAAATCATTTAGATTAATAAAAGTAATTTTGTCCAAAGATCCGTTTAAAACCCCAAGACAAAAGCCGAAATCGATACAAATGGAATTGTCAGTGTTTCTACGAAAACTATAGAAGATTAAATGATTTGAAGTTATTTGCAAGTCGCCCGAGTAAGAAGTCGCTAATCTCGAGGAAAAACCGTAAGGACCGATTACAATTTGCACGGTTGCATCTTGATTGGAGCATCTGTGAGTGGAAGAGGGTATGTTTCAGTGACGAACCCAAGTTCAATATGTTTGGATCAGATGGTGTTCATTACGTTAGAAGTCCTGGTGGACAAAGATTGAACCCCAAGTACACTTTGCCCACTGTCAAACATGGAGGCGGGTCTGTTATGGTTTGGGGGTGCTTTTCGGGGTTTCGGATGGGACCTTTACATAGAATAGATGGCATTATAGATAAGTTTGTATACACAGACATACTAAAGCATGTCATGTTACACTATATGGAAGACAATATGCCCTTAAGATCAATCTTCCAGCAAGATAATGACCCGGAGCACACTTCAAGTCTCGCAAAGAAATTCTTTCTGGATGAAAAAATACCAGTTCTCAAATGGCCTTCACAGTCTCCCGATATAAACCCCATTGAAAATCTATGAGAATACTTAGATAAGCAAATACGAGATAAAAATTATTCAAACAATGAGGAACTTTGTGCCGCTTTAGAGCAACAGTGGAAACAGATTGATGAATCGTATAACAAAAAACTTCTACAATCGATGCCAGGCGGTGATTGATAATAATGGTTATGCTACAAAATATTAACACAAACATGGTTGGTTTCCTATAATTCAATTTGCTTCTTTTTTCTATAATTGTTTTGCTTTGCCTATATACATTTGTCCTTCATAGTTCCAGTTTTTTCAATTAATTTTTTATTGAAGTTAGTCTAATGAATTTATTTATGTATAAGTGAGTATTATGCTATAACGAATTATGTATACAGGTTGGTGTATTAATAAAACAAGTTAAAAAAAAATACAGCACAATATTAATTTGTCTATATACTTTTGTCCATTACTGTATATAAATAAGAAAATAGATACAACTTTTGCAGATATGTTTTAATACATTTCATTGCATATTAGCTTTCTAATTAAATTGATCTTAGTGAATGAAACAATCGTTTTGTGAGCATCAGATTAAACATTGATGTATTCTTGGGTCCTTAGAGCCGCACAGATGTGAGGAATCTACATCTACCTCGCATATAGGTGTTGCATAGATCTTGTTCAATATGTTCAATATTATTACTATTGTCAAAATCATGCTCTAAATGTCTCACATTTCTCAAAATTTGAATTACATGACTCTACAACACTGTTGTTGAGATGAAGCCACAACCTGAGAGGTATTTATTTTATTAAATATTTGTTGAACTTCCTTTCAAACATGTCTAATGACTGATGCTCACTAATAACTTTCGTATAGTTCCTTTCACTTTGTGACACTGTCTAACAAAAAAAAAGAATGTTGAGTAGAAAATCAAAGTAGAATGTTGTTTTTAGTTAACACAATATTACCTTCTACTACTACAACTACTACTGAGGATAAAAAAGATATATGAATATTTTGTTTTATATCTTTTTGGTGCAAGCTTTAACCAAGTTTTAATGGCATCTTCTTCACACTTCTTTTTTGGTAGCATTGGTGCCAGAAAGAACAGCCCCTTGAAATAAAATTTCAATATATAGATGTGATATAGTCAACTGTATACAAAATAAGATTAACCCTTTCAGTACAGGACCTTTTTTAACTGTACTGTCACCACCGCCGGCTCATTTTGCATTGTCTGGGCGCCTGATGACGTATATTTATATACGTCACCATAATAAAGGTTAAAGTACTGTAACACAGGGAACAATGCAGCTTGAAAACTTTATTACTCAATAAAAATCAAACATTTAAATACCGAAACTTTAATAAAAACACTCAGGACTGAACGAAAAAAAAAACATTTGAGCAAGTTAATTTTTAAAAGTCGGCTACTTGATGATAAATTCGAAAGCAGGGCACTACACATAGCCCAACAACGTCGCATTCTCTACACATGTAGCTGCTCTCCTTTCTTTTTTTGTTCCTGCTCGTGGCAGTGTTCTTTCCCTCTTTTCTTGGAACCAATTCCGGAAAATGCCGTTCTGTCAGCCTTGCATTTCCCTGATCAAAATGAAGTGGTTTTGCTGTTGTTGTTGATTATGCTTTTGGCCAGGTGTAGGCCTTTCAGAGGAACCAGCGCGCTCTTCCTCCGCCATTTTATGTAAGACTAATCACAGTCTAATGCTCGGTTCTCGGTTTCAAAAATCGCAAGCATGATACAGACATTAGACAGTGTAGCCGGATGTTGTAAATTTTCGGCAAAGCCAAAATCTTCCGTCGTCCGGCTAAGGGGTGAGCGAAACGTTGACATAATGTTACGACACTCGTCTGTAGTACAATGCAAGTTTCTAAAGGTGTCGCATCTGTAAGGCAGTAGGCCAAAGGATGTAATTCATCGATGTCGGGTATATACGTCAGCCGGCCGGTGGGTATATTGTATAACTGACGTATAAATATGTCAGCCTTACTGAAAGGGTTAAAAAATCCAACCATAACTTAAAATCAATATAATTTGACTGCGGAAAAATAAAATATGACAACTAAAATGCAGAATAAATTGTCTGATTGAACATTCTATCTTCTAGTTTTTTTATTAGTAAATTTTTTTTACTTGTTTACTTATATTTAAAGCTGTCACATAAAAAAGGATTTTTGAATATAGTTGTACACCAAGTCTTGTATGTTACATCAGATACAAAAAACAAAATTTGTAAGCAATAATAGGTCTGAAACTGTTTGGAAACCTAGAAAGATCTGTTAGTACTTATTACAATCTTGTTAAGAAATGAAGTTTTGAATGCCTTCTTCTCTTGTCTAGTTCCCAAATAATTGTGGCTAACTGCCAAATATCACATCCTCCTAACTTCAAAAAGTACAAGATCTGAAAAAGAAAATAATATTCTCCTAATTTGGTCATATAACCCACTAAAGTCCTAATGACATGTATCAAATCCCATGGCTAATGCTATACAATATAAAAATGCTGTACAGCTTTACTTTCGCTGATCAGACTCATTATTCTACAAACATAAAGTCCCACATTGTAATAAAAAATCTTGTGGGTAATGAATTTTTGCAGTTTAATTAGCAGCTGCATTATTTGAAAAATATTCAAATTGAATTAATGCCTTGAATCCATAGTATTTTCTCCTCTTCAAAACGGCTGGGGTTGTAAACTTATTTTTGCTTCTTGAATCGTAGGAAATTTAGGGCTGATAAAACAGATATAAATCAAAAGTATGAACATTAATTTTGATGCGAATAGATATTTGTAACGTAAATCAAATCCAAGCGAATAACCAAAAGTTCTGTGTTATGCACCGCGGTTATAATATGGTTCAACATGACACGCCTGTTACTCGAATCGCTTGAACGCGTTGGTTTTAACCGCGGTTTGTTTCAAGTTGTTTATTTTAGAAAAGCGCGTATATAATTTCTGATTATTTTTATCACTTAATGTTTTTTTTCACATTTTTTTTTTACTGATGGAACCATGGCGTAGCTATGATAACTTTCAACTATCTAAACTTTTCCGCGTGTCAAAGAAAATATTTATTGGTTTAGCAGAAATTATGAAAAAGCGATGAAAAAAAGATATTAACAAACCTGTATACAGGTAGGACATCATACAGTGAGTTTATATGGCCATATTTTAATATTCTTGTGGTATATGGCTATACAGGATACTTTGTTAAGCATAGGAACTAGATTTAAAGTGTCCCCAACAACAGAAATGATTATAACTAATAAGGTGCTCTCTTCTGCTAAAACTGAAGTCAGCCTGTATCAAGTTTCCCAAAAATGAAGCTGAAGTACAATAAAAATATCCAATACTCGGCAAAATTCTAACTTGTCACATTTCAAATAATAACCAGAAATATAAAACTGCTCTTGAGTTGGGTAAATACCACAATTTTGCGGTGATAACTATGACATATATAAAAGCTGATTCATGACGTCACGGATCTTATAACCAAACTGATAACCACACTCGCTTGAACGGATCGGTAAATACCAATGCAAAATCGTAAATACCATTTTCATTCGGTTGTCCGCTTGAATTTGACTATAACGTCAAAATCGAGCGGTAAAACGAAACAGTAGAAAACTGTGAATATCAAGGAGGCCATCAGAGATAAACCCTTGAGGCCATAATGGCGTCCTACAATAATTGTTGGGACGACTGACGATAGCGATACGGCCCTTAATTATAGGTAAAGTTTGAAAAATATACCTACCGTCCTCAGAAACACTTCCCTTATCGTACTGCTTATCCGGTACTTGCTGCTTATATGGTGGCCACCACACCCGTTTCTTCTCGGCGTCAGGCACTTTTCATGCACTATGGCAATATCGCCCCTAGCACCACCACCAATTTCTGAAAATACTATTCTTATGCACATGGCGTGAGCCAAAGGCATAGATACTGTCACGACGCTGTTCTTGATTAAACGATGAGCAGGAACACAGTATGGCTTTTGTCGCATTTAAACTTTAGAATTTACAGGAAGATAAAGATACGTGCACATTTCGCAAAATGCAAAATTGATGCAGGATGGACAACGCGACGTAAGAAACAATATGGGGTTCGTGTGTTCGTGATGGGCAGCGTGGTAAAGGCTTTGATTGGATCGGATACACATACACTGAAGATAAGATATTGCGCATGTGGGCGGAGCTTCGTGACGTCGTCCGGAGAGTTATTGGCTCCTGGTTACCAGCGGCAGGATTGTCGTAATCGTAATCGTCACAGCAGTGCACGTATATAGTGGTTAATACTATATAGTGCGATTTGTTGATGACTTTTGGTGGTTTTGTGACCTGTTGTATTAGTTATACGTACTTTATATACCCTGTGTGGTTGTTATATTGATAAACATGCGGTGTGCTGTTGTGGGATGTAATTCCGACAACCAATCTAAACGGAATCCTTGCAAAGACATAAAGTTCCACAGTTTTCCTCAAGACCCAAACCTTAGCAAAAAATGGCTATACCTTACAAAAAGAAAAGACAAAGTCAATGTTAAAAGTGCTAGGGTTTGCTCGAAGCACTTTTGTGAAAGTGCCTATAAGGTCAATTTAAAACATACATTTTTGGGTTATACCCCTAAAAGTTACCGTGCTCTAAAAGATGATGCCATTCCTACAGAAAATTTACCAAACTCTCATCAATCATCACCTGGACCTTCTACATCTATTGCTGGGGAAAAGCAGAAAAGTGCTTACGAAAAAAGGCAAAGGGCTCAATTTATTCAAGACATGACCAAAGACAGGTAAGTTTTTAAAATTTTTAATTGATTGCATACATAACAGGTTTATCTGTATGCATGTGAATTTAATTTGAATGCATTTCTAATTAGTTTAACCTTACTCAGATTTTCAATCAATGGGGACGGAATAGTGACAAAAAAGCAAAATTTTATAAGTGAACTTCTGTTGAAGAGCCCTGAAAAAGCTAAAAACTATTTTTCAGGTCAAGGATGTTCTTCCGAATCAAAGAACTGAATAGAAGTTTGAAAGACCAGAAAGATCGTAAACGGAAATGGAGAAAAAATGTTGCTTAGACTAAGTGATTTCATTTATTGTTATACCACCACCTTACCTTACCTTAAATGGAGTTATCTTATTTTTACAGTAAAGTGATGATATGCTCTATTGTGGAGCTAGAAAGTTGTTTAAGCTATAGCCTGTAAATTACTAATTCCAGGTTGAAATCTTTTATTTAAATCCATTTTGTTTTGTTTAAAATTTTAATGTAGCTTGTGTCACTCGTACCTCTAAGACGAATCCAATGACACCTCATATGTGAAAATCTATCAAGCCATTTGGCCTGTAGGTGAAAATATGCACGTTATCCATATCAACCCAAATGAGAATCAATATCTCAGCGTGACGTTTTTTGCCAAAATAGTAAACTTTCAAAAGCAATATGAGGTACAACATTGCTCCAAGCTTGATAGGAACATATTATGTAAATAATTTATTTGAACATGTAAAATGGTTGATTTTCTTTTTCAGTATAAAAAGTGATCCTGACAATGCTACAGCTTGTATCAAAACTGAAGAAAAAACTGAGGCTATTGAGTTGCAAGCAAATGAAATCAAGCTAGAAGATGATCTAGATAATGCAACATTGGAAATCACTGAGGGATTAATTGCCAAAAGTGAATATGATGACAGGTCCATGGATGTAATTCCAGATATGATTTACAATGGGTAACTTTTCTTAGTGATCTGCTATGGTTCAAATTATATGACAAATTGTTGCAGAATTAATAATGATTACATTAAAGAGGAGGATGGGCCAAAGTTTACTCCCGTTGATTATGAAATGCCTATGAATACAGATAATGGTCAAAATGTAGATTTCTCTTGGCTTCATTCCCAGTCCAACATAGAAGGAGAAAGGTAATTGTAGATAATGAACAATAACTACAAATATCAATAGAAAAACGCGTGTACAAAGGATACTAACACTTGATCCAAATGAGAATCAATCTCTGCATGACGTTTTTTTGCCAAAATAGTAAACTTTTGCATGGAAGAGATCATGATTCTCAAGAAATTTTATTCATTTTCATGTCAAAGTAGTACATCACCAAAAAATATATATACAACCCAAAATAATATCTTCAAACCTGTTAACTTCAAAAGCAATATGAGGTACAACATTGCTCCAAGCTTGATGCAAACATATTATATAAATAATTCATTTGCACATGTAAAATGGTTGATTTTCCGCAAACAAAACAAGAAACATCATGAAAAAGAAGACAAAATAGTATAGTTTGTTACTGGTAGACACTGGCAACTAACCATATATAGTTTTATGTCATTGTTTATCTTCAAAATTTACTATTCTCACTATATTGAAAAGGGATAATGATCACATTCAGCCAAGGTATAGCTGTCCAGAACTGTTATGCAGAATAGCAGAAGCCACAATGTATGTTTGACAGTTTCACATTTAATCAACAAACTATCCAATCTAACAGCAAAATTATACTGCTATCAAACTGATAAAGCTATAAGCTAACCTTTATGGCTATTGCTATTCAGCATAAATGCACTGCACTATTGGACTGCTTCAGGCTGGATGAATTCGTTGGGCTAAATATACTCATTGAAAATCAGAATGAACAAAATTGACATTTTGTTCAGTGTGAGTTTCAAACAATGTTTATTATTTTTTATTTCAGTCATATTTCAGCAAAAATTGAAACTATGACAGAAATGAAATTTGTAAAAGTAGAAATCAAAACAGAACACCCAGAAAATTATAGTGATGCATTTGCAGTTTATCAAAGCTCTTTGAATATCAGCAACAGTTACAATGTAGATGAGACAGTCTTAAACAGGTAAGTTTCTTTAAGCATTATCATCAACAACATATTACAGACTACACAGCTAAACTCAGGAAACATTCTAAAAATCTCAGTTGAGATCAGCTTTGAGTAGCAAACATTTATTAATTTTTTCTATAGAAGTGCCAAAAACTACATACAACTATGTGCCAAAGTTGCAACATGATATTAGTAACCATAACAAAATAATTTTCCCAAGCCCTGTCCAATGTGACCATGTTATAGCCACACTTTACCATGGCAGTACTTAGACCACAGATGAGTTAGTTCACATGGCATGACCCTCCTTCATCTTTTTCAGTATAAAAAGTGATCCTGACAATGCTACAGCTTGTATCAAAACTGAGGCTATTGAGTTGCAACCAAATGAAATCAAGCTAGAAGATGATCTAGATAATGCAACATTGGAAATCACTGAGGGATTAATTGCCAAAAGTGAATATGATGACAGGTCCATGGATTTAATTCCAGATATGATTTACAATGGGTAACTTTTCTTAGTAATCTGCTCTGGTTGAAATTATATGACAAATTGTTGCAGAATGAATAACGATTACATTAAAGAGGAGGATGGGCCAAAGTTTACTCCTGTTGATTATGAAATGCCTATGAATACAGATAATGGTCAAAATTTAGATTTCACTCGGCTTCATTCCCAGTCTAACATAGATGGAGAAAGGTAATTGTAGATAACAAACTATAACTACAAATATCAATAGGAAAACGCGTGTACAAAGGATACTGACACTTAACAGGTCGAAGGCAAATTATTTCCAGGGCCGGCTTCAGAGATTTGTGAGTCCTGAGGCAAAGGATAAAACATGCGCCCTCGCCTCATATTAATTTAAAGTTTTGCGCCCCCAAGACGCTGCGGGTCCTGAGGAAGCTGCCTCACTTCTTTATCGCCTGTAACCAGCCCTGATTATCTGTAGCTCTGTCTCATACACATAAACGTTTTTTTTTCTTCAAAGTGACATATGCATAATAAAAACATCGCGCTTTTAGCGTCTCATTAATGCCAGTTTATCAAGCAAATGGTATTCCTATAGAGCAGACTATAAGAACGACAATTTTTTTCTATATGACTTATACAAGTGCTAAAAACATTGTCTTTTAGTGTCACGTTAACGTTGATAGGTATGTCAGATAAGTGGCATTCCTATGTAAATTATATGAACGAAAACAGTGTCAACGTGTCCGTGTTGGTCACTGTCTCTGTAACAGCGGGATGTCACATCACTCCATTTTTCAAGTGCTTTATTCTTATAGAACCATCCACACCGATTCCAAATGAAGCATCGCGGTTTTTAAGTGAACATTAGGTCAGATGCTCTAACTACATTACTTTGAACAAACCAAGTATCTAAGATCGTGAATAGTTTTTAGTTCTGATTACGTCACATTTGGCGTGATGGAACGATTTGAATGAGGAGCTGAATGCAGTAGCCATGATGTCTAGCCACAGCATCATCGAATTCATAATTTAAATGTCATGTTTAGCTGCTGTTCTAGCAACGCGCTTTCAACGTTTGTAAAACATGTCACTCTAAATGCGTTGTCCAGCGTAAACTTTTTTTTCAGTTCTGTCGCAGGTAAACAGCATCGTGTAGCATGCAACAAAGCAACTGGAGAATTATTTAGTTGTTATAACTGTGAGCATACTGCTTGCTGTAAGGACCATCTAGTTGAACATATGGAAGAACACAAACAACATGCACATTCTATTTCATCAACTTCTTGTAATTCAAGTAGTAGTTTTAAATGTATCTATTGTAGTTCGTCATTTAAAACGAAAAGGACATTGGATGAACATATTGTCAAAAAACATCCTACGTTTAAGTCAACTATTAGTAGTAAGTTGCACGAATGTACATTTTGTTCATATAAAACGACCAAGAAGGATATGTTTAGTAATCATATGTCCAAACAACATCCTGACAATGTTCACATGCTCACTTGTAAATATTGCAATGCAATATACAGTAGCAAATCAGATCTGGATTATCATATAGATAAAAAACATCCTGAATTTAAACATTGCACTTATGAAAGTGGTCAATATAAGTGTAATTATTGTAATGCAGTATACCTTTCAAAAAGAGGGATGAATGTTCATATAGGTAAAAAACATAATGAGCTGACATTTATACTTTCGGAATCAACATCGCGGTCTGAGCTCTGTGTATGTAAACATTGCAATGCGACATTCTCAAGAAAATGGACCAGGGATAACCATATTCTTAGAAAACACCCCGAGTTTATCTCATCTACTAGTTGTAAAGTACTTGAATGTACCTACTGTTCATTTAAAACTGCCATTAAGGATACTTTTCATAGGCATATGCTCAGACATAAGCTTAACACATGTAAACATTGTAACGAGAGTTTCCAGACAGACATGATGTTGAACACCCATATATTTCAGAAACATGACATTCCATTTAAATGAATATGAGTGTTGTACATGTTTTCTTGGATAACTCATTACACTGATGACTATTTGATAAACAGCTGATTAGCAAATGATACCAATTGATTGATTCTTCACTCTTAATGCTGAAGGTTGGAAAAGTCCGGCCCATTTCAAAATTATTTATGATGAATATATTTATTTTTACATTTCATTTTGTTTTAATTCTATAACCCCTTGCGAGCTTCGCCGCCCATTTATAAAACTTCACCAACTTCAATACCAAATGAAAACAATAATTCTTATAACAAAAGTGTACTTTGTTGCAACTACTTCGAATTCGTTTGATTATAAATTGTCTACCAACACCATATTATAGGATTTTCAGTGTACACTGTGTCCCAGAAACGTCTTCGATTCATATACAGAGTGACTTCGAAGTTGAGTCATTTATTTTAACAGTGTGTAGATCTGATCAAAAGAAATGTTTTTTTTCCTTTACCATTTTTCTGGTAAAATTAAAGTAACAAAGTTATAGCCCTTTGGAAGTTTGAGTACCGCCCTGCCTATTATATGCTCGTGTTTGGCGACAACGGATATAATCCGCCTGACCGGTTCATCGCATCGGAAACAAAAAAGCGAAAGAATTTGAAACGTTTATCACGATGTTTTTCGTCAGTCGATAAATCCTGAGTGAATAGTAGTGTGTTGCGTGGCTCAAACGAAATCAAAAATGGCACACGTTTACGAAAATGCTGAACTTGTGGACATGATTCTTATTTACGGGGAGGAGACTACCAAATGCTGCCGCGGCATCACGGATTTATGCGAATCGGTTTCCCAATCGAGTGCAACCAACCCCTCGTGCCTTTGTTAATGTAGTGCAAAGGGCTCGTGAATCAGGTGACTTAAGACCTCACAGGTGAGGGCATGCTGCTCCAAGACCGCACGATCAAATACAGGTCCGCACTGAAATACTTGTCGGGAGGATACTTTATTAAACAAGGTAACATTTTTTTTTTATTTTTTTTTTATTTTTACACACATATTTTGGTTTATCTTCCTTCTACAATCATTATCTGAAAATTAATGACTCAACTTCAAAGTCACCCTGTAGAACACAAAAAGATAACACTGGCTCACAAAATAAAAAGTGGTTTATGCCCAAGGTCCCACTATGTTTTTCCCATGTACTTTTTCGCGCCTAACACGAATCTGAACTCGGAATTGGTGGTCACTGGACAAATTTTAGAGAAAACTCATACAAACTGCCAAATCATCCACTATATTTTCTCCCGGTGAACGCGAATCTGAAGTCAGAGTTGGGAGTCGCTAAACAAATAAGAAAGTAATCCAGACTAATATTAGAAATTTTGGCAATTTGGTGGCTGTTTAGAGATCTTTTCGAGATGCAAATGACAAAATATTTATGTCTAAATTACTTTTTTATTTGACTAGCGATTCAGATTCGTGTTAAGCGTGAAAAAATGCATGGGGAAAGCATAGTGAGACCCTAGATATATATCACTTTTTATGTATTTGGTATGTACAGGGTCCGTCAGAAAGAACGCATGTTTTTTAAATGAGTAGTACAGTCAAAATCAGTATGGGAAAAATATTTTATTATATCAAAATACTCGTAAATAAATGCCATTTTTTGAGTAAAACAAAGTTTACGTTCTAAAAACTGTCGGCCATATGGCGCCCTCGAGCCGAAATGCAGGCGATATTCAATGGCCCCCTCGCTCCCCGGACCTGTCAACGTGTGTTTTTTATGGGGCTACCTGTAATCAAAAGTTTTGAAGGAGGAAATAAGAGGAGAAGTAACCCAAATTCCTACACGGACGCTGGCCGACGCAATGGGCTCATTTCGGGAGAGGCTTGATTCCTGCATTTCGGCTCAAGGGCGCCATATGGCCGCCATAGTTTTTAGAACGTAAATTTTGTTTTACTCAAAAATATTTATATTCTGGTATAATAAAATATTTTTTCCATACTTATTTTTACTGTACTAATCATTTAAAAAACATGCATTCTTTCTGACGAACCCTGTATATGTTAGGTTCCTATGAAAAAAAATACACGTCTCTATGTTCGATTTTATTACGCGGGTGAACAAAAAAGCACGTGGGTCACAAATTCAATCAATGAGAAGGCGTCTTGTAAAATACCTCTCAGACTAGAGAAAAATTATACGATTTGTGTAATATGGACACTAAATCCAATATTAAAGCAAGAAATACCTCAGAAATCACTTGGTTTAGCTACAACAACTTATTTTTGCATTGCGTTCGGTCACCAAATCAGCGATCAGGATCATATAATTACTCATACTCGAAGCATGGGCACAAATCTGATACAATGTCTAGATTGATATGACAGCAATTAAATTTGTATTTTATTGAAAATAACAGTGTCTCACTATTGCTGTGCAAAATGTCGGCCATATGGCACCCTCGAGCCGAAATGCAGGCGATATTCAATGGCCCCCTCGCTCCCTGGACCTGTCAACGTGTGTTTTTTATGGGGCTACCTGTATTCAAAAGTTTTGAAGGAGGAAATAAGAGGAGAAGTAACCCAAATTCCTGCACGGATGCTGGCCGACGCAATGGGCTCACTTCGGGAGAGGCTTGATTCCTGTATTTCGGCTCAAGGGCGCCATATGGTCGCCATAGTTTTTAGAACATACATTTTGTTTTACTCAAAAAAATGGTATGTATTTCTGAGTATTCTGGTATAATAAAATATTTTTTCCATACTTATTTTGACTGTACTACTCTTTTAAAAAACATGCGTTCTTTCTGACGGATCCGGTATATGTTAGCTTCCTATGAAAAAAAAAATACTTAGAGGCTCCCATACGGAGATACACGTCTCTATGTTCGATTTTATTGCGCGGGTGAACAAAAAAGCACGTGGGTCACAAATTCAATCAATGAGAAGGCGTCTTGTAAAATACCTCTCAGACTAGAGAAAAATTATACGATTTGTGTAATATGGACACTAAATCCAATATTAAAGCAAGAAATACCTCAGAAATCACTTGGTTTAGCTACAAAAACTTATTTTTGCATTTGCGTCCGGTCACCAAATCAGCGATCAGGATCATATAATTCACCAATGAAAAATAAGCATTTGCGCCATACTCGAAGTATGGGCACAAATCTGATACAATGTCTAGATTGATATGACAGCAATTACATTTGTATTTTATTGAAAATAACAGTGTCTCACTATTGCTGTGCAAAATTCTGCTTGATAAATTCTTTGAGGACATAAATAAAATTACAGAATGCTTATTCTTTAACAAACATCGAGTAAATATTCAATTTACTTGACTATCGAGGACAACTACTTCTAGCTTTGCCACCGTGGCGCAGCGTGGTCGTCCTACCTTCCCGTAGAATGCGCGATATCTGCCTGTTAACAGTAAACAAAAAGATTTACTCGATGTTTGTTAAAGAATAAGCATTTTGTAATTTTATTCATGTCTTCAAAGGATTTATTAAACAGATTTTTTTACAAAAACAGTCATTCATTGTTATTTTCAATAAAATGCTTAGTGCGTCAGGCAGCAGCGGTGGCCGCAGTAGTAGACTCTTCGGTCTCCTGATCAATCGCCGTGCGCTGTGCGGGTTCGAACCCCGTCCCAAGATAAATTTTTCTCTTGGCTATGGATGTTGTGATTGTCCGTAGGTGGTAGACGGTCTCTGACTGTCGAACGCAGAGGTACCACCCGGCGGATCTCGTATGTGGGGCCAGAATGTGTGCATGTTGCATGCACACGTGTTTCCTCGACAGAGTCCGTGTGGTGTGGCGTTCTTCTTTTCCCCTGTATCCCCCAATAGCCCCACGGTACCCCATGGGTGTCCAGGCCTTAGGCCTTCGTGGTGGTTGGAGTATAAAAAAAAGGTCAATCTATTGTATGAGGTTTGATCCACGTTTCGAGTAGGCCACAAATCGTTTTGATTGATGGAATCTGCGTCAACTTTTATGTCGGATCGTAGACATACAAAAATTTAATTGTATTTTGTAAGGCCTAGTCCAACTTTCGCCTGTTTTCTATTTCTGTTTGATTTTGTAAATCATTCAAGACATAATAATCTTCATGAGGATTCTTTAGGAACCTGCATCTCCATAGCGCTTTACAATTTTTTTATAAGAAGTTGTCATTATGTTCTACATATTCTGAAAGATCCTGTAATACATGTTTCGTAATGTCACGAAATTCACACCCTGTATAGTAATGTATAGTCTTTCACAGAGTTATAGTCTATATGTGTGCATCTAAAAACGTGCGGGTGCAAACTCAAAACACTTTTTTACTTGTAAGATGGGAGAGACTAGAATTGATATTCACACACCTTTGTCTAAGGATCCCCACTCAAAGGCTTTCTAAATTTATTAGCCTCCTCTGACCCAGACTTTTCCCTTGTGTGAAATGTTGTGACTCAAATGTATGGGGACAGCTGGTTTTTATTTATACACCTTTAAGTTTGTTAGTAGTTGTTCAGTTAAATAAATATTTCTTTTTTCGAATCCAATTCCAAATCTTGTAATGTCTTGCAGAACCTGATAAAGTGAATTCTGTAAAGGAAGGTCACGTACACTACGTGTGCTCCCCCGTCCCCCAATACCTAACAACCCCGGCATTATCGACAATAATCTCGAACTCCTCATAGTTTACCATGAACTATTAAAGGCCAATAAAAAATTACGACCTTACTTCAATAGAAATGGCGCACGAATAAAGACGAAAAAACTGTGTGGAATGTTGTGGCGATGCGAAGCCTGGAATCCAGAGGAATGCAATTTACTCTCCGATCACGAGCTTCGTCCAATAGGAGACGGAATCCTGCATCGAGGGTGATAAATATCTCCCGCTCAATTAAATTCCTACATAAAATTATAATTTAATAACGTTCACACACTGATATCATCTGGGTTTTGGTATAACATACAGCTTTGGTCTGGACAATAAGGTTCCACCAAGACGAGGTCTAGAAGAAAAAAGAGGGTTTTTCATTTCACATATAAAAATATTAACTTCATGTTTGATACTAATCTTCTTGAGCATGATGCAGCCTTAGGTAATATTCATTGTCAGATAATGAAGTCTCATACTTGGACGAAACGCATCCTTCTGACTCTCGAAATTTGACACTTTTAACTACAACAACATAAAATTTTGGTCAAATTCGGAGCGTCGAAACTTTTTTACTTTTACCTCGTTGTAATTGATTTTTTCGGTAGGTGGTAGGTACACTTATTGGCATAATTGCGTAGATATATGAGTTCTTGATTGTGGCCACTGATTTGTTGTACAGGGTAAATCAAAATGATGTTTCATGACCCCAACTTTGAGTCACTCTGTGGTGTGAATCCGGTTGCCAATCGGACCGCGATGCTTTCAATCATCAAGAACCACGTTTTCTCTATAATCTGGGTTTTTAATCAATCAACTGAAGTTTTAAGATAATCTACATTTTACCATTAATTTTCCTTCCTCCTTCAACTTTTTTAATTCCCGTACGAATTTAAAAAGTTTTTCATTAAATTTTACAGAAATCTATTGCCTTTCAGCGTTATGTTCACAATTTTTAAATCGGCATTGATACCGTTTGTCTACAATGGCGAAGAAAACGAAAACGTTTGACTGATTTAAGAACACGATGTATAATAATTTCACGTTCTACCACTTGGAATGCAGTGTCAGGGCACTAAATATCTCTTACCCTTAAATTGTGTGTTCCAAGAAATTCTAGCGAGGATTGTTCTTTTGGAACAAAATGAAGGTAACACAATAAATTAAAAATGTTAATCACAAGCAATGTCATAAGAGCATCTAATTTTTCCGAAAAAAAAAAACGCAAAAATACGTTTGCTAAGTAATATTTTAACAAGAAGCATGAGTGCTGGTGGCATCAAAAGTCGAAGACGAGGATTCTTGCACCTACACGAATGTTTTTTGTTAAAAAGATATTAATTTGCATTGTTTTTAACAGGAAAAAATAGATACTCGAATAGCATTTGATAAGACTATTTCATGAGTAAGAGATTATTCTAAATACACATACAATAGTTAACAAAATTTATTGACAATAAAATAAGAAAAATTGATTTTCGTCATTTTCTGGTGTCCTAGGAGACCATAATTACTTGTTATCAAAGGTATTGTAATTTTTGGTGACACTCATACGTTACGACAAAGTTTTCGAGTCGAAGACACACAACTAAAAAACCTATGTCTTTGAGCTTACCGAACAAATGTTCACACACAGGAAGGTTGCATGTGTATGTATGAGGGAGATGGAGATATACAGGGATTGTCCGGAAAGTAATAGGACTCATTTTCTTCCGCCATGAGTGGCTGGTCAGTTGTCTCCGAGCACTTGGAGAGTCAGGACAGGCATTTTTGCGCAACGTGTTTCTGTGAGTGGTGCAAGCCGAAAATGCAGCGTTCGTTAGTATGCAATTAAATTCTGTGTGAAACTCGGTAAATCTGCGACAGAGACGTTTGATATGATCAAGCAGGCTTACCGAGGTGGTGGTTTAGCAAGAAGTGGTGTGTTTCGGTGGCACCAGGCCTTTTTGGAGGGCCGGGAAGAGGTCGCTGATGAAGACCGTGCTGGAAGACCTTCGACTTCGACAAACACCGATAATGTGACTCGTGTGCGCAAAGTTTTAAACTCAAACCGTCGACTAAGTATTCGTTTAATTGCCCAGATGTTAAATTTACCAAAATCTGTGGTTCATGATATTGTGACACAGTATTTGAACATGCGCAAGGTGTGCGCGAAGATGGTCCCAAAAGTGCTCACTGACGACCAGAAATTGCGGCGAGTGGAAGTGTGCCAAGAAAATTTGAACATGTGTGAAAGTGACCCCCAATTTTTGAATAACGTAATCACAGGTGACGAGTCGTGGATCTTTGAGTATGATCCCGAGACAAAGAGACAATCTTCCGAGTGGCACACGACGGCGTCTCCTCGCCCAAAAAAGGGAAGAATGAGCAAATCCGAAGTGAAAACGATGCTCATTGTCTTTTTTGACATCAAAGGCATAGTCCACCATGAATTTGTTCCTCCTGGACAAACCGTCATTGCCAAGTTTTACGTGGAAGTGCTCAGGAGACTCAAACGAAGGGTCAATCGGGTACGACAAGACATCGCAGCGGACTGGAAGTTGCAGCACACCGCCTTTCTTGTGATCAGCTACCTGACCAAGGCCGGCACCCCAACGCTTCCGCAGCCGCCCTACAGCCCAGATGTGGCCCCCCGGACTTTTTTGTTTCCTCGCCTGAAAAGGCCGATGAAAGGCAAGCATCTTGAGACGACAGAGGGGATCCAAGCAGCATGCACCGCAGCTCTCAAGGCTATTCCGGAGAATGCCTTCCGTGACGCCTTCAATGCTGCGCTGCATGGACGCAGAAGGAGCCTATTTTGAAAGTTTTTAACGAATTGTAACGATTGGCTCAATATTTTTTTTTTAAATCGACTCATTCCTATTACTTTCCGGACAAACCCTGTATAAAGGAATTCTGGTAGTCTTACTTTGACCCGCCAAGATCGGTGACTACAGCTATAACTTCAACATCGACGCGACCGTTCATGAGATCACACGATTAAAAAATGCCGATAGACCAACAAAAATGAGAGACGTGGATTTTCGTAATGTATATCAAAGAACCCTTAATCTGAAATTCGAAAATATTTTCGATCACTATACTGATGAACGCACCGACAATCCACAAACCCTGGACTATTACAAAGTAATTTAACCAAGAGCACCTAAGGCACCAATCTATCCATGTAACCCAATTTTCACCTAATCAATCCCCATATCTTAAACTGCATTACAGTTCATCAAACAGTTCAGTAGTGTAGAGGGACATACGAGGAATTACACCCAAGCACCTAACAACACCGCCATGTAGTCGAAACTAAGATAAGAAAATTTTTGTGTGGACGCGCTTGCGTGAATTTTGGCATTTAAAGGAAACCCGCTTGATTTTCCACGGTATTTTCGCGGTGAATCCCGTACGAAACTAAATATGTGACAACAAAATGCATTGGAATAAAGTTCTGTTTTATGTGCTATGTGCTGTGAAATTCAGTGATCTTGCTATTGCTGGAGTATCAGGTAAGATGTATAAGAAATAAACCAATAAGAAATCAAGTAGGTTGACTTGTGGAGTTCCATGCAGCTTTAAATTCTGATTCAATAATATTCCAAGTAGTTACTAAAATACTTTGAGTTCAACTTAATTATAACTCAATATAAGCACAAATAAAGAATCTGAAAACCTTAAAACATATTTGGTCAAAAATGGGGAAGTCGACTTTTTGACAGCTCGACATCTCATAAAAAATACCAAGTTCAACGACTTACTGAGATTATTAGGTAACGAAAAAGCTGCGCAAAAATTAGATGCATTTACGCATTGGAAACATCATGAACAAAATATTCTTTTTGTCTAAATTGTCAAATAGATTGACTTCGTTCTAGACGCATCTTTTACATTACACACTTGAAAACTTTTCCTAACATGTTCGCTCTCTAATAACGAGCTTTGAACATTTCATCTGATTTTGATTATCTCAATTTAATCATTTTCTAAATTGCAATATCTGTCCTGTAGCAAAATACTCAGTATTTTTATGAATATTTTGCATTGCTACATAGATTTTGAAGTAAAAGACTATCTATTCTTTTGATTATAAAACTGTTCGCTATTTAAATAGCTAATAGCTGCTCATATAAAAATGTCCGCATTTTGTGTATCATCTAGTTATCGAAATTACTGGCGCAGTTATTTAGATGTCGTAAGCAAAGCTTAAAACTCGGCTTGGGGAGATTAGTCAATTCATGAAGTGATCTCTACAGTACTGCAGTTGCAGCCAAAGTCCAAATTTCTCTCAAGTTTGGAAATTTTTAAATGAATGACGGTTGACTGAAATACCTTGCCAAGGTCCAATACGATAAAGCTGTTGAATTTTAACGAACTAATATGTTTTGTAACGAATATTAAACAACGTAAAGCGGTACAGCGCTTTTATACTGAATAGCCGTAGCCACGGGATAGCTTTATGAATTTAATAGCAGTTTTCAGTTGTCTGTCAGACTCGGTAGTCTGTTTAAATGTTGCAAAATGTGAAAGCTTTACTTGCTGCTATTCAGTATAAAAGCGCTTTACGTTAGCTATATGCGCTCATTAACAGTTACTCAAATAGTACATATCTGTCACGTCAGTTACATTTTACTCAACGTGAACAGTTGAGGCTTAAAGATAATTGAAGGCAATGAATCAATCGAAAGAACGTGCCATAAAAAATTTTACAGATCAGTGATGGAGATTCGAAGTTTAAGCTATACAGGATGTTTCACAACTTATCCGACAAATTTTAACCACATATGCACTGTTACGAAAGAAGTTGATTTCTCAAAAGAAAAAATATACTAAAAGTCCTACAGAAATTAAGTTATAAACCTGAGTTTCAATAATAAATTGAAAAATAAATATCTGTATTTTGCTTTTATCGTCGTGATATTAGAACACTCATTAATAATTTATTGTCGCAAATGTACCAAACAACTGACGAAAACAAAATACCAGGAATTTTCTGTTTTTTCATACTGAAGAGCATGTAAATAAGGTTTAATCTGTATCGTGGGTGATCTGAATGAAGAACGGTCGATTTTTGTTAATTAAGAAATTATTTTGCTAGTTTTTTTTTTTAGTTATTTATTAATAAAAATGTGTACACTAATGAGGAGGACATTGTTTTAGCGTACGGAGAAGCAGGGCAAAATTCGCGAGCGGCTTCTCGTGTGTATGCACACCGATTTCGATCGGAAGACGTGGACCAATTGTCTGGCCTCCACGGTCTCCCTATCTAAATCCTCTGGACTTCTTTTTATGGAGATACTTGAAAAACGAGGAATACCGTATACCAATTCAGAATATTGAAGAATTGAGTGACCGAATCACAGTGGCTGCTGACAATTTGAGCCTTCAGGCACAGTAGGAAGGAGGTTTATTAGAATTAGTGCGCCGAAATTGGATTAGACGCGCCCAAGCTTGCATTGTAGTCAATGGAAACAATTTTGAACAGCTTTTATAGAAAACTGAATTATTTTATTATCTCGATTTCTGTAGGACTTTTATTACATTTTTTTTTACAGTGCATATATGGTTAAAATTTGTCGGATAAGTTGTGAAACACCCTGTATAAATATTATGCTATATACATATTTCAGCACACACAAACAAAGTGTTTGACGTATCATTAAAAGAAGACAACTCTATCAGACTCTATTGGCAGTTGGACTACAGCTCCGAAACCGTCACTTTTGAAGTACATATTCCAGCTGGATATGGATGGTTTGCTCTAGGGTTCTCAGATCGTGGAGATCCATTCCCAGCCGATTACTGTGTGCTGTGGGAAAATGTAAATGGAATCGTGTCTTTTGATGTATGTATGAGTGTACAGATACGTTTGCCTTCAGGGAATGAATAAAAAGTATTTTAGTATTATATACATGGTTGCCCAAAGAAAAGGTCACACCGCCATTTGCGACTCTCATGATATATCTTTTCATCTATAGACATACAACACAATACAGGGTAATCCAAAAATAAGAGATTCCATGATGTTTTTAGTAACTTTTGTATAATAAAGTTTATTCCTATCTTCTATCGTTGTGAAGCTATTTGAGTTTATAATAAAATTCGACTAACTTATATTAATACTGATAATAATGGAATGCACGGCAAAAAATAATAATAATGGATACCAGCAAGAACATTTAGCATCAGTAAATGTCATCGCATGCCATAGAAAAACAGTGGAAGTCCTTTAGATTACTTTCTTTGGGGGCATTTGAAAAATAAAGTTTTCACTACGAAGCCAGATTCCATCCAAGATCTTCGACAACGGATTACGGCTGAATGTAGGCAAATAAATCAAGACATGCTTGAAAATGTGAGGAATAGATTCCAACAAAATCTTTATTATTGCATGGAGGTAAATGGACACCACTTTCAGCACTTTACCACATCAACATTGTTCTTTGTTTTTTTGCTCGGAGACTTGTTCTTAATTTTAAAGTAATGTTTTGTTACTCTGGGAACTATATTGATTATTATTTTTACTATATAACTCCTTATTATCAAAAGTTCTAGAATTTTATGGTAATACAATATAATACGCAATGAATGATCTGCGGAACGTAAGACCTTGTAAGCAAAATATTTCTTGCGCTCACTCACTCGTACACTACTAACTTTCTTATCACATTCCTTGTATCAACCGAATCACTCAAGAAGAACACAAAAACGAGATGGAGAAGCACTTTCACGGGATTTCAAATTATTTTTTGAAGATACATCGGAATGTTAGCTGAAGAATCATAATGACATCCACAGATGGGATCTCCACATCGAATCATCAAATAGCGATGGCACTGCCAGCAACCATTGAGCAACTGCCATCGCTTTTGTGAGGACGCTTGTATTTGAATACAGTCTTAAAGAGATACTTAGGCCGTATCGTCAGTCGTCCCTTCAATTGTATGGCGCGTTTATGATGGCCTCCTTGATTGTCATACTCTTTTCTCTCCTTCAAAAATTTTTAGATTACACTTGTCCCGTGTCAGCGTCAGCGCTCTCCTATTGTGAAGATATGTTTTCTTTTTAAATTGTAGGAAATTTCAGACTGATAAAACATGATATAACTCAAAAGCAAGCACAATTTGATGCAAATAGATGTTTGTGACATAACCTCAAAATAGAGCGCTGACACGGAGAGGTAGAAAACTATGACAATCAAGGAGGCCATAAAGGCGTCCTACAATTGTAGGGACGACTGACGATACGGGCCTTAGACCTAGAGACAATATTTTTTTATATTTCTTATATTTTAATTCTACGGATGTCAACTTGTGTCGGACTTTAAATGCATTCCAATATCATGTTAACTATAGATTAAACGCCACATAGCTCTAATGTTTTTTGTTTATTTTCCGAGACTGGCAACTTACTATATGTGGTTGTTTTTTTAGGACGCGTATGCGGACAATCGTGGAGTTCTTCATTTAGACAAACAACAAGATTGCAGGAAATTCAAGATAAAAACATCTAGCAATTTCGTAAAATACACTTATCGCAGGAAATTTGATACATGCGACAATAATGATTATGTTGTAGAGGTAAGGTTCAAGAAGTTTCGATATTTTGAAACCTCAGAAATGCAATGTTTGCTTTCTAAGTTGCAGCGAAAAATAATATGACAAAATTAATTTTTTTAAACGTATTTTGAGTGTTACCTAAGTTTTCGTTATCATAGGATGGAACTACTCATATAGTCTGGTCTCGAGGAAAGCACAAACTATACCAACTTAATGGCTTGAATGTCAGTAGTTCTACTCAAGATATCGGCATGGTTCGAGTTCACTTGCTGAAAAACACTCACGTTGAAGCTGCTCTACCAAAATACGTGAGGAATTTGGACATTGTCACTAATAAAGTTAAGGTTCCCAATGTTGAAACGACTTATTGGTGTCACGTTTTCAAGTTGCCAGATGAGTTTTCGAAAAAGCATCACATATATCAGGTAACCAGGTAACAGCAAATCATAATTATAGTAGTACTAAGATGTTTATGTCAGTCGTCAGTAGAAGCTTAATAAAAGTCATAAAAAATGTTGATGAATCACTACCACATATGAAGATTCCCTCCTTTTTTTCAGAATAACAGCTTTCTAAAATAGTTCATTCCATAGATTTGTAATGTGTACAGATGTTGTGCCAAAATGTCAAACATATGTATTTATCAATTTCAGTATGAATCTCACATTCAAGATAACAGTCGTGGTGTAGTTCACCATATGGAGGTGTTCCATTGTGAAACTGGTACTAAAGAGGAGATACCACTTTACATAGGAGATTGTTTTGCAAAAGACCGGCCCCCAAAAACACAGGTGTGCAAACGGGTTTTAGCTGCATGGGCTATGGGTGCACCACCATTTACTTATCCAGAAGTAAGTTATATTTACAAACCAACTTAGTTCTGTACAATAATACATGACAACCAATAATACATAACTGAAGCATCATAGGGCAACTAAGGCAGTAGCCCACCTCAATTCATCGTTTCGCGCTTTACCAAGTCTGTGTTGCGATTTACACTTTCTATGATGCTTCCATCATATAGTATTACTGGTGACATACTGAAGATTTTAATTGTTGTAACAAATAAGTTGGAACTTTTTAATTAATTGAAATTTTAAATATTTGTTACCTTATTTTATAATAAAGTGATCACATAATGAAATAAACACTCCCTAAGGTCAGTTTAATGCAAGAAAAGCAATTTAAAAAAATGTTACATGACATCTTCATCCACTTGTGTCTTCAACTAACAATGAGATTATTTTTCCATATGATCTAGAGAATAAAATATTTTTGGACCTAATATACATTTCAGGAAGCTTCTCTACCTATTGGCGGTGAAAACTTCAATCCATACATAATGCTAGAAATACACTACAATAATCCTGAACTGCGATCAGGTAAGTTTTAAATAACGGGGAAAAATTCCTCAAGGAAATTACCATCATCATTTCAGCATTTTGACTATTCGTTTGTTTTCAGACATTGTTGACAGTTCTGGAATAAGATTTCACGTTTCATCGAAGCTCAAGAAAATGGACGCAGGTGTCATTGAGCTGGGGTTAGAGTATACCGACAAAATGGCGATTCCGCCAGGTCAGGAACAATTTCGGTTGACTGGTTATTGTACAAGCGTTTGTACTTCAATGGTAAGGTCATAAAATCTTCAACAAGTGACGAGTTTTGTTTTTTATTTACGAAATAATTCAAAACAATTGAATGGTTAACCTGAAATATTTGGTTTATCTTAGTCTCTTCAAGAAAACCGAATCATCGGTACATTTTAGCTGAATTCATTTAATTACAAACTATAATGGGACACATCTAAAAACTCGTTAAGCTCCTAAATATACAACCAGAAATATCAATTAGCGTATTCCACCTGGTTGACGTTAATCAATGCTAGAAAAATAGAATTATAATAACACTTTAGTTTCTATTAAGCTACGTTCTCACAGGGCAGAAAGACAACAGCGTAGCACGCTCTCAGTTTATTTTCGTAGACTATTCACACGGTCACGATTCAGTTCATTCCTCGAAGTCGACCATGATGGAACTTCTGGTGGAGAGTTGTGCAGTTTTGAGTTCAGTTTTAGTACTTTAGGTTAAGCGAGTCACGTGAAGTGTTGAAAAGGCATCGACTGGCGAGTCCACGTATGACAATCAAACGTGTTTGATACCGAGCGTGAGTGGTCGGGAACTTGCGTCCCTGCCACGCTCCGTGAGAACATAGCTTAAAACGTCGAATTCTCGGATAAGGGAACATTTTCCTCGCACTGAATATTTTTTACATTGTAGGGTTTGCCATCGGAAGGAATCACTATATTTGGCTCTCAACTTCATACCCATCTTACAGGAGCACGTGTAGTAACACGACATTTTGATGCATATGGTAAAGAACTACCAGAACTGAACAGAGACAATCACTACAGCACTCATTTTCAGGAAATTAGGAGATTGAAAAAACCCGTCAAAGTGCTACCTGTAAGAGCTTAGTAATGATAATCGTAGTAGTGCAGCAGCAAGCATTTGCTTTTCCGGCCTCATAAGTAGAGCTCTTATAACATATTTCAAATGAGTTGAGAAAAACATACATTTTTTATAAACATGATTTTATTTAGCTGTTAATAAAATGAACTAAAAATTTAAGAATAATTTTTCCGATAGGAAATATTTAAACAATGCTTCATTATTGTTTATCTCAATTTTTCAAATAAAGGCGTCATGCACCCTTCTTTTCATCTTGAAAACTTAACACGCTTTTATTTGAAAACTAGAGATGCAGGAGCTTTATTATTGTCAAAATATTTCCAGTCGGAAAAAAATTAAATCAAAACTTGTTTTTGGAATTGTATTATTTTTTAGTTTTAAGTATTTATATCAAGTAACTAGTTTAGTAATTTCTATATAATTTTCATATATTTTATTAATAGGACTCCATAAAACTTACTTTGTTTGTATTATAAAATTCCGATTTTGCTTATTGTCTTTTTTCATCAAGCTCTTTCATTTAATGAGCATATGATAGCCGTGATGATGGAAATTATAAATCATTTAGCGGCGGCCGCCATATTGGATTTAGAATGACGTCACTTTGCTCATTATGTTTTCATCAATCCCTTTAATTTGGTGCCTATATCATAGGGGTAACTATGGATATTATAAATGTCATAGTGGATGTGGAATGACGTCACTTTGATCATTTTGTTTCCCTGATCAAGCCCTTTTATTTGATACCCTGCTCAGGGGTGACTATGAAAAATGTAAATCTGCATTTTACGGACGCCGACATATGGCTTACTGTGTTAGTCTTATCGAACATTTTCATTTGATAACCATTTTATAGCATAGCAATTTTGGATTCACAATGAGAACGGTTAATTCATTGTGTATTGTAAGGCGAGCCAAAAGAGCATACAACATTTCATCTCAATTGGTTAAGGTTAACTGGTTCAAAATTCAGTTTCAAGATTTGTCGTACACAAACATACTTACAAACAATTCAAGTTAAATGAAGGCTTGAAAAACGTTATTTACCTAAAAACTGTGAAACCAATTTGCTTTCGCTTCAAAATGCGTATTTTATTTTATTTTCCTTGCGAGCTTGCTTATGAGGTTGATAAAACGCGATAGCTTCAAGATTCCACATCTAGATAAACATAATTAATAGATGCTGGGGCCTGATTCTAACTGAATTTCGACCGTTGAAATTAATTTCGATACATATGATCCTCTATGATAATTTTGAAACATGATTCTCGCGATATTCTATATTCAAATTATCATGCCACTGTCAAAATTATAATAGCAGATCAGATGAATGATGACAAGGTACCAGCGAAACTAATTTCAACAGATGAAATTCAGTTAGAATCAGGTCCCTGGCTTCTCTAGATCTATTATGGCTAAACACACTGTATTGTTCAATTCTCTTCCAGGGACATGTTCTAATAACGAGATGCGACTACAATACAGAAGATCGACCGAACATCACAATGGGAGGTTTTAGCATTAGTGACGAAATGTGTGTAAATTACATCCACTATTTTCCTCATACAGAATTGGAGGTCTGCAAAAGTTCTATCAGTGATCAAGCTCTCAAAACATACTTCCAGTACATGAACGAGTAAGTTGTACAATAATAACCAATTCATTTAATGCAGAACTTACGTGAAATTGGATAACATTTCTTACAAATCGTCGTTCACAACCACATACATGTTTAATAGCAACAAAATTGATTTGTACATTGATGGAACTCGATACTGAGCTGTCAGGCACGAGAGTAACTATGGATATATCAGCTTTCCAAATATTTTAAAAAGTGCCTTGAACAATGTAAAATAATAATAAAGCAAACGGAAAGCATTATAATCTTTAAGAGAGGAGTACTGGGTTAGTCTACTTTACAATATTTTTTGCAGGTGGGAAGGACAGTCTACGTCTCCATCTAAAGGCGTATCAGATAACTACAAAGCCATCCAATGGAACAAAATCCGCGTTCAACTTCTACAAGAAGTGTACCAGGAGGCGCTTCTTAGTATGCAATGCAATATGTCAAGTGGTGATAGGTTTCCGGGGTACTGGGAGAATGCTCAAATTCCACCTGTTCTGCTGCCTCTACCGCCCCCCGTTAGAAAATGTGAGCATATCGCACAGAATGACTATCTGTGAAATATTGTACAATACTTTCAAAGTTGAATATCATATGCTGAAGTTACAACAATGAATGTTGCAATATATAATATTGTAAGCAGAAATTGCTGTATATTTTAAATACCATCCTATTAAACAATCAAGTAGTTACATCTATATTCACGAGATTTTCCATTTCACATAAGTTTCCCTTCTATGATATAGTGACATAAAAATGTCAAAAAACGCATTATACCTAAAATAAATTATGAAAAATCGTATTCTCCGTTTATTATAAAGCAACAACTAAAATAAGTAGTGTTCTGAAAGTTGTGACTACCCTTTCCTGAAACAACTACAAGCACTCACTATTTATTTGGTAAAGAATTTGAGATACTACCATGTCACGTCTTGTACGTAAATACTGCTTGAAGTCACAGCTTGATTTAAAAACACAAGTTAGTGTTATCTTCCATCTAAATTTGCAAGATTTGGGGCTGTCTAGGTGTGTCCACCTTGACGGCGTTTGCAAGATAAAAACAAACTTACCCAGCTCTGAAAGAATACCTCCAGGACAACAAACTGAATACACTCGATGAATAGCATCACGGTAAACTAACATCAAATAGATAACTGCGTTATAGCTGTAAGAATGTGCCAATTTTGGTTTTTTAAAGCAAGTAGGATGACACTCCACGCGGCACCTGATTTGGGTACCTTTTGACGTTAGAAATTATTTGTCTAAAAGGATGCAAGTTACAAAAGTTAATGACACTATTTCATCAAAAATTGAAAATACGTTGGGTGTTCCACAGGGCAGTATCCTGGGACCACTTCTTTTTATTTTATACATAAATGATTTACCTGCTGTAGTCAAAAAATGCAAAATTCATATTTTCGCCGATGACACTATGTTTTATATAAGTACTAAAAATATTCAGTCTGGTATCTCTTATATAAATGACGGCTTGAAGCTTGTCTCAAAATGGTTAGCATCTAACAGACTAAAATTAAATGCAAGTAAAACGAAAGCCTTGTTAATCGGAAAAAAACAATGTACAAATGTTCAACTGAATATTGATGGTGAAGATATTGAATTCGTAGAAAATTTTAAATACCTGGGGGTTTTTGTTGACTCTCGATTAATTTTTGATATTCATTATGAAAAAGTTATAAATAAGATTAGTAGTAAAGTGGGATATTTATCGAGAGTTTCTGGATGTCTGAGTTCATATAGCAGAAAAATTATCTATAATACCATCATTCTTCCAAATTTCTTGTACTGTTCGACTATTCTATATTTAGCAAATAATTCCATTTTTGAAAGACTGCAAATTTTACAAAATAAGTGCATGAGAATAATACTAAATAAAGATAAATATACTCCAATTAGGCAAATGCTTAGCAAATTAAAATGGCTCAATGTAAAATATTTTATCAAATATCTTGTAATGATATTCATTTATAAAGTAAAAAATAATATATTTCCATCAAGTCTAACTAATTTAACATCATCAAATGTCGACTATCATTTACATAATACCAGCAATAAAGATGACTTCCATTTAATGACCAAAAAGTATAACATATGCTACAAATCTGTATTCCATCAAGGGTTGATTGAATATAATAAATTATACTCGGAGATAAAAGACCAGAAAACTTTGACAAAATTTAAAGTAAAATTGAGAAATCACTTGTTAAATCTACAATTATAGGTTGCCCAGCATTTACATCATACACCATATGGCTTGAATTTACTAGTTTTAAGTTGTTTACAATTATTCTGTTTATGTAGCCAAATGTGCTAAATAAATCTTTCTACTACTACTACTAGATGCTGTGCCGGTTTTTTCAGAACCGCGTATCTCAGTTATCTTAAATATTTTGTGATGTTACTGAGAAAGTTGCTTACTGTAATATGAACTGTATATAGTTTAAGGACACCTTGTTCGCCCAAAATCTATGATCTCTTGAGATACTCTGAACGGAGCAGCAATTCTCGACGACGCAAATTTGGACATACAAATGGTGTGCAAAGCTCTGGAAAATCCAAAAATACACCCACTTTGGAGTAGGTACGTCGCCTTTGGGTCCTTCATTAAAAATCATCAAACTCGAAATAGTATTTGCAAGTAGGTCATTTGATATAAATAAATAAAATTTATTTGTTTTGACTTACAAGTAATACAAATCAATTTATCATATCTAACTTCACCAACTATTTCCTAAGTTCGTATATCTGAATATAGGCTTCTGTCAACGTGATCATCTGTGGCAAAATATCAGTGACATGTAAGTCTTGCATTTCATACCACTGTCCTGTTGACTTTTGGAGGATGTGAACTCTGTATGTGCCCTTGCTTGGTTCGCCATCATGGACGATGTTTGCTATTAAGTCATATACTGTGTTTTTGTGATTGGCTTTTGCTTCGTGTGTCAGGAACTCAGCAAAGTCTACATTCCTGAAAAAGAGCAATTTCAATAAGTGTGTGTGTTATAAGAGTACTAACGTCGCATTGACGTTGGTCGATCAGGTAAACGACGTGCCTGAAGTACAAATTATACGAACGACAATTAGGAAGTTTCCTATTTCGGAAATACTGCTAGTTTCACTTGCATATAATGGTATTAATTCCTTCCACAAATGTGAAATAATTATTCCGATGACTTGAAGTTTAAGGAAGTTTTGACATTTTCTGAGTTGGGGGCTGTAGCCGACCGCCCTCGGGCGTCGAGGTTCGTCTGTGACTCTGGGAATATATGGCAAAAATGCTTTGGCCACTGGTTGGTTGTTTTCTTTGGCTCTGGCATTCCTTGATGTCATGGATTTTCTAATTTCCAGCTCTGAGTATACATTGGTCATTAAGCTGTTCTTTAGATGTTCAAGTTACTCAGCTGGAAATTAGAAAATTCATGACATCAAGTAATGCCAGAGCCAAGGAAAACAACCAACCAGTGGCCAAAGCATTATTGGCATATTTATATTTCCAGAGTCACAGACAGAATTGGACGTGTACTTCTCAAGGAGAACGTTAAAACAATATACAGGCCAACGACAAAAATAAGTGAAAGTCTGAGATCGGCAAAAGATAAGAGAGACCCTCTGTTATCTTCGGGAGTCTATCGCATACCTTGTACTTGTGGAAGTGTGTACATCTGAACAACAAAACTATCTGTGAATAACAAAATTAAAGAACACAAAGCGAACTGCCATCTGGGTCAAATAGAAAAATCTGCTGTAGCCGAACACGCGGCCACGAAAACGGACCACCGTATTAAATTTGAAGCTGCCCAGGTAATTGCTAACACACCATCATATCAAGCTAGATTATCTATAGAGATACACAAACACACGGACAACTTTAACAAAACAGAGGAATCACTGAAAGTACATAAAACCTGGCTACCAGTATTAAAAAACAGACAATTGCGTTATCCCAATCGAAAAACAAGAGCCGAGTCATCCCGAACGCCAAGGATTCAAGAAGAGCTCTCCCCACCACTCGAGCCACATATAAATGCGAGCTAAGACCGCGGAGATGTCAGTGGCTCACAGGACTCCAAACTGTGAACATCTTCTGAAGATGCCGACCACTCATGTTGGCGAAACTTCAAGTAAAAATGTTTTACGACGGCCTAACAACCCAAAAACTTTGGATTGAAATCCCAGCTCAAATTCAGCCAGGAGCAAGTGAAAACGGTTCAGGGTATTAGTTGCCTAAATGCGAATTTTTGCCTTCATAAATGATTTTGTATTGTATTGCTTACCGTTTTCGAATATATATATATACAGGGTGACTTCGAAGTTGAGTCATTTATTTTAACAGCGAGTAGATCTGATCAAAAGAAATGTTTTTTCCTTTACCATTTTTCTGGTAAAATTAAAGTAACAAAGTTATAGCCCTTTGGAAGTTTGAGTACCGCCCTGTCTCAATAATAATATTATGTGCTCGTGTTTGGCAACAACAGATATAATCGGCCTTATCGGTTCATCGCATCGGAAACAAAAAAGCGAAAGAATTTGGAACGATGTTTTTACAATTATTTCATTCAGTTGTATACAGTCAGTGTCAGTCGGTAGTGAATTGTGGTGTCTGTTGCGTGGCTCAAACGAAATAAAAAATGGCACATGTTTATGCGGATCGGTTTCCCAATCGAGTGCAACTAACCCCTCGTGCCTTTGTTAATGTAGTACAACGGGTTCGTGAATCAGGTGACTTAAGACCTCACATATGGACGGCATGCCGGTACTCCAAGACCTCACGATCAAATACAGGTCCGCACTGAAATACTTGTCGGGAGGATACTTTATAAAACAAGGTAAACAATTTTTTTTATTTTTTTTTATTTTTACACACATTTTGGTTTATCTTCCTTCTACAATCATTATCTAAAAATTAATGACTCAACTTCAAAGTCACCCTGTATATATATAATTATATAGTGCTTTTAGCAAAACTAAATTGAAATTCAATGTAGATTTCAATTAATTGTAGTAATGTAATACATAATGACTCAGCTTGGGGAGAACCCTGTACATGAACAACTTTGACATAGTTAAGTTTTATAAAAAAATCTCTTCATTCAATTTCGTGGGGTAGAGACGACAGCTTCTTCCAAAACATTCACAAACTACAATATGTACAGCTAGAGCGAACAGAGTGAGAAAAGTGGATGTTTTCAATAAAAAGTGGGTTAAAGTGAGATGGATCGAAAAAGGTAAGAAAAAGTGAGTCACCAGCATCCCTGCATGTTGGAAAGATTTTTTTTTGTACCTTTGCAAGCAATAAAAGAGCAAATATATTTGTTTGCTTATAGGTTTAACTTAAAAAACTTACTTCACAGGAAAATTAACAATGGTGGGATTCTTCTCTACAAAGAAAGTGTTCTTTGTAAACCTCTTTATGTATAATATCAAATAAGGAGGCAGTTGTGTAATTTCAAATCGTTTCATGAAATTTTCTTTATATGTCTTGTACTCCTTTTCTGACTGGCCATTGAACTTTGTTAGCAGCTGATACAAATTAACCTGAAACAAGTTTTTTTTTTGGCAATCATCTTTTTTTGATTTAGTCTAATTTTGCTGATCATTAATCATCTTTAGAAGAGTTACCTGAGGAATTATATTTTCTCTAAATTCATCTTTAAACAATGGTGGAGGAGGTAAATCACAAGTCAAATACAAAAATGGCGATTCTGTTGAAACTTCCTGATACTCTTCAGTAGCCATAAGAGTTTTCTTTTCTTTGTCATTTAGATCTGTTGGTGGGATTTTCCTGGTGTAGATTTTCATACTACCCAAAAAGGATTTGTATATTATCGAGCTATTTTGTTTCTTTGTCCCATTCAATGCTCTGTGAAGAGCATTTAAAAACCACGATAGAAAATCAATAGGGTCACCTACAAAAAAAATGGAATCAGGTTAGTCAGTCCTCCAATCTGAGCTCAAGATTTCACCATAAAGCAAACTCAACCATGTAAAAATTGAGTCAACAATAATGTATTTTTGCTGATTCAATATCTCTCTAGTATCCCATCATGGCACTGCATACTGTGATAATTTAATCAATACTAAAGTTGTTTGATTAAATAATCGCCGAGAGTCGCCCCCCCCCCCATGGATCCAAGGGTATAGTTATTGATAACAAAGGCTAAATCTTGTACTCAATTTACTCAAGAAATGAGATCACAGAAACAGATGAGCAGGGGTTTTTGATAATCTCCTCACATTAAGTTTCAAAATATTATAGGACTAGGCAGCACAAAATTTCTATTTCCATTCCACACTGTAACAAGAAATTGGAACTTAGTCTACATAAGTAATTTGTAGTACTGCATTCAAATTTGACCATCAAAAAATCATGAAGGGTCATGGGGCTCAATTTTACGTAGTAAATGAGTCATTTAAATTAAAAATTAATTTCATCAGTCAAAATAATATGACAGAATGTGTGTGTCTAACCTGCTAACTTTTTCTTGGAACTATTTTGGGAAATGATGAACTGAACAATGTCTCAATATCTATTTCCAAAATTGTGAACTATCAATATTTAAACAATCATTTTTACCTTGTTGTGTGAACTGAAACCTTTTTTTGCTCCACAAAACTACAGCTTGTAACATTTCATGAGGTGAAACATGGGCCTTGAAGTTCCTTGGATTCCATAGTTTCCTCATAAGTTCACCAAATCTTTGCACTAAAAGGTAAGATGAATCTCCAGGTGGTCTCTTAATATTCAGATAATTTTCTTCTCTTAGGAAATAGTTACGAAGTGGTGTTACATGGGACAATGCCTAATAGTTAAAGATTCACAGTGTAATTAGTAAAATAGAATTTATGCATGCTAATAGTTAAAATATGGATAACTAAAGGAAAATCTATACAAACAATCATGAACTATTTGGATAAACACCTGCACTATTTGTTTCCAAAAAAATGGGAACCCATCTTCAACAGAAAGCACTAGCATAACTTTGTCATCTGGCTGATTGTTGCCAATAAATAATGAAATGATAATAATATTAATGGATACATTATACCTTTATTGGAAATGAAAATACATATTAGAAAATGTGTTTCTTTTGAGCAAAACCTATGTACATTAAAATTTTATGACAAATAAAATAGTATCATACCTGTAGTACAACATTACAATAATCATTTGCTTTTATATTATTTAATCCAACAATACCAGGTGTATATAATGAGCCATCAATTGCCCTGGATAATTTTGTACTTGAATCTAAATGTTTTATATGCTCTGGTGTAAATGTAGGATTTAAAACATACTTAATATCATCAAGTGAGGAATCTGGAATAAAAAATCATACCATAGAGAACCGTATTTATATGCATCAAGTTCAAATCAAAATTATAGCAGTATGGCACTGGCAAATCCTTTTCTACTGTCCACTGGGTTCAAACAAGCAGTTTTTCTTCCCTCACAAAAAATTTACTCATGGTCTTTACTGATCTTTACACACAACTGTTTATTAACAGCAAATCTATGTTCACATAAATGTTCTCCTTGGAACAATAACCAAGCTTAACATCTGATATTTTGAAATTTGAATCAAATGAAAGAGTATGGATAATTTACCTATAATTTCATAATTATCGGGCAAGCAATAAAATTTCAATGTATGCAAGTTAAGGAACACATGATGTCCTTCAGCCACAGAGTGAGTATAAGCATGTGTGTTGGTTCCTCTGCCTTGGAAGTATTTGCCACATACCAAGCAAGCATATACATTTATTCTTGTCAAAGATACTGAGCACAACTTTTCAAAGTCAAAATCCAAGTACTGCCGATTGATAGTATCTAGGTAAGGACATAGACGATGTATTTTGGCTTCTGGAAATAAAGTGTATGTTAAATAATTAGCTTTTTTGGGAAGTGATGAGTAGTTACGGTTCTGAGGCTTGATATCCTTTTTGTCGGTACCATTTATGTTGGAAGAACCTGAAACGTCTTCAATTATTGATAAGCATTTGCTTGTTATTCTCATACATTACCTTCCTCAGTTTTGATTTTTTTAGCTGATGGTTCACTCATAATGAAAATAGAATAATTTTGATTGGTATGTAGGGGTTTATTAAGCTTATATGTTATATGTAAATAAACGATATAGAATTAGAGGTTAGAATAGAAAACAAAAATATGCCATTTCACAAAACATGTACATGCCATATGCATGGCCAATATCGTTCTGACGTTGACAAGCCAACAGTGATGGGTCAACACGTGCGGCGGGTTCGCTGAAATTCCAGTGGCGGAGCTAGAAATATTTGTGCTTACGTTTGCATTTGCTATTTATAGATAAAATGAGATACCTTAGGATCGTCTATGAGCAATTATCACAGCTATTTCTCTATTTAATCCATGTATCACGGACGTCCTAATGTGTACGAGAGAGAAGCACGATAATCGTGCAATATGTGTGTTAGAAAGAGATAGAAGCACCTCGCTGCCTAGCAACCCGAGTGACGGGGACACGGACGCAGCTGCGGCTTGCCGCGTTGCCATCGGCGCAGTCTTTCTAACATACATATTACACGCTTCTCTGTCGTTCAAATTTGAACCTAACCTTTTCAAAGTGTATATGGTGAATAGATAAACAGCTGTGACATATTCGCACAGGTGACGTTACGGATTCTTACTTTATATCATTATTAATTTTAACATAGCTCTTGCGCTCTAGAGCAATATTAACAGTGGCTAGTATCATTATACCCGATCAACTTTCCTCTATAATTCTAGAAATAGGATCACAGGTGCAATGTTGGGTTGAACATCAAGTTGCATAAATTCACACACTGGTCAGTTAAAAATAACATGGGTTTTGCAGGGTATATAGATATAGGTGAGCCCAAGAAAATTTGGTATTTGCGTGATTCCAGGTACAAATATGCGACGGTACACAGTCTACAGGTCCTGGGTACTTACACCGGTATATGTATATAAATACTCTGGAACATTTATCCAATTATCCCTGGGTATTTAAGAACTATGATGGAGGAGTATTACCAGTGCTAGTTCGAGTGATTGTACTTGCAACAGGGGCAAATCAAATGTTATTCGTGCAGCAAATAATTTTAGAAACCGATGCTACAATCGTTTTGATGTCACGTTCTTCAGGTTCTCTAAGGACGAACTAAGTTGAGTAACATATTTAAAAATTATTTCAAAATCTATACTTTTAGCACACACAATAGGAATATCAAATTTAAAAATATTTCTGGGCACGACCCTACGTTGACCGCCGTATACATAGCTCCCCCTTAGGGGGAAAAATTCAAAGGCGGCATCGGCAAGTCAATTTATACCGGTCCCGCACGATGCGGCGAATGCCTTACAACGTTGGACACATGGCCATTCGCCTCATCGTGTGGGAGAGCGCTGACAGATTGCATGTGTCCAACGTTCGCCACATGGCACGTTTCAGGTTAGAACCAGCAAAAAACATTATTTATTTGCTTGCTGTGATTGTGGTGAAGTAGTGGTATGATATGAATACCTACCTATTCATAATAATGTATGTTCCGTAACAAACTTTTGAGGAAAATGAATTAAATTAGTATACATACAAAGCATAAGCCTAAGGATATGTATTTTAGTAAATTATCAAGTGCTTACAGTTGTTTCATTATAATGTCCTGTTGCAATGCAAGACTAGATCAGAAATATATTGACTTGCATATTTCATAACTAACGAAAACGATTAAATAAATGATAACTCTAAAAGTACTATCAGGATTTTGATGAAATGTTGACCCGGAGTTATCGTCGAAAAGCAAACAAAAAACGGTTACACTTCATTTTTCGACATTTCTGAAGACAGATCTGATATTATTTTTCGGCGTTCCAAAAAATTGTTCAATCGTGCATTTTGTATAATTTCTCCTTCAGTTGTAAAGGTTCAAGCGCGACACAGACGTTAGACGTTGGCGCCACCATGCGTCGAACGTCCGAGACTAAAAAGTGTGGGACCCGCATTACTGACCCTACGAACCTTCAGATCAATCACCACATCTTCTAGCAACGTCCACCTCTATTAGTCATTCATGACATTTGACATCATATGTCAAAAGATGTGTCAAAAAAGTAAATAAGCAAACATTGTGTAAATAATGATTACAAAATATCAATTATTCTAATATAATTTCATATTCATGATGAACATGGGTTCCCACAGCAGATACCGTTCAAGATCCCGATCGCCACACGGAAACAAATCAGAGAGATCTCGCAGATCAAGATCCCCAACCAAAAGGGGCCAAAGCATTTGCCGACCAAGTCACTCCAGAAGCAGAGAGTTTGACCACATAAAAATGCACGATGGACATAGTAGAAATGGGTATTCGAATCACAGATCCAAGGACCCTAAAAAGATGACTAGTGAAGATGACTTTATGGAATCTAGGAGGGAACAGAGGGAAATAATTGGCATGTGTGATCTTCCGAACGTTTGGGGGAAGTCCCCTGAACCCGACGAGGTTGAAATGTCTGAAGAGGAAATGCCGGAAAAACATCACCATAAAGATAAGAAGAATAAAAAGAAAAAGAAGAAAGAGAAGCATAGTAAGAAAGAGAAACACAGTAAGAAGGAGAAAAAGAAGAAAAAAAAGGCATGTTACTTTTTTTTCATAGTTTCAAATGTGAAAGTTTGATGTTTACTCTTATAAAGTCCATTAAATTAAACACCAAGAACATACTCAATAACTTTCAAAATATGGACAGCACCTTACTGTTGAATCATCATTTTAGATTTCTTCAAGTGAGTCATCATCTTCAGAAGAAGAATGGGTGGAAAAAATCTCGCCAGAAGAAGCCTTGGCTAAAAAAGATGCCAGCAAATCTGTTGACTCAGATGTAGAAGACGAATTTGGACCTCTACCTAAAAGTCATGGTACACTCACTCATAGAGAAATGGGTGGTGCACTGTTACCAGGTGAAGGTGCAGCAATGGCTGCTTACGTTGCTGAGGGCAAACGTATACCAAGAAGAGGTGAAATCGGACTGACTTCAGAGGAGATTGAAACATTTGAGAGTGTTGGTAAGTAACTGAACTGTTCAATATAAAGTCACACTGTCTAATATATGAACACCTTATCAATAGTTTACTCAGCAACTGCAGAGCACTAAATTTTCCCTAAAAAATTACCAATATTTTAGTCTGTATTATAAGAGAAAATACATGAAAATAGGACAGCACAAAGTGCCAACTGATATCAGAATTGACCACAGCAAACTGTCTGTTGGAACTGCATCCCAGTTAGCATTGTCAGCTGGGTCACAACTGATGCTGCTGATTCTGATGCTATAGTAGATATAGTCTACTTGCCTTGTACAAAGGTTTTGTTCATCTGACCACAGATGACCAATCTTGGACAGCTGTTTTGTGCTATTTGGTTGGAAGAATGAAAGTTATATTAGTAGTTAGAAAATAGAATATTTTGGGTGTCAGACCATATTCTAATAATAGTTCCTTGTATTTTTTCAGGATATGTTATGTCTGGCTCTAGGCATAGGAGGATGGAAGCAGTTCGTATAAGAAAAGAAAACCAAATTTACTCAGCAGATGAAAAACGAGCTTTAGCTACATTCAGCAAGGAAGAACGACAGAAGAGAGAAAACCTGATTTTGGGACAATTCAGAGAAATGATCAGCTCAAAACTGGCTGGGAAGAAACAGTAGATTTAATGGAAAAAGTGGGAGCTGAACATAATGTAGCATTATTAAGAAGATGGATCTGGATCGTGTTACATTGTTTTAATACCCCTGAGGAGGGTTGAAATATAGCTCTTTGACAAATAAAAGAAGCTTTAGATCATGGTGTGATATGAACATATGAGCACATTTTTTTTTTAAATTAATTCCATGTGAAGTGTAAATATATGACATTAACTAGCAATGTAATATATACCATAATTAAAACAAATGTTGATGTTGTTCTATGTAACTCTCAGTTTTTAAGCTACATATTTCAGATATATACATTTGCAAAAATCAGGACCATTGTTCAAATCACTCTACTTGTTTCTTATTTAACCAACTTTAATTATTCCTAAAATCCATCCTTATCTTGAATGTCAAGTAGATTTTTCCTGATCCGCTTCTAACCTTTAAAGTATTATAATCTTTCCTTTACAATCCAGGTGTTCTACCTCTTAGACATGTTTTTACTGCCACAGTCCAAAAAAACGTTTTGTTAGGACTATTTGTTTCATTCACATTTTTTTCATATTTATGAAATTACAGGAGGGGGGATTAGTCAGTCTGGCGAATGCGCTGCAGTCTACCATTTCAAAGCCAGCTTGGTAGAAATCAGACATAGGAATGTAGGCTGTGAGCATTACCTTGATGAAACAGGACGTCATTTTTTTAACCTCCCGACGTTTATTATATTGTTTAATCCCATTATTTAAGGACAACCAATACGTTTAGGACTGTGCTTTTTTTCAACGTTGCTGTTTTGTTACATATAATATACAGATTGGTTTTCCAAGCCGCGACTTTTTCGTGTCAGACAGCTGATTTTTTACCATATCTTGAATTAAAGTGGAAATGTAAGTGGAGGAAAACTTTCCACCATGGTATCCTAGATGCATGCTCGCGCTATTATTATTATATTAATCCCTCGGCTATCAGACTAAAATATTTCTCACAGGGACTTTTCTGATCAGTCACGTGGTGCGCGCTAGCCCTAAGTGGGTCACTACGTTTTAGAATTAACTCAACATTTTTTAGGAACTCGCTAAAACGGAAAAAACGGTCAAAATTCGTTTTTTGACATTTCGGGGGATCCTGATCATTTTTGAAAAAATTTTTAGGGGTAAATAATTGGGTGGTGGAGGAGGGTCTATAGCAATTTTTTGATATTAGTATATTGATAACCTCCAGTAATTCTGATTTCACGAGTATCCATCACGCTTTGACGTGTACTGAGGTGAACAGCTGATCAGCAAGTAACACTTTTGTGTTGGACTGCAATTCTGGCAATAATGAACTTGTGCAAATAAGAGACGCTTTCAAATGCTTTTCAGGTGACGCTCCCGAATATGCACAGGAACGCGACGATAAAAACTCAACCTGTTTTTTGATGTTTTGCTTTGAGGCTGACAATTTGTATCACACTGCCAAACAATTGAGATTTTTTCGCGAGTTCCCGTAGTGAACGGAGCGGGAACAGATGGAATTTCCCCTTCCTCTCGAAGTTTTGACAATTTCAAGTTACATCAGGAGTGGTTAGATGGCGCATGTTGCGCAAAATGTTTGCTTTAAGCTCCTTGATAAGCTTAGCTGCCTTCTTTGAATCTGAAATAAAAAGACTGATCGTTTTTTGTGCAATGTATATATATATATATATATATATATATATATAACATGAGACGTGGTCATTGTCGTCTAGACCAGTTAGGTGAAAAATTAAAGCTTCTGCCTTTTGTTGGGTACTTCGACAAAATTTAAGCAAAGAGGACTCTTTATACTTTTTTTAATTCTCTCTAGCTTTCAATGGACTTTGCCATCATCATCAGGAGAGTAGTATGTGAGGATGTTGCTAATTGTTGTTTACGTATAGGATGAGGGAAACGTCCAGTAACATGGTGAGAGCTGGATACATGGTACAATGGTCAAAATTATATAAAATATGACAAGACAAGTTAAAAACAGATTAAAAATTATTTAAAAAACATTAGAGCATTACATTACAAGTGGCTTCACGACGTTTTTTTTGCAACTTAGCGGGACCTAGGCTTGGTGTCTGAGACATCGAACGAAAGCACAGCAACTATCCTCAATCCAGAGTATAAGGTCTATGGCGCTGTCTTATTTCTATGGGGTCTAGCGTGTGCTAAACATAACGCTTTATGAAACGATGACAGAGTGGTTTCGGAAGTACAGAGTATACCTACTTGACGCCATTTTTTCCGTCGGGTACAGAACATAGAGGCTTCTTATTTTCGGAAAATTTATTTTCTGACTGTATGTTGGTCTAAAAATCTACAATAGAAATAGATTTCCTTGGAATAAAATCTATCGGAACAATAATTATAAGTTTATACAGAATGTATACAAAAATATAGTGATAATTTCACATAGCCTGTGATGTTAGAAATACAGGCATTACCACTAAAACTTTACGCTAGTTAAGTATAAAATTCAGGGCAGATATAGGCTTAAACAAACTAGATACAAATAAATATGTTCATCATAAAGAAATATTAATTATATAACTAATATTATGATGATTCAATCACAGAACTAACATTATACAGATAAACTGATCACTTTTAGGAACCAAATAAATCAATAAATATGTGAACATTGCAAATCATCATATAAACTCATTTCAAGCGCCAGCATTGACATGTCAAATTAAATGTTAAGCATCAAACTAAACTTACATTTAATGCTTAATAATGAATGGTAAGTGCAACAATTGTGTGTACTCAATGCTTCCAACAGAGTTCTCCTACTTTAAGCTGTTTCAATGACCATAAGCAATGATATCAGATGATCTTTCACTTCCACACATCAAAAGAATCTGATATGCCCAAATTTCATGATATTCCACCCACCCTCATAAGCCCAAGCTTCAAATGAAGTTTACATTAATGTTATCTACTTCAGTACTATTTTGAAAGCAGGTTCTTTAGCACCTAAAAATACCTGTTGAAAATTGTAAAGTGTATTGTTAATAGTCACTCTTGAGAGTCAACTGTACTTGAGAAGTTTTAAGTACTACCACCCTTGACTCTCATCACGGTTTCTTGGCAATGTGGCCAGCTTAAAATGTCGACCCCATTTTCATCAGGTTTTTTTACTGGCTGAGATGTAGATGAGTAGATAAGTGTTATGGGTCTAGGCTTATTAAACAGCCATTGCACTTTCGACCCGGATAATTATCAAATTTCAAAATTAGTCGCACTACATTGATCTGGTATTTCTCCCAGGCAATACCACTTCCTTCAACAGTATGCGATAATTTTCAGGACGAGGACATATTTCAGGAAATGTTTTTTACTGGATGTTTTCAAATGACTGTACATCAACATATCTTCCCAGTAGTATCGTTCGTAAAAGGGGTCCCACTTCTTTGGGATCTTGCAGGACTTCCAGTAGCATTTTCTCAACATTCCTCATTATTGACACCTTCTGGTCATCTTTCAAGGGATATTCCAAGCAGGAGGGTCCTCCCTGAGGATAATTCGATAATGAGGTACGTAATTTTTCACCAATATTTTTTTCATTTTTGAAAACAGCCAATCAACAACTTCAACTTACTAAGGGCGTTTTTGATCAGAAAGAGCGAGAGCAGCTGAAAAAATTGATTTGAATGAAAAAGTTGATTTTCAGTGAACAGGGTTTTTTTAAATAAAACCTGACCATTTTTACATAGGCGACATGTCGCTCGCTCTGAGGTCTTATACAGCGATTACGAAATGTTCCTTTCAGCCTTGTCTAAAGTAAGTTAGCCAACATTTTGGTTAAATGGAAAGTCTTAAATGTTTGAAATTTGTGAATAGCATGGTATCTGTTACATATTCTAAGGTACAATAGTGAAGTGGGTGATCTCTAGTCTACAAAAATTATTACACAATTGTAAAACGCTTTACCTTATACCAGAAATTGACAGTAACCGTTGGTCCATCTGCCAGTAACGATTCTATGTGGTGCCACCAGTATATTGGGATATACAGGACATCACCAGGTCCCACAACTGTTTCAAATCCTTTGACATTCTTGAACTTTGGAAACTTTATGTAATCAGGTTCATCAAAGTCTACCTACAACAATGTACACTGTGATTAGATACATTAAAGCAGCGTTTTACTTCCCACGCCTATTGGCGAGGAAGAACTCTAATCGCGAAAGATTTTGAAATTTTTTTTTATGTTATATGACATCACGAAAAACCATGTCAATAATTTCCGTCGGTCTGTCTATCTGTCCGCTAATCCTAAATTTGAAGGTTAATACTAGGCCAAGGATGGAAAAGCTTTGTAGTTTTTGCAAATCGGTCAGTGGCGACGGATAAAAAGGCCAAAAAACAAGAAGAATAAAAATCGTTAAAAATTTGTTTTTTGACGTTTCAGAGTCTACAGATCATTAGACATATAGTCAAAATCACGAAAGATGACTATTACGTCATACCATAAATTGTACTGAAGTAATCCATGGACGTACGTCGATGATAAAATCACGATGTCAGGAACATAATGACAAAAAATTTGTATTATGATTTTGTGAAGTTACGTTATTTCATTGATTACTCTTATTTTCATTTTATTTCATGGTTTTGAGTGATACCTTAATAATATTTTTAGTGGGGAGTTTTTGTTTTGAGAAAAAAAAAACAGTTGTGAGTAGAATACCTTAAGACAGGAACATCAAAGAGCAAACTATTATTCGAAAACAACATAACCTGCTTTCAAGTATGATCGATCATGCAACATGAAAACATCGTCTATCTTTGTTGGATACATGCAAATTAGCAATAGTCTGTTTAGACAATGAAATTCTGTTTGTCTAACATATCTGAAACTTCATCAAAAATATTACAAATCGCTGTCGTTTGTCTCTACTGCAGACTAAAATGATGACGTAATCGTCATCTTTCGTGATTTTGACTATAATTAACACATCATGGATTGCCCTAAACATTTGCCCGTAAAACTTATAACGATAGAAAAATATTTTTGACAAGCGTCCCGGCATCCACTGACTTTTCACAGCCGGCGTGCCGGTATTCGTATGTGTCCTGCATAACTGGTGCTCTGTGGGCGCTCTGCCGCGTGTGGCGCATCATGCTTTTAGATATTAGGGAGAGGCAAGGCGACGTTGTCAGATGGACGGTACTACTGGTAGGGCAAGGAAAGGTTGTTATGGACTAATTGTAAGGACCTGCTTGACGGACTTGATCCGTTTAATTTCTCTGTTCATGTTCGTAACTAATATTAGAGAGTCTAAATTAAATATCCTGCTTTGGACCGTCCTACGAAAGATAGCTTCATCCCTTTTTTGGCAAAAAAATGTTTGCTCAATTACTACTTTTTAACAATGATTAACACATAGTGTTTTTTAAAATAATCTTTATTTGGTAACTGGTGCGTCTAGCGTTCAGGAACTGATATTGGTTTCAAACAGAGACTTGCCAGCATAAATGCTATTGATGCAACCACTTCAAATATCCATTTTGGACAAGTTAACATTTGGAAATGCACATGTACCAAAACTCAACTCAATATCTCATATAGCTTTTAGACAGACACATTTAAACAAGACTGGGTTCAATATTTCATGCCTTAACATGCTGAATTAGCCCTTTAATTTTACTGGTAACATTCTGAAACACCCTGTATGTCTGAAATAATTAAACCTTATTTCACGAGTATCCTTTACAACACTTTGACATCTACTGAGGGGCCGTTCAAGTATTACGTGAGCACTATGGGGGGCGGGGGGTCTTCGCTTTGCTTATTTTGGATGACATGAGGGGTAGGGGAGTCTAGATGATGATTACGTCATCGGTAGTTATTTACTTTTTTACACGAATGGCAGCCCTCACATTGTCTTTGCTTGAAAACGAAACGCATTTAAGGGGATTTCCGCAAATAATGCATACGTTTAGTGAACAGCGTGCGGTAATTCCCCTACTCGCTTTAGAACCCAGTAGGGGAATTACCGCGCGGTGTTCACTTGTCTAAATTTCCTCTATCAGTGTATTGTTTCGTTTGGATACTATAGCGAGTAGACGTATTGTAAGCATAGTAAAGCAAGTTAACATTTGTGTTACCATTGATTCTATTAGCCAAAGTTTAATGTTTAAATAAGATGTCGTTTCACATAGACAAATCCAAGTTATACCAAAAATTGAAAGTTTTAAAAAATCTCATACAAGTACGAAAGTACAAAAGTTAGTTAACGAAGTGTGGCGAAATTACAAATTACAAGCAAAATCCGACAAGGAACTAGATATTATTGTATCTAAGAGAATCGAAGAAGAATTGCAAGCGGCGACTAAGAATAAATCCAATCTACTAAATTTTTTTTCTAAGGTGAGTGACGAAATCATTTTAGGTACCTATGAGTACTAGAAATATTAGAAATCGTCAAAAAGTTTCTCTTTACTGATTAGAAAATATTATGGCCTATCTCAAAGTATAGAGGCAATATTCTTTATATCATAGATTTATTTCTTATGATTGATTCTGTCAATTGGTCACAAAGTTCAGGATGTTAGTTTTATACATATATACAGAAAACTAACAGCCTGTATTTTGTGACCGGAACGAATTGCTCCTTTAAACATATTAGATTTAAAGCCATAGGGTTTTGAATTTACCATATATATTGCCATACTTTGTATTTATGTAGCTTAATAAGAGAATCTTTAGCAGAAGCCATAGAAAGTTTTTATTTTTAGGCAACCTGTAAACCTGCAGAAAAAACACAAATTATACAGTCAGCTTCAAATATTAAAAAAGAGGAAGAAGATAAAATAAAACCCGGTAATGAATCACAACAGCAATGCGACATTAATGAAAATAAAGATAAACAGAGAGCCAAACCTTCTCAGGAAGCTATGAAAAATAAGATTGCTCTACTCGAAAAAAATCTGAATGCTTTGTATTCTGCCAGAGATACTATGCCAAGTCGTGCTGAAGTTGCGCGAGGAAATAAAAACAGCAAAACAGTCTTTAAACAGGAAGATTCAAAACACAATTGCCCAGAAGAAACACAGGGATGTTATGAAAAGAAAATTAGCAAGATATTTGTCATGAAAATCCAGAAATAAAAAAAAGACTATCTCTGAGGGATTCAGTGGGACGTCCTAATCTTGAAAGCAATCAAAATTCACTATTGAAAACAATCGCGGATATAGCTTTATTTGGGAGTGCAGCAGATGATAGAAGACGAACGGAATCAATTCGCAGCGTAAAAACTCTTGATGAACTCACACGAGAATTACGTAAAATAGGATTTGACATTAGTCGCAGTGGGACATATCTTCGTTTGATTCCCATAAAATCTAATTCTGCAGAGGGACGAAGACATGTATCAACAGTCCCTGTTAAGCTTATTCGGGCTCAAACTGATCACCACAAGAGCCACTTAGATAGCAAGTTCGCTGAAACATCAATCCATTATTTAGAGAACATAGCATCGATACATGGACCAGATCAAGTATTTTTCATATCTCAAGATGATAAAGCTCGAGTCCCTATTGGTGTAACTGCGGCAAATAAGCAAGCACCTCTTCTAATGCACATGGAATATAGAATCAAATTGCCTGATCACGATTGAGTAATCGCTGAGCGTCATAAATTAATACCATCTGTTTATGCTGGTATCAAAATTCGAAGTGGAAAGCATAGTTCATCTACTGCTAATACTCATGCTCAGGATTTCGAGACGCTTCTCGAACTTGAAGAGTCTCGACCATTAGCTAAAACTGACCATGGACTAGTAAAACCAGTGGTAATCATTACAGTTGATGGAGGGCCATGTTATCAAAAAGTCATAGGGTTTGCTATACAACACTTTAAGCGACATGATCTCGATGCATTGTTTTTAGCTACCAATGCTCCTGGAAGTGCATATAACAGAGTAGAGCGCAGAATGGCTCCCCTTAGTCGGGAACTGGCTGGTTTAATATTGCCTCATGACCATTTTGGGTCTCATTTGGATGAACGTGGCGTTACAATAATTGATAAACATTTAGAAAGATCTAATTCCGAATTTGCAGGAAATGTATTAGCTGAAGTTCAATGGAAATTGATGGCTATAATGTTAATGGAAAATATGTTGGGGCAGGTGTACAAGATCTTCCTGATTTTCCAGACATTAAATGGTATTCACAACATGTGCGTGAGAGCCAATACTTGCTTCAAATTGTAAAATGTATAAATACAGAATGCTGTCGTCCAAGAAGTGGCCTATTTAGATTACTAGACAATAGGTTTCTTCCACCACCTGTAAAAGTAAAACAAACAGTTGATGACTTGGTTTTGGATGAAGGAGGGCAATTTCTTTATCTTTCAGTCAATTAAGCTCTACACTTAAATGCTTCACTCAAAGATTTCCTGCAAATGCCCAACGATTATTTTTGTCCGACGGTAAAATTGAGGCTATCAAGTCGAACATGCAAAACGTATGGTCTTTATCATGCTTCCGTCCAGTCACTAAATCGTCACATCGAAAATATCCATAAAAAAGTAAACACGCACACTGATAGGAAAGTTAGACCTGTAAGAGTCGCGCTCGTCCTGCTAATGAACTGATGTGCATTATTCAAAAAATTTAGAGTGCCATGATGTTGAATAGCTCGATGAGAACGTCGTAGACATTCCAAAATCCGATGAAAGCGAGCAAACTCACAACACTGAGCAGCAATCGAAGCAATCCAATGTCATCGAAAACTTCATCATGAATCATGAGCTTTTAGCAAGTACAAAATAAATCTGTAGCATACAAAAAAGCAAAACAAAATTTGGCTCTGTCTACCTGGCATTAACAGATCCATCAGAATTATGGGTCCTGTGTCGATATGGGGAATTTAGATATTATTAGATAATCAGCTGTCATTCTATCATGATGAACATTCGTGAAATAAGGGATAACATTTTTGCTATACTCACCATGCTCTGTCGGTCATGTGGATGATAGACTGGGTGGGGATACAAGCATTCAAACTGATCTGGAGGAAACAAGATGCATCTCTTGAACCCCTTGATTTGAGCAAACAAGTTCTCTTGCTCATCATAATGACATGGAGTACAATTGCCTTCCATAGCTATGAATAATAGGTTTGCAGACAACTCTCCCCAACCATGCCGAATTTTTTTCTCAGTCACATATCGCCACTCAAACCCCATGAAATCTTTAACAATTGCTGAACCAACAGATGAATTTAGGGACTGTTGGAGGTAAAGCCTGCAACGTGAATGTTGAATAAGATAACTGGTACTAGTAGAATATTTCCTATTACATTTTCTTGTAATCCTGTCTTAGCATTCTATTGACCCCTGTGCAGTTTAGCATACCAAATTCAAGCATCATTATCTTTTTATAAATTCTGAGCTCTAATGGAAGGATTCTAAAGTTGTCAATAGGATTCACTAATAGTTGTATAATAAAAGTTGCTACAAAAAAAATACCAATTGAAAAGAATTGTGCTGCAAAACATGTATGGTATCAAACCAGGGCCCACCTTCTTATTAAATTAATCATGTCTACTATAGTACTTTTATTGAACCTAATTGAGAATTTCTAGAGGTCTTTTACTAGTTAAGAACCTCTAAATTATAAAACTTCCAAAATTTCAGCAACTTTGTACTATCAAGAATTGCTTTCTTATATACAGGGATATAGGTAAATAGGTGTAAAACATTTTAGGAGGTGATAGTACAGCTCCTTTGCTATCAAAATTAGTATATAATACCATACTCTATATTCAAAGGTTAAAAAGTTATGGAAGATTTAATTTTTTTAAGAAACAACCCAGATTACAGAGTAAAATAGTTACGATAAAAAAAAGTTGGTGTTTAAACATTCTTTTTTTGGTGGTTTCAGGTTATTATTTAAATAAATAATTCTCATAAATTAAAAAACATATGAAAACACTACTGAAAACGTATGTATTTTCATTTAAATGTTAAATGAAACTTTTTATTTTCAACTTTCACATTAAGAAGTCTTTTTTTTTTCGAAAAAATCATAAAGAAAATGTACAAATAACTGCAAAAACTTCCTCGTTTCATTAGGTTTCTAAAATGGTATAATAACATATCAGTAAGTAAACTATTTAACAAAACAATATTACTTTGCTAGAAAGTACCGCTAAGCGCATTTCATTGTACTGAGCTGGTAAACCGAGCCTTTCATGGTTCGACAATTTTTGTTATTTTTTGTGCCCTGTGCCGTTATTCGGGTTTAAGTATTGGGAATCTGTCGTCGCTCCTCGGAAGCAAGCTCTGCGTGTGTTATGAATTGACACAGCTGACGGATCAAGGAAAGGGAACTAACGCTTAGGTTAGTAGAATATCAACCTTTAACGCGGTAGGACGTACTTTTACTTTTTTGATCAGTTTTAATAATGGCGAGTTACCGTAACGAAGAATACGCTGATATTCTGTTTTGTTATGGTTTAAGTGATGGAAATTCCGTTGAAGCCAGGCGAGAATACGAAAACCGTTTTCCGAATCGGCGAATACCGAGTCATCGAGTATTTGCTTCTGTGTACCAACGCATCAAGGAAAGTGGACAGGTTCATGAGAGACGTCATGATGCTGGTAGACCTCGGTTGTTTGACGACGAAGATCGAGAGGAAATACTGGAATGCTACGGCAGAGACCCGACGACGTCTACACGAGTTATAGCAAAGCAGCTTGGTTTAACTCAGTGGAAAGTTTGGTTCGTTTTGTATTCGGCGAGACTTTACCCTTTCCATTACACACCAGTTCAAGTATTAGAAGAAGGAGATCCCGCAAGAAGAATCGATTTTTGTCGATACATGCTTCATCGGGATCAAGAACAAAACGACTATTTAACTAAAATATTGTGGACTGTCGAGTCTAAGTTTGACAGAGAGGGGACAACAAATTATCACAACTTACATTATTGGGCCCCACGAGAGGTAAATCCCCACATGGCAAAGCCAAGAGCCCATCAAAGAAGATTTTTGGCAAACGTGTGGATGGGAATCATTCATACGTATCTAATTGGACCAGTTTTTTTGCCTGACAACCTGAATGGCGAATCCTATGAAAACTTTTGGAGATCCGAACTCTGGGAGTATCTCAAAGACCTACCTATGAATATCAGGATGCAGATGATCTACCACCACGATGGCTGTCCCGCGTATTTCCGTCTGGGTGTTAGACAGTGGCTGGACGAGAAATATCCTTGTCGCTGGATTGGCCGAGGTGGACCGACACCGTGGCCAGCGAGGAGCCCAGATTTAACACCGTGTGACTATTATTTATGGGGGCACATGAAGTCACTGGTGTACGCTGAGCCCATAGACACCCTTGCACAGTTGAAAGAAAGAATTATGCTGCTGCTGACACTATCAGAGGACAACTAACTGGCCGCATCACGCGTACCAACATGAGAAAAAGACTACGGGCTTGCATAAGCAACGGCGGGCGTCAGTTCGAACAACAATTGCAATGAATTTTACCTTCATTTCATTATTGTATTTTACTTACCAATTGTAGTGACTTTTAGTCAGTTTTTATTATTCTGTAGTACAATTACAACTGTGTAAATAATCTAATCGTGAAACTTAACCGTAGTTTAAAATAATAACTATCCCATAGCTTACAGTTACATTATTTTCACAAAAACACTTTCTTATCAATCAGAGAGTTGTGAAAATAGGAGACAAGCCATTGGTAAATTTACTCCCTATTGTTGTATTACAATACATTATGTGTAGTTTCACACAGTTTTTGTGCACTTATCATACCAATTTAGATTCCTTATGAAACAAGGATATTATTTAAATTGATTGTACGTTTTTTTGTATACTGATTTTTTTTGTAAAACACCTTACTTGCTGTAAAACGTTATTTGTTTTTCTTAGTTAAACATTTTTGAATGAAAATAAATACGTTGTTTGGTATTGTTTTCAAATCTTTTTTAATTTATAATAGTTAATTATTGAAATAATAACCCAAAACCACAAAAAACAAATGTTTAATCGCCAACTTTTTCATCTCTCGACTTTTTTACTCTGAAATATGGATTGTTTTTAACACTTTCACTGCGAACGACGCTGATCCGCGTCCGACCGATGTTTAACGAAAGGCGGCGGGCGCGGATCCGCGCTTCTGGCTGATATAAACTCACAAGACTGTGGTGTTCTGAAATTAATTAAAGAAACATCTTTAATAGGGTTTCAAGACATGTTTCGTGTTACTGCACGAAAAAAAACGAGATAGAAGAAGAAAATGTATATATGAAATAGTTTTCAATTACACAACGCACATCCAATAGGCTTACGACGCGAATCCGTGCTTCGCTTGTGCAGCGCCTAAAATCGTTTAGCCGCTACCATGCGCGCGGCGCGAGGCAGGTCGCAGCGAACGTGTTAAAAAAATCTTAAATCTTCAATAACTTTTCAACCTTTGAATATAGGGTATGGTATTATATACTAATTTCGATAGCAAAGGGGCTGTACTATCACCTCCTAAAATGTTTTACATCTATTTACCTGTCACCCTGTAGAATAAAGGGAAATTAAAATCTGCATGCACTTTTTGCATTCTGCTTTACTCATCAACTCTGCAGTTTTGAAATTGTCCTATATGGATATGTACCAACATTGCTTCTTAAAACAATATGTGATTTAAAACTAAAATAAAACAAACAATGGAATTTATTTCATCAGTATTTTGTTTGATGCGAAATATGAGTCTATTCTTAATAAGCTCACCTGTCGTCTCCCTGCTTCCATTCTTTCAGTTTTTTCATAAAATCAGACACTTTCATTTCAACACTTTTAGTTTCGCTTGTGAATTCTACCCCTTTTGGATTTGCTTTACTGAGTATTTTCTCCCTATTAAAGTATTTGAATTTGTGAGTTTTGGACACATACACAGTATGCCCACATTTGCCTAAATTCTCTTCCAAATATTCTAGAGTCCACTTATCCACTGCTGGTTTTGCAATATTGGACCCACTTAGTAGTACAGGTTGCTGATGTAAACAAATGTAGAGGTTATATATTGATATACTTGAATTTTAACTATAAGGAGAAAAAGGAGGACTTACATTCGTTTTCATAAGCTCATCTACTTTTGGGTCTTTATAATGCAATCTTGGTATGGGCTGCAAGTCCAAGTCATAGTTTCGAATTTGACTAGAATCCCATTTGTTGTTTTCACACATTTTGAATTACTACAGTAAATAAATAAAAAGGAAAAACTGAGGATTCAACCAAGGTGAAAGAATGATTAATTTGATGACTAATTATATTAATTTGTATTTACTTCCAATGTGCTGTAAGTTGTTCTTCTAATGTCTCTTCTATTTTCTCTTGCCAAATTTTTTTATTTTCACCTGTAGTTTCCGTCAGTGCATGTTGCCGACTCGTGAATCCAAATCCTCCTCGATTTATAATTATTCTAAAATTTGGGACGACTCCTACAAAAACTAGCAAATGTATAAAGCACAGAATCTGCAAAAGCAAAAACAAATGCTTACTAATATAGCGGCTATCAAATAAATTAAATTTAAACGTTTAAGTAGAATATTTGGAACTCTAAATTCTATTTTGTAGTGACCTGTGTGAAATTGAATGCAATACGACAACGGCGCATAGATCTTTCAAACCTACGTTACGTACGTCACGTAGACCTTCATAGCTTCGTCCAATTAGAAATGAGGATTGAATATTTGACATTTCCATGACTTTGACGTTGAACCTAACCCTAAAATATTTATATTTATATATTTACATGATATTTATAATCCTTTGTATTTATATTTTGTGATTACGTGTCTAGAAAAAAATTACAGCAACAAACAAAATTTATTGAGCACCGAATACTTCAACAAGTTATCATGACTGAGGTATTTTGAATCGGAAATATTCTGCCCAAATAATCATTCTTGTGATTTCCTCTTCCAGACGAAAAGAAGACCTCCAGAAGCAATTCAAAAGATTCTAAAGTTCGATAGCTATGTCACTAACCAATTTGTTACTCTGGTCAATAAACACTTGCCTTTCATGAAGTCATTGACCATGCACTATCAAGCACTTGAGGTATGTGTGCTTTATGCAGTAAGAAGTCATTGTCAGTTCTCAAAGTGGTATCAGCTCAACTGGCTCTCTTTGGTTTTAAAAAATGCATTTCTTTTTTCTCATTCCTAAAATTAAAGCAGCTGGTCCAAGCTTGAGTGTTCTTTTAATGTGGTTTATAATTTTGAGTCCTATTCAGTTCAATTGGCAATAACACTAATGATAAACCCATTGCTTTCAATCTGTTTTCTTATTGGAAAGGCTTCTGTAAACTCCACAAAGGCTTTAAAAAAATTCAAAAGGTATAGAAGCTTCACTTTGTTATGTGTATCACATTCAAATACTATTAGTTAATAATGGTTACTTAAGAATCTTACATCTTACACATTGTGTGGTGCTTAGGAGTACACTATTATATTCCATATTTACCCTCTCGACACAAGGGACATGTGCCCATCAGCTTGAGGAGGCCCCAAAATGCCCAAAAATTGGATGAGATTTTAAAAAAATTCTGACTACCCCTCTTTATCACAAGGCAAAGTAGACAGGATTTGCTCTGCAGTAGGCCCCATTTAGCTGAGGGCCTCTACATGAGTGTCATCCCAGTGTGGGTGCCCATGTTGCCAAACTTTTTTGCATGACCTCTTGGAAAAAAGTAATCTAGAACCTAGAACATTTGTAGGGTCCAACATAAGGTTTTTGAGACAATATTTTTTTATATAGTGTGAAGTTCTATCAAATAAAGTTGTTTTTTGTGGTACACCCTGTATATTTTTAGTGAAAATGATATTTGCTTTTTTTTATTATTGTAACTATTTGCTTTATTAGACCTATTTTCATTACTTCAGTGAAAAACTTGAATCTTGTGTTTCACTTATATATGTTGTATCTATGCCAGACTACACAGATAGCTAGAGGCATACAAAATATTTTCAACTGTGGTCAATTTATAGCAGGTCACCTGTTACATTCCTGTGAGAACTGAATAGGAAGTTGAGAGAGCAGATCTTGGTTATCTCTTACTCAAGTTTGTTGTTGTATTTATACTATGTTGAAATATGTGCATTTACAATTCATTTCAGATTTCTTGCCATGGAATACCATGGTTTGCCTTTTGGATAGCATTCACATGGCTTTTCAATAATTCTCATCTAGTTCAAATGCAAGTTAATATGCTTTTAGGTAAGTTTAATGGAATATATTTACCAATGTCTATGCTAGGATCTTGATTTGTAGTACAATTTTGTCTGTTATTGTTAGTAAGAAATAAATCTTCTCTTTATTAAGATGGCTGAGAGATATTTGGAACTTCTAAAATTTCCAGTACAATCACATGGGTGAATATACAGTATTTGGGTTTTCAGTGTCGACTAAGAAAAATAACTAATAATAATTTTGTTTTCATATTCATTCTGTCCCAAGAGTGTAATATGTTATGTGATACGTATTTGATAGGGTAAAATAATATTTTGAATTTGACAGTTTTTATAGGTACCAGGGGACGGGTGTGGCAAGGTGGGTGACATTTAAAATATATAAACATACTAACCTGATATAAATACGATTAGCTAAATAAATTCAATAGTCCTTTATTAAAAATATTGAGTCTTTGGTTCCACCGCTGTTGAAACCAGATAATTGTATAAATTGAGACCTCACAGACCCTCAGGGTAATGGTTGTGTTTGGAAGTTAGAAATTTTTTGGTAGCAATCGAAGCCGTTTTCATTGTTCATAATATTTTTTAATGTAAAGAAATGGCAAAAAGTAGAAGAGTAGACAAAAAAAATTGACATTAAAACTGCCTGACAAGTAGTGCTGTGTTGCCAGGGTAGTGACAAAACCATACAAAACCTCAAAAAAAAAATACTTTTGATTTAACATAGTTGCAGTAGTGGACCATGCACAAAGAAATACTGGAACCACTGGCAAAAGTGCGCAAGTGGTGCGTTCCTGGTTTCAGTAGTCCAAATCGCCAACTACCATTTCTTGATTTACATGAAAATATGCATTTTTAATTGTGCCAGGTGAGGGCGACACCATTTTCAGAAACCGCTAAAAACATTTTTATGCGCTTATAATGAAAATTTTTGGTGTCTCTTTTCATGAAAATATGTTATAATGTGTATCTAGCAATACAAAGAGTGAAAGAGTATTTGTATAGTGTTATACCTGTTACATATACATAGATTTGCACATTTTTTAATTTCCAAGCATATTGTGCCTAAATCTTGATGGTTACTTAAATGTCATCATAAATTCCAAATAAAGCATGATATTTCACACTATTGGGATAGTTTATCTCCATAATTTGTCGATTTGCTTAAGGTTTTTTTTTTCGGAGGATTATTGAAATCCCAAATATTTTTAATCCTCATGCGTTTTGGTGGACCTAAAATAGCTCTGGACTTGGTCGGTGAATTATTTTTGAAATTAACAATACTCTAACTGTACTCCATCTGTTCTTCAATAGGCCTTCTTAAATAAGTCATTTGTAGTTTATGACCGTAATGAATATTCTTGGTAGTATGTCAAATGTTATTGGTGACAATCTAAATTATTGGGTTGGAAGGAAAGTAATTTCAGTTTCCATCAATAGATTGCATTACATATGTCGGTTTCAGAATTTTTCTGTTGATCTTGGTTTTTTTTTGTTTTGCTAATTGACACTTTTACTTTACTATAGAAATAAATTCCGTTGTTTTCCACTGTCAGTTTATGATCAATTCCAACATGGAGTGAAAAAATAAACATTTTGTGCAGATTTTGCATCGTGTGTATCATCGTGCTTTGACCAACGTCTTTTTCGGTTAATGTTAATGCGATCCATGTTTCATCGCTAGTGATAATTCTTTTTAAAAAAGGTTCGATTGCATTATGTTTTAAATGCGTATTGCAAATATTGATTCGTTGTGTTAAGTGAATTGCTTTCAATTCGTGCCGAGTTCAAATATCGAGTTTCTCAATTAATCCTTGTCATTTGTTGTACATTGCATCTTTTTGAAATCGCTCGCACAGTTATTACAATTCGATTCAATTATGACTTTCATTTGGTCATCATTAACTAAAATACGCGATTAATTCAGGTTATTGTAAATACCAATCATAACTCGGCAAGGACTTGAAATACCATGTATTCAGCGTTAGGGCGCGGTATGCACTTTACCGCAGTTGGCACAGTGCCTCACTCTAGCACTTGACATAATATAAACAAAGCAGATGCCATCAATGCATCGAAATATCTTTTGTAGGCCCTAGCCGTATTTATACGATTTTGACAATAAAAAATGATTTGAAATTGCTTATTTGTTCAGTCCATGTTGAAATTGACTGTAAACTGACAATTGCAAACAAAATTATTGTTCCTATAGTAACGTAAAAGTGTTAACTACTAAACCTCGAAATAAAAAATTCCAACATTGGCAGAATAATAACGAAACAGACGACATAATCAAATTAATTGGTGGAATCCAAAATTACTTTCTTGCCAACCTAACATCATATAACGGGTGATTTTTTAAGAGGTATAGGATTTGATTTTCAAAAAAAAAACAAAAAATTTGAAAAAAAAACGATTAAATCTTTATTTGAGTCGATAGAACGGTCGATATAATTTAATGTTTAAAGATTATTTCATGTAAGTGTTGGCCGCGGCTCCGCTTTAGATGGTCCATGCGCAAGGTCAAATTTTGGCACACTCTCTCCAACATATCGGCCGGTATCTCACGAATAGATGCTTCAATATTGGCTTCCACTGCGTCAATCGTTGCTAGTGTATCCCTATAGACATTAGCCTTAACATGGCCCCACAAGAAATAGTCCAACGGCGCTAAATCACACGATCTAGGCGGCCAATTGACGGGCCCCAAACGTGAGATAAACTGTTCACCGAAAACGCCTCTCAATAGGGCCATTGTTTCGTGTGCGGTGGGGCATGTGGCACCATCTTGTTGAAACCACATGTCAGCCAAGTCCAGCTCTTCCATTTTGGGCAAAAAAAAGTTTGTTATCATCGCACGGTAGCGCTCGCCATTCAGTTACGTTCCGGCCATTGTCGTCTTTGAAGAAGTACGGCCCGATGATGCCACCGGCCCATAATCCACACCAAACAGTGATTTTTTCGGGATGCATTGGTAGCTCTTGCAATGCTTCTGGCTGGTCTTCACTCCAGATGCGGCAATTTTGCTTGTTAACGTACCCATTCAACCAGAAATGAGCTTCGTCGCTGAACAAAATTTTTTGATAAAAATGTGGATCTTCCTCCAGCTTTGCCAGCGCCCATTCACCAAATTGGAAACGTTGTGGGAGGTCGTGTGGCTTCAATTCTTGCACCAGCTGTAACTTATAAGGTTTTACACCCAAATCCTATCGCAAAATTTTCCACGTAGTGCAGTAATAGAGGCCCAATTGCCGCGAACGGCTGTGACTCGACATTTCACGGTCATCACTAACACTGGCGGATACAGCCGCAATATTTTCTTCAGTCCTCACTCTACGTCTGCACGTTGGTGGCTTAATGTCCAATGATGTAAACTGGGTTCGAAATTTAGTCACAAGCTTCCGAATAGCTCCCTCAGTCGGCCGACCAAATTGTCCATAAATTGGAAGCAGTGCTCGATGCACTCTCTTAACCGAGCATGAATTTTGATAGTAAAATTCAATAATTTGCAAGTGTTGTTCGTTCGTAAGTCGATTCATGGTTAAATTATAGACCAAACTGAACAAGTTTGATAATGACACAAGACAAAAACAGTGTTGCCAAAAAGATACTAGCAAAAAAATCACCCATTAGAATCAGAAGTAGCTATGTGTAAGTTATCACTAATAGTGATGGGTTTTAGCTGTTACAGTTTTGTAACTGATGAAATTTAGACGATAACGATTGTATGTCATTGAATTTTAGCATTGATGAAAGTATTCTCCAAGAAAATGCCGAACCTTATGCTGTATTTGAACGTTCACATGCAATTTCCATCGCCACAGCTATGATGCCACGTAAAATCGAACTGATTCCCTTAGAAGTAATAAACACCGACTCCATTTCCTTTTAAAGATAACTGTTTATTCTTAAAATAATATTAACCCTCCAACAAAAGATTACCTTTCAACAATAAAATGCGCATGCGGCAACAGTCCGAGTGGTGTCAATGTTGGCACGTAAACCCGGTGGACGACAGTTATATACAGGGTGACTCAGAAGTCGACGTCAAGCCGGAAACGGAGAATAGGCCAGTCATATTAGTTATCTAAGCAAATATAAGAAAAAACTAAGATATGTATTTTTCAAATTATAATCTTTGAAAAAATCGGAAAAATCTATACCATGTGATGAAAAAGTACTCGACTTAGGTTTTTTTATATTTTTTGGACAACTATTATGACTTAGCCTTTCAGGCTTGACGTCGATTTCTGGGACACCCTGTATAGTTGTATGCGTAAGCATGGTGACGCCATGGTACGTATGCTTATTTTCGCGCAGCTACGGCTTCTAGTTGGGTTGGGTATCTTCTGGTGGATTATGTTAATCGGTGGTATCAATTACAAGTCTTTCGTTTTACAGGACTTACCATCGACATAATCTTCGTAGCAGTAGCCAAAGCGTATTTCCGCCGGAAGCGGCCAGTTGCAAACACCAACGACCCTTTGGGCCAAATGGGTCCAGATGTATTCAGCTTTCCATCTGGCCACTCCAGCAGAGCAGTATTTATCGCCTACTTTTTCATGGTACTCTGGCCCCTCCATTTTTTATGTTACCCACCCATTTTGGCGTGGGTCACATCCATCTGCTTGAGTAGAATTCTGATGGGCAGGCATTACATTCTGGATGTCATTGCTGGTGTGTTTCTAGGGTTGTTCGATGGACTGCTTTTGGGGTGGTTGTGGATAGGGAAAGATACAGCCTTATGGATGATAAACTATATCTCCGATGATAAGTTGGACGGCGGAGAATATCATGTTTGAATTGTATCAAATGTCAACTAAGAACTGGTTTGCTAGAAAATGAATGTTTTGACGCATATGAGGCATGAAGCAGAAATATGTTTTTGAAAATATATGATGATCATCAACCTACGAGGACCATTTTTTATTCAGAAACTGATTGCACATCCTGCCCGTGAATCATATCACGTGACGTCCGTTCAGCCTCAGACAGTCTTTCACTATACCGCGATTACGTTTCACGTCTGTCGGCGTTGGTTGCGTAGGTATACTGCTTTATTTGTCGCTATGCCACTCAGTAAATCCTCCGATTGTGAAGTGCGCTCAGTAATTTCATTTTTAAACGCAAAAAAGTTCGCCCTGTGGAACATTGTTGAATCTGATCTCTGACGGCGTCATTCTGCTTCACGGCAATGCGCAGCCTCACGTTGCGGCAAGAAGACAGACTTGATAAGTTTCGTCGAGAATACGGGATCATTCACCATACAGCACTAACTTCGCGCTATCAGACATTCTACTTGATGAAAAGCGCTTAGCACGTTGAGAAAAACAGTTACGAACTGATTTAACAGTCAGCCAGCGCTCATAAAGTTTCTCAGACTCCATTACAACACGGTTCTCACTTGAAAAATGGCCCTCGTATTTGTGTGTACAGTGTTAAGTAATGATATGTAAATACTTATTATTTCACTATACTTATATAACTGTAAGTTTATTATTAATAAATTGAAATTACATTGCGATTATAAGTATTTCAATGTCAAGAAATTTTCATGCTCTCAAGAATCTGCGGTCAGACTGTTACTCAGGGGTGATGGGCTTTTATGCTGAATAGCAACAGCCAAGGAATAGCTTTGACAGTTCGCAACACTAATAAAATCTGACAACCAAGTGACAACTACTGCCAAACTAACAAAGCTATGCCATGGCTATTAAGCATAGTTTATGGCTAAGAACAATTTTCCTTCACATGACCTCACTCTAGACAAGGCCCAGATAATACCTAGCCTCAAGTATTGCTCACACGTTTGGGACTACATTATTCATGCTCGATGCTGTCCAGAGGAAGGCTATCCGACTGATAGATGATTCTTCTCTAACAGACAGTCTCGGGACTCTTCCGCACCGGCGGACAGGGGCGATCTAGCTCTCTTCTATCGCTACACCAACGCCTCGCTTCTGAGCTCTCCTCCATGTTGCCGCCGCGCGATGTGTCTGCCAGACAAATCCTCCTGACTTCGGCCTCCCATCCTAACCGTGTCGAACTTCATACATCCAGAATTGGCGTATACGACCTCTCCTTTGTCCCTAGGGTATCGATATTGTGGAACGATCTACAAGAGGAGGCTTTTCCCAGTTCTACCAATCTTAGCCAGTTCAAAAATGGGATCAACAAAGTTTCTCATAGCAGCGGCGGTGTCCTGGCATTTAGGCTTCTGGCTGCGCGGTTGCTTCGGTGTAAAAAAATACTGTTGTACCGCTCCAATGTATCTTTCAGCATCTACTCGACTACAAATTAGAGGTCGAAATGATTGACCATCCAAAAAGTTATCTATCCAAGGTCCACGATGTTTTCAACAGATATTCATTTTTCGGAATTAACGTATTTTACAACTCTACCAAAGGCGGAAGAAGTCACAAACTTCATGGATTTCAAAAATAAAGAGATTACAACCAATTTCCAGGATAAATGCATCCCAATAGATCAACAGATTTTCACGTAGATTCATGGGAACCGTCCTCAAGGGCTTATCAGATCTTCGGCTATTTGATATCAGTGAATTAAACAATATCTTCACATCTCAGTAGCGCAATCAGGTGGAGTGTCCAGGCGCTCCGGACACCTCGAAATATCGGATATTGAAAAATGTTTTTCAATTTGCGAGGACCCCCTCCCTACTCGTTTCCCTCGAGATGGACATCCTCCTGAACATGAATCCTGAGCTCCTCCCCTAGCACTTTTGTATATTATGGATATCTCTGAATATATTTTCTAGATCAGAACCTGTCAAATCTCCACCGATGTTCGAGGTTATCGGACTTAACAGGGGTCAAAGAGTCTCAATCAATGTGAATTAACGTCATGAGTTTGACGAATCACAACAAAATATAAAAAACAATGGCTCGAGATGAAAATTAAGTTTCAAAGCTCCAATAGTCCACATGATCGACAGATTTCAAATAAATTTCGTAGTAAACAGTATTCCCGAGTTTAACGAATTTCAAGTTTCGTGGTCTTTGAAATTCACAGGAATAGCTGATTTCTGGCGATATATGAGATCGAAGAAACTTTGGAACCTTACAACAATCATGGATCTCAACCTATGATCAAGGTTAACGGACTTCATGGCCGACAATTCTCAGTCAAGCATCTAAAATAAAAAGGAATTATACATAACTAAATCAGCAGATTTTTAACCGCTAAATTAACTTATTTTTCCAACAATACTCCAGTTAAAATACAAATTAGGTTTGCAAACATTCCCTTTAAGCTGAAAATTGGTACCGACCTAGAATAAAATATCAAAACTCCTCATATATCCGTGGAGCGGAACCTTATTTTATTCGGGTTGAAATGTCAAAATACCACAACAATACCTGATACAAAAATTAGTACCGATCAATACTATTAACTTCTTTTTTGATTGTTTTATACAAACCTTCGGTTGCTTAAGGAACGAATTTATAGAAAAATATCTGACCCCTGTTTGGACACACACTGTATAAGTGGTTTAGTATAAGTCGCATACATCGATGCTCCAACATACAGAGATATCCAAATACCACTCACGCCGTAATGTGTAGGAGAGAGAAGCGCGAGAAGCGTGCACCACGTATGTTAATAAGAGTACGCCGACAACGCGGCAAGCCGCAGCTGCTAAAGAAAAGAAAACAAGCGAACATGGGTAAGTAGAGCGCGAAGAGGTGACACTGGTGAACACATTAATGACGAGACGTCATGTTGTGGGTTACAAATGTTCGTTTCATCGAAACGGACCTTCATTCAGATTGCGGCAAACGCATGTAGTTTCCTGCGACCGACGTAGGAGCCAGTAGTATGACATTTGGTGAACTACTCATGGGTGGCAGTATCACCTCTTTGCACCAGACGACTTAACGATCATTGATCAATGGACGCTTCATTATCGACGGCATCGACCGCGTGGGCTGGTTTTGCGCACCACTTACGAAAATTGGAATGCTACACTGAAAACAAGTACGTTTATGAAAAATACAAAGACCCGACCACAGCAACTGAAAATAATGTGGCTATACCTGTGCTCCATTTTAATCGGACACTTCAGCGGCGGACGGCTCATTTGTCAAAATCCATCTAGGCTGCGAAACTAGGAATTTCAAGGTTGACATTTTTGATCAAATCCTGACTTTTAAATTGTATAAAACTTCAATGAACACAGTGTCACTAGCACTGCTTAGACGAATCCAAAAACATCTCATATATCCAAATCCAATAAGGCGTTTGAACTGTAGCCCGTGAATAGAATTCTTTGTCCATATATACACATACACCCGCGAAAAACATAAGCCTCCTTCTGAGGCAGTCGTGTATTGAGATTACAGAGATTGCACACATAGTGTCGGCAATCTAACTGTTATGGTTGAAGTGGATGTACTACTATAGTCCCACTATCAGAGAAAGAAACTCCTTCTGAGGCAGTCGTCTATCGAGATTACAGAGATTGCACACACAGTGTCGGCAATCTAACTGTTATGGTTGCAGTGGATGTACTACTATAGTCCCACTATCAGAGAAAGAAACTACACAAACACAGGCAATACTTCACACTACTAGACACCAGAGCGCCAAGCTATGGCTAGCTAACGGTTGGCAAGGCTGCATGCACCGCAGTGTCGCCTCCTACTCCTCCTTCCTGGTTTGGTATTGGTCATGTATATGGGCTCGACCGCATCTGTCTGATGACAGAATTTCTAAAATCGACCTGTAATCTACTAACTCATACAATTCGATATCAGTTTGATTTGCCGTACCTCTGCATTTTTTGGCGCGAAGTTGTTTCAAAATGTTTTGTAGAGGATTTGCGCGCAACTCAGCATCTGCCCGAAAGGTACGAGTATATCAGGAGAATTTAGGAATTAACAGAAAATCGAAGCCTCTTATTAATCAATAATACCATATATTTCATCTTTATAAATAAATAAAATAAATATTGCACTAAAATTACTGGACTTTGCAAATAAATATTATGTTTAATGAGTACATGTTTCACAACAATAGATTATCATTTAATAGCTTCAGAAATGTACAATACAACTTTATCCTATAATATGTAGGTGGATATACTTTTACATCACACTTAGTACTTCTTTGGGCACAATCATTAGGTATAAAATAGCTACATTGTAGATGTATAAAGTGATTAAAACAGATTTATAACAAGCAGTGTCCTACAACAAATCACAGAGTCACATTATATTCAATGAAGTCAAAAAAATTAAAGTGACATTTATGGTCTAGCACTAAAAACGAAGGTACTGATCCTTTAGGGAATCTCTCTCTCCATTTTTTTCAAGGTTATGCATTTCTTATGAACGAACATTATATTTTTCAAAACATGCCAATTCCAAAAAAGTTTTATCTGCTTGTCGTGGGAAATATGAGAGATATCTTTCAAATTGAAGAGATTATGTCTAACATATCGTGAACTACAAAAATCAGTATGCATTTTTTCTGTTACACTATGAAATACTTTATGAAAATGAGGAATTTTTAGTTACGTCAAATAATGGATTTTCTATCTACACTTTGGGAAATAACAAGAGCGACTCCCCCGATTGTTACTTAAGTATCATAACTTTCCGTTGGATAACTCACACATATTTATGGTGTGTAAGATTTAACTACATGTTGATTTAACAATTAGGGTAGTCTAGTTATTTCCCAACAGTTTATCTGTGCACACTAAATTATATGACCTAAAAATGTACAATATTTGAGCACCAGTTTTCAGTAAAGTCAACATTCAATTTCATACTTCTGCAAACTGGCAATGAGCAAAACAAAAAAGTATGTATATAGAGGTCTACGATAAAATATTTTTAGTTATTTAGAATAACTGGGAAAAAGCAAAATTTATAAATACTGTGTTACAGATGGATCAACTTTGTACTCACATAGTTTGGTTCATAATATGAAGAATTAAAATAACATTTATTGGAACAAACTAATATTTTGTCTCATAAATTTGGGCCTGTCAAAATTCAAGGATTCATTAAAATTTTTTGTTACAGTTTGCAAACAATGTGCTAATAATTATTGTAATATGTGGATTTTGAAGCAAGGCCTTATGCGATATCAATGAATATTCTCCGTTGAGCGGAGAATACTTTTTTAATAGTTGAATTTACAAGATACGCATAAAAACACAAAAATTATAGTAATTTTCGAAGAAAATCGGACTGAGGAATTGAAGTTAAATGCGTCACCTTGTTTCGGGTAACAGCATGGCAAGATTATTAATAAGTTATAAATTTTGGAAAATTGTCACCATCGGGCAATCCTCTTTGAGCGAATGTCAGTATTTAGTCATGGAATATGATATTTACCAGTTATTACTGATATACAGCGTGACCCACTTTAATCTCTCTATCTAAATATTACGAAAACTACGCATCCTAGACAAAAGTTTTAGGCAAAAGTTGTAGGGTTCCGAGGGGGCAAAAGTATAGCGCCGTTGACAATGAACATTACGATGTTTAAGGTCACTTCCAAGGTCATGTGAATATTCTCAAATAGAACACCCCCTTTTTACATCTGACCATCACCTTGACTATTTCATTCAAGGCTATTTCAAGGTCAAATCGAGACTTCTAAAACAATTTGATCTATCAAAAATGTTCGACAGGACAGTTGTGAGGCTTTTGGAGATCACCCAAAACGGGACTCCCTGTACAAGCTTACGTATATATCCACTGACACTAGACTCACTAGAGACACAATCAGTAAATACTGACGGTATGGACTGCATAGTAAATACTGATCGTATGACATTCGCCTTAATTCATGGTGTTTTATGTGGTGCATACAACATTGGCTTATAACCATAATTGTAGATCCCAAAAATAACTATTTTCTGGATGCGCAATGGCAGCGGCACCTAGCGGGTGTGTTTAACACGTACAATACTTTATTGTCAAACTGCCATTTTTCTTCTGGTCTGATAAATAATGGCAGCAAAGTATTTGCACCACTGTGAGGCCTGAGTTGACTACACATTTCACCACCTGATCGTGCCCGCGTCTTAAGATATTAGAGGTCAAAGGTCGCAAAATAAATCGTTTAATGCAACGATCTCGCTTCCTATGGGTTTAGAGCTATTTGCATTCAGTAGGAATTTTGGTAGAGAATGAATTTGTCGACAACTTTTGTTACAAACATTTTTTCATATGATTAATATAGGCACAGAATCACCTTGTGGTCCTTAGATTTTTGGCAAAGCTGTACCCTAAATATGTACCTCTATGTGTCCTGTGCAACATATAGGACTTTGTTGGTGACGCCATTCTTCGTTTGAGTCCTGCGATTTTTTTTTTTCAGGTTTGAGTAGTCAACCTGTATATTTGTAAAATGTTTGTAACAACGTTGTAGAGAATTTGACTCTCTGCAGCATTCATGAAAAATGCAAATAGCCTTAAACCCACAATAGTCTTTGCAAGAAACCGTTCTTGTGACCATTGATATCTTCACACGCGGACACGAGATATTTGTGGGACTTTTGAAACAACTTTTATAATGGCAAAATAAAGGGTTCTACAAGTTTACAGATTATTATTTCTCATTCCGACGTTAAACCTCTTTTATGGCTTATATAATTGGACGAATATTCCAATATCCGGCCGACGATCGAACGATCAAGTGAACGAAAGCACTAGAAAAAATCATATGATCAAAAAAGCAGTCTTCGCATCGACTTTCGAGCACTGTTTAGCTAGAATAAATGACAAAGGAAAACTTTGCAAGCAGTATATTACCAAAGTTTGTTATGATAGAATTTCAAATCGAAGAACCCTTGCTCGGTTAGGTGCGGAGTTTTTCGTGAGGTGCTTTCTTCAGCAGACACAGGTAGAACCACCGGTTTTTCCACGAACTTTTCTTCAGCTGTTTCCGCAGATGTTTGTTCGGTCACTTGAATGTTTCCCACCTCATTTTCCAAATGATCTACTTCGTCCTCAACCTTTTCCTCGCCATTGGTGGTTGCGCCGCCATTTTGGTCTCCGTTCAGAGGCAAGGGTAGCGACTCAGGGCGCTCAGATTTCTCTTCTGAAGGTTGGTCTGCAGCTATCTCGGTTTTACTGGAATATTTAACGGGTCTAAGGGAATGGTACGATTACTGGGATGCTATTTGGGCCCTAGGAGAAAAGAAAAAAAAAGAACGAAATAAAATCAAAATAGAAGCAAAAAAGTAATAACTAAAAATAACTCAAAAGCTGTCAAATAAAATATAATAAGGATTTCTTAATGATTTTTTAAATTCAGATGGCATCAACAATCCATACTAAATTGGAAGATCTTAATGTTTATGGAATAGAACATTTCGTGCATTATATGTGATTGGTAGATAGCAAGAAGTGTTTTAATTTATTCTAAAATTATCTCTGATTTTCAACGATGGTGATAAAATCGATACATCCTGAGTTAATGCGACAGTGAGCGGTCGGAAAATGTAAGAAATACCATTATGTAATCATTGTCTCCGCATACGTAGGTGAAAACCATTTCGAATCAGGACGACACTTTCCAATAAGCGCTATATGGGTACTGACCAAACTCGCTCATGTGTGATCATGGAGGTGGAAAGCTTGCCTTGGAATGTAAGATAATGCGGTGTTGACCTTTTATTTTTCCAACTAAAATAGAGCGCCGTTAGGACCGATCCGGAATCGATCCTAAACAGATTCGATCGACACAATTCAAAAATGGGTATACTCAAAATAAAACCATTATTTGTGCGTAGAAAGTAAACTAACGCATATTTTCAACATGTATCTCAATTCAAGGAACTGGTGTAGCATATTGGTAACGCGGCGGATTACCGCGTCAGCGTTGCTAGGCAAAACGGTAATGAGCTTCGCTATCCAGCCAGCTTCTATCTGTTTCTAACATATATGTGTCTATACACACTTCTCTCTCCTACACATTGAACTCAAGCCATCAGACAAATTTTGGTCTCAGCGTATACCATGGTATATTTATAGAGATATTTGGTCAATATCTTTTCATGTACGGTCGTATTGGTGGAAAATTGTTTGAGTTTGAAGAAAAACATGGCATTGTCAGAAGCTACAGCCGTCAAACGCTACTGCTGGCGATTTACCGCTTTTGCTCAAACAGCTCACACAGCGACTTTTAAGGCAAGCACACAAGCAATGTGGGCGTCTAATGACTGTACTAAAGTTGCTGAACGATTTTTTGGTTTGATACCTCGGCTGAATGTAACTGCCATTCGCCTAGCAGCTTTACTAAAAGTGCTGCAAAAAGTTGCCTGAAGTGCATTCCACTGAAACTGGGTTATAGGCATACATAGGAGGCCATTTACCTTCAAGGTGTCTTGAAAACTGATATTTTGTCGTATTTTTTGACATCGTTTTTTGTGAAATAACGTAGGTTTTATACGTGATGTTAACTTAGCACAAGCTGTTGTACACTTGTTGTGAACTCGTTTTGACGCTGTACGTGTTGCTTAAACTCGTGGAATCAACTATTTGCACATTAAAAACTTAAAAACTACCAAGTCTGCAAGATGACATTCCGTCGTTTTTTTAGGTTTTTTATATAATAGGTTTTTCAATTGCATGTACACAGAGATTTTACTCCTAAACAGGAATTAACTATCAAAACGCGTTTTTCAATGTTGGGTTTGTCCTAAAACGGCAGTTAACTTCAACTAGAAGACCATCTACCGATTAAGTACAAAGGTGTAGTTAAATCGCAAGCCAAAACTTGTTTTTTGACAGAGACATGAGTCGGCATGGATAACACGAGAAACAAACGCAGAGCGTCGTCCAACGCACAGAACACGATAGTTGAGATGAAGAGGCAGCATTGCCAGATCAATAGTTGCGGGTTGGTTAACTAGAATTTGAAAAACGAATTTACGAACAACTAATCGTTATCTTCCAAGTTATAGCTACTAAACTTGGAAGGTAACCAGCGATTGAAAAACTTGGACTAAGGCGGAGTTCACGGGGTATTTAGGTTAGAGGAAACGTTAATTTTAAATCTAAATTCTATTTTAATACTAAACTAAATCATGCAATATCCCGCGGACGGTTATAAAAACTAATCAGCTGGGGGCCAACTTGCACGTTTTACGAATAACGTCTGTTGGCTATAAATCACACGTTAAAGCGCGGTTTCTAAATCGCTGGGCGTTTTTCAATTTCCAGTTAACAATCCATAAACCGTTGATTCTTCAACGCTGCTTTTATGCCTGAATTATCGTGTACTATTATGTGCTTCGAGGTGTTCGGTATTTGTGTCTCGTATCACCCATGACAACTTAGGTCATTGTTAAGAACATTAGGTTAGACATTGCTGTTTGACCTTAACCTTATAGTTATCCCATACACGGTCCTCTAGTTGTATGCTGATTAGCTTTAAGGCCCTTACGCAGGAGACTGCACGGTTTTGCTTTAGTATCAAAAGGGAAATACAAATTTTCCCTAACCTCGGTACCATAAGAACCGATGAAGTAGGAAATTTTTAATATAAGAAATGATTTTTAACTTAAATAAAAAACAAAAATATAGAATAAAATGTGTTTTTAGTATGTAGAATAGGATGATTTATAATTCAGAAGTATGAGAAGTACATTCATCGAGTAGTACTTCCCACGCATTCATGCATACAGGTATTTTCTTGAATATTCAACAAAATCGAAGGAACCGTTACAGGAAGTTATTCGGCGACGAGAGCTCAAACAACAAAGAGGCAGATGAAGCATTCAAAGAGCCGTATCTTGAAGTTTGAAAAAGTTCGCAATGACTATGTTTTACGATTATGCATGGGAAGAACTTCAATGTTCAAGGAAGTATTGTTATAGTGATATACGTTACCTTAGATCTGTGAAGTACACTACTTAACACTAGAGACGTGGGAGAGGATAGGAAGGGTTAGGATTGCTGACGGATACGGATCTGATTATAGCTGGTGAGCCTTTCGGGCCTGTAAACATATTTTCATTAGATTTCGAGACAGCAAGCTAGAATGCGTCACCATACTTTACAGTGGGTAGCTGGGGTGGGTAGCCATTTCTCAAGGAATCCTCATCGGTCCATTCTACTTTGGACTTGCTACTAAAATGTCGATTTCATAGGTAATTCAGAATATTCGAATGTAAAGGCCTTTGCCCTGAATAACATACCATACTAGAATCAAACTTGGATTGTAAGCAGCACAACACGTAACAGCAACAGCTGGTTAGTCGCGATCTTATACTCTGGTACCAAAACGGGCACATCGGACAAAGTCGGTGAGCGCGGATCCAGTGGTATTCAAAGACTTTAGCAGTTCTGTACGATGTATTTTGATACTCTCTTCGGTTTTGGTACCCGACTATGATACCTACCGTGTATATACCGCGTATGATGACCGTCTGGTGTACGTTCTATTTTCGCACAACTGTCAGAAACGTCAAACTCATTAATGTTTAGCCTCTAGCTTCTGTCCGTAAGTCGCCGCTATTCAAACGCGTTATGCGTGCCGTTACAAGAAATACTACGCTACATTCATGACAGGATAATGACGTCAGTCGAATCATACTAGGCTCGTATTTAGCACTACGAGTACATATAACAGCAGATCAACTAAGTTGTACTAGTGAATTTATTCTAATACCCGTTTGGTAAGAGTTCCATTTCAGTATAATTCTTGACAAAATGTCAAAACTGCTATTGTTTTGGATGAAAATCCACACACAGATTGTATCCTAATTTATTGGGTTCGTACCGCGTTGTGCTGAGTAATCCGTCAGTAACAGTTACAGCAACATGACGTTCCATAATATAACCCTAATATGATACGCTACAGTAAGCAAAGATCTTAGTCCTTTATTTGAACGATCACCTCACCTCAATTTGTTCCCAGTCTGCTTCATGTCTCCTCCTGCTGGAGCAACGCGTTCAACGTAACCCGCATTACCAGTCAACGTTTGCTGGACACTGGTGGCAGAGGCAGTGTTATTTGGTGGAATGTTGCTCTTGACCTGTTGTTCACTCTTTGCACCTGATATGTTCAGATTTTGGACATGGGAGACATGAGGCTGGATTATAGACTGTTGCTGAACACCTGTCATACTTTGGTTGATTGGTGAATGCATGCTAACGTCTGACTGTTGTAGGATATTTGAAGCCACTTGTTGAACCATTCGGTATTGAGAAGTATTTAGGTTTACATTTGGTTGCATAACAGGCATCTGTTGATGCAAATTGTGGTGGTGATGCTGATTCGTATTTGCCTGCTGTTGAATCAAATTTGTATCATTTGATATATGTAGGGGGATATTGTAGTTCTGTTGAGAAGCATGCTGATGAATCGATGGAGATGAACGTGGATGAACAATAGGTTGATTTTGATCACCTGGTTGATATTGTTCACCAGTCATAATTAAGGACATTTCGTTTCGCGCATTTTGTTGAGTACTTTGAACAGTTGGCTGTATCTGTTGATTTTGCATCTGTTGATCAGCTTGGTGTGGACTGTAGGCACTTGTTGGTATGAGCTGTGGTTGTTGATGCATGGCAATAGTAGGGCTTTCTTGGATATTGTCTTGAGCAACAGGTTGGTACTGTTGATTTTGCATCTGTTGAGCAACCGCATGTTGACCAAAGGTACTGGCAGCTTGTTGCACGTTTGGCTGTTGCTGAATTTGCATTTGATCAATGTCCTTAGCCCCTGATTGGTTATGTTCATTGTATGTCTGTTGTGATACTTGCTGTTGGTTGTAAGCGGGCATTTGTTGTACGTTTTGTTGATGCATGCTTCGCACTTGGTCAATCATGGGAATATTTTGTTGATTCTGTTGATTTTGCATATGATGATGAGCAACTTGTTGTTGGCTTACGGTACTTGCAGTTCGAATGGCTTGCTGTATTTGGTTGGTATTTGCAACTTGATGTTGAACAAAAGCATTCGCTTGTGGAATATTCTGTTGGTGCATTTGTTGGTGATCAACAGGAAAATGCATGTTTGACACAGGGCCGTGATTAGGGTGAGTCATAGAAAGTCCTTGGTTGTAAGTATTTTTCGATAACTGAGGTGCACTTTGCGTCACGTGGCTTAGAACATAAGCTTGCTGTTGTTGAGTGGGTTGTAGTTGCATTAGCTTGTTACCTTGGATCTGTTGTTGTGTCATTTGGTTTCGTTGGGGCTGTTGTTGCATATATTGACAATCGCCTTGCATCGCCTTGTATATTTGATAGTGAGGTGGTATATTGCCCTGTATCATATCACCATATTGCACGTCACTTTGGCTAAAGGTTTGATTAGTTTCTTGATCCTGTGCATAGTTCTGTGGTGGGCCTTGTGTATAGCTTTGTTGCTGAGGTTGGGAACCGTGTGCATAATTCTGCTGCTCTGTCTGTTGATCTTGTGCATAGTTTTGTTGTTGACTGTCTTGTCGATACACGTACACATCATCCGCAATTTGTGGCAGATGTTTAGGATTTTGAACATTGCTTTCCATTACATATTGCTGTCGATTCGTTTGACCATATTGGGGATTCGTCTGATAATTTTGAGCATATGCATAATTGCCGGAAACTTGGGTTTGAATATAATTGGGGTTGTTTATCATTCGGCCTTCTTGAATATTCGGGACGCTTTGGGAGACGTTCTGACTTTGGGTATATCTGGGAATAAGGTTAGCAGTGTTACAGATGTATATCGTCATTGATTAACGTATTTTGAAAAAAGCCAACCACGTATTTCGGCATCCAAAAAATTATCCTAGAAAAAAATTCTCACAGATTACGCCAGGATCTCATTTCATCTCGGACAATTTTTTGGATGCCGAAATACTATAATCTCTATAATACATTGATCAATGATACATAACCCTACAAAATCATGCGATAAGGAAAATTTTTATCAGATGTCCACCAGAATTTTGACGTGTTCAACTTAAATTGTAAATGTGACCTCAAAATTAGGTGAAAACTTAACATAGATATCTATTGTTAAAACTAAACAAAGTTAAATGCATCAGTGAGTTCTTCAATTCATTTCATTTAGAAGAAATATTAATATTATGCTTCCAAACGGATATATTCTGAGCATTTTGAGTGGTCTCACTTCTTCTTCAATAGGATAGTGGCAAAACCCATTCAAACGTAAAATTTTGGACCAAAGCTACGTAATTAGTTTTAGGGTGATGCCTATATTTATTGTATTTTTCACATAGTATCCCTTACGGTATTTCAAATTTCAAAATTCCCCATATCGACAAGTGACACCTAATGCTAACGGATCCGTCAACGCCTGGTAGACGGAGCCTTATTTTTTGTTTTTTGTACGCCACAAGCAAGCTTTACTAGATTTACACCCGATATATTTTTGAAAACCAGAGACTAATGCAGATGTCACTAATTTGTTGATCAGCTGTTCACCCCCACTAGACGTCAAAACGTGATGGACACTCGTGAATTAGGGTTTAGAACGTGTTCTTAGCTGCTATGGAGGATAGACTTGAGTCAAGATATGATAAAAATAACCATCATTCTCTGACGTTGTCAGTTTGACATGAAATGTATGGTCAAGTTCTATTGCTAACAACCAGCGAAAAACGAGGAATATCTGTAAAATAAAATATTTGGCTCTTTTAGCCATTAAAATGTTGCATAGGAGGGAAATACAAATTTTATAACAATCATGAAATAATAAATAAATAATATTTACAGATCACAAAACAAAACAATGGGGGATATACTAAGTTTTTAATTTATTTTCCTATCATTATATTTCTTTTAAACACAGTCAAGACAAAGCATGAATTTGGAATTGCCAATTTTGATTGTTGGGGAAAAGTTGGAGGTAAGTCTGACATGTAATGCTGCTCAGTTATAACTTGATTTGAAAAACGAAAAAAATGATTAATGGGAAAAATGAAAAGAACATTCCACTTGGGATAGCAGAATTTCCGTAGGGTTATGTAATGATAAAACTTGGAATATAATTTACCCGTATTGCTGTTGATGTGCTCCCATGGCTGGCATCGACTGAACTCTTTACATGCAAAATTTAGAACTATATTAAAAATGAATTGAAAGCTTAGTATGATCTTCACTTACCCACTAGGCTCTTGTTGTTTATTTATTGTAGAAGTTTGATTATGGATTATCTGCAAGGTTAAAGTTTATTTGTTAATAGAGAAAAGCTGGACCACATGCTCATAATTCTGAATTTAAGCACAGTATTTTTGAAACATTTTATGCATCCAAATCAATATTACGTTTACTACACAATATCACCATCAGTGAGCTGTCAGAAAACTTAGTTAAGAAAGAATGTATAGCAACTTCCAGACCATCGCGTTTACCAATAATTAAAATTCTTTTAATTTGCATATTTTTAATGCAACGCATAACAAAACATTAAGTACCACAACTGATTAGACAAATATAAATATTGCCGGTTGACAACATTTATGCACAATTCAAAAATGATCTATTAGCAGTTCAAAGATAATATTTTTAATATGCGTTGAGGTTATCATAAAGACACCAAACATTCACCAGCTGCACAACTTGCTTTTCTAGACCAGATACATAGCATTTATTTGTTAAGTAGCATATCACTGAGATAGACTCAAGCATAAACTCTCTTTCCCAATATAGTTTGGTAGATATAGAATTTAAGAATCTGATTTGCTTAAAGACCCAAAGAAGTCATAAGTCTCCTAGTCAGATTGCAATGGGTGATCTAATTTATTTTCCGTCTCGGTATAAAAATGTGAAAAATAACCGCGTTCGGACTCCGTGATTGTCTGGCCAAAAGAAACAATGTCATTGTCACTAATTTGTGGTAGCTGAAACGTTAGTCATACATATGTGGTTTCATTTGGCCTAGCAATCATGAAGTCCTTTCAGCCTGAAAGCTAAATGATATGTTTCAGCTGTTACATTAAATGACCTTGACGCAGATGCGATATTGAAAATGAATAAAAGTTAGATGAAGCAATTAAAAGTTAGTCAGTATATATTAAATCAATACATAAACGGTGTATAAAATAATGTAAATTGTTAAAAGCAATACGTCATTATAATATTATAAATTAGTTTGTAGTACCTGCCCCATGCTACATGGTGGTCTGGGAGCACCGTACCGTCCGTAGGGTGACGATGAAGTTTGTAAGCCATTAGCAGAGTCCTTTTTTAGGGCACGCGTACCAGCCGGACTGTAAAGTTAGTGGTTATATGTTAGTAACGTATGGCTGGGAACAGTTATTAGATTAAATATGATCAATTTTATTTATGAAAAAATTTGACGTGTTTTTGTATAGATATTCAAGGGTCACCAATGATATCACTGCTTTCACCTGCAGTGCATAACTAACACATTTCTTTTTTACGCTGGAGCAGTCGCGCAGGCAGACGCTCAAACGCCAGGACACCGCGGCTGCTATGATCCCAAAGAAACTTTGTTGATCTGCTTAAGGTTGGTATAACTGGGAAAAGCCTCCTCTTGCAGATCGTTCCACTATCGCGACACCCTAGGGACAAAGGAGCGGTTGTATCGGCCAGTTCTTGGTGTACGAAGTTCGACACGATCAGGATGGGAGAACGAAGCCAGGCGGATCTGTCTGCAGTCACATCGCGCGGCGGAAGGAAAAAGAGAACAACAACAACCTTCCATTCTTGGACGACATGGTTACACAGAACAATTCCAGAATAAAAACTACTATACACACAAAACCAATACATAAGGGAAAATGCCTAAATGTCTTCTAGACATCCAGCAAAAACGGAAAAAAGCCTATCCTAATCTCCAAGAAGAAATCAACCGCAACAAATATTTGATGAGAAATGGCTACCAAAGACGACTATCAATGAAGTTCTTAAAGAAAACAATACCAACAACAATGGAAACACGCGTAGCATGCACTAACTCTACCATACGTTGAGGGAATAAGTGATGCAACCATAAGAATAGAAAGACAATACCAAATCGAAACTAGATTTTCAAGGAACACACACACTTCGCAATATCCTTAAAAAGACAAAACCTATGAACAAAAACCAGATCACTAAGGATTGTCTATACCAGGTGTCATGTAAATGTGGAAAGATATACATCGGAGAAATAATAAGGCCACTCTCAGTAGGAATATAAGAACATAAGTCCAACAGAGAACGGGGAGAGACAAATCTGGGATTGCAGATCACGTTTGGACATAGCACCACAGTATACTTTGGGATTTCGCTTAGATCTTACACAAAGAAACACACTGGCGTTGGAGAAAATTCAAAGAAGCGGCCTTGATAATTATGAATGAAAATGTTTATAGCAATCCAAGTGTGGAAATTGGAAACTGATTATAAAACACATCAACCAACCACCGGCCATTGCATCAAACGGTACAAATAGCCAAGAAACGGAGCATGTTCGCCAGTTCACCTGATGACAACTGAAGATCACATCAATCGAAACATCGGAAGTATAAACCATAAAAGTCATAGTAACATCTCAATAATCCAACATGACGAAAGTCAATAATTAAAACCTCATATGTTGCAGAAAAAACTTTCTACAGACGTTTAACAGTTTCCCTTGAAAGTGACTAATAGTTACTGGAAGCTATCACACTTTTTCGAATAGCAGCAAGTTAAAGTGGTTAGAGATCGAATAATATCGATATCGAATATCAATAAATTTAGGATACCAGATGAATACTGATTTAGTAATGTCTTACTTTACAATACCCAAATTTATTGGTAATTAGTTATGTGGATTCGTGATATATATCCTATGTACATTTCAACAGTTTTAGAACAACCATAAGCCTTTTTTGAAACAATGGAACTATTTTAACTTGCTATAATTACTTTTAACATATAAAAAGTGAAAAGTTTCCCTCTTGAAGAAAACAAATAATTCGATAATATTGTTCTCCTAATTAGCTACTTTTTAGAGCAATCCTCACAGTATTTTTTATAACTGATAATGAATCATTTACATATTAACAAATTCTAAGTTAAGTCGTAAATTTAATCATACCTTTGGTCTCTTTCGACTTCCTGATGTTGGTTACTATCCGATGCTTTCGAAAAAAATCCATCATATACTACATAGTTGTTCATTTGTTTCACTGGAGAATGAAGTCCGTAATGTTTATTAAGGAATCCTAGTAACTTTTCACTGGGCCTGTCTATTGCCATCTTTACAGGTTCTATGCCCTCTTTCTGGAAATTAAACATTATTATATTGTTTGGCAAATAATCTGTTTAGTACTGCACTTGGAATGCCTTGTGATTGACTAAAAAAACCGAGGAGTAACATTGACATACAAAAAATCTAAAGGCTGCTCTACTATGTAATGTAACTGCTAACAGGCATCTTCATGGAAAAAAACACTTGAAATTTTATAGAAATTACGTTGTGAAAGTCTTCACTAAAGTGCAGATTGAGCTATACAGGGTGTTTCCAAATTGAATGTCAATATTTGAGTGGGCGATTTTTGGTTCCATTTTAAAAAGTAAACTTCATATGAATGTATGTCCTAAACGTCTTAACTTTTGAGATGCAGGGCCACTTCAGATATATCAATAAAATTTGGCATACATGTATGTATTAAGAGGCATTTTATTAATTTACCTACTACATTTCTTCAATTTACACCAGTTCTTTAGGTATAGAATTTCGCCTGACTGTTTTGGCAGACTTTGATGGTACGCTATTTGAGTTTCTATATCTCAAAAGTTAAGACGTTTAGGAGATACGTTCAAAGGAAGTTTCATTTCAAAATTGACGCAAACATCGCCTCATTGAATACAGACATTCAATTAGGAAATCATTTTATATGAAATTATCGATATTTTTATAGAGATAGTTAATAAAATAAAGAGTATAGAATATACCTGTAGCATGTGTTCAAATAATTGTTTCCCTAATCCTGTACGCTGTCTGCTATCGTGAACATAAAAATCTAAAACGCAGGGTGGCGACACTTGGTAATGTTGACCATCTCTATCGAACACGTACAAGCCCTTGGCCCCGGTTTTCAACATGCCGGTTACTGCTCCTTTGCCACTAAAAACAAACGAAAAGGAAATATAGTGTTATTACTAAAACGCACCGTAAGCTTCTCTTTCCGACCCATTTCCCTAAGATTCTACCTGACGAAAAATGAAACCAGATATTTTGGAAAAGTTACAGCGGCAACCGTACTTGAAAAAAGCAGAATAACAAAAAAAAACCTGGATGTGTTTCTTTGACTTTTCGAGGAACTGTATTCCTGAACATTGATAATAGAGTGGCCATTCGAGTCATTTTCGTGAGATAAAGTGCGGAATTATCAATCTAATCTCTAAAGACGAAGTTAACCCTGCGATGAAATGTGTAATGATATGGAGAACCAAGAAACACACAGGCTGCCCTCAAAGTTCGAACTTTTTGCCAGTAGCACATATACTAAAGCTTTAAGATAACCTTGTTATCAAGTTCCGAAATAAGCCACTCGGACCCTGACTCCCTCACCTCCTACGTCAAAGGTTTGATGTTTTTTAATACATTGACTATGTCATTTAGTAGGTATCAAATTGAGGCGCCAGGCAGTGTGTTGGTGAAATTATTTTATAAACAAACTGAATTTAAAAACCTAAGCACATTCCTACAGAAAAAACTTAGCTATCGATTTGGTTTTAGTTTTCTGCGAGCGTCTTCTAGGTCCTATTGATACTCCGCGAGTGTATTGGAGTATTCAAACTCGTATTTTTTACTCGAACAGCGACAACTCCAAGCAGTAATTATAAACAAAACTTGTGGCAGGGCAGTACTTGAAATATGTACCAAATAAAATTGGGGTCCTGAAGTTTCATATATTAGCCAAGACCATAAGGACTTGGGTAAGAAAAGTGGAAACTAAAGCTTTACGAGGACTGCAAGCTAAGTAATGACACTGATTTTTTTTTTCATTCAAATATAATTACAATTTTTTATTGTCACCCACAAAATAACTTCCTTCTGAAGCCAGACAACGCTTGAGACGGTTCTTCCACTCCTCATAGCAGTGCTGGAACTCCGACACTGGAATAGCCTTCAGCTGGTCGGTTATAGCCGTTTGAATGTTTTCGACTATCTCAAAATGAGTTGCATATACGAGATTTTTCAACTTCGGGAATAAGGAGGCTGAGAAGCCACAGGAATGCTTTTACTGGCCAAACACTCGTTTATTGACATTGCTGTGTGACAAGGAGAAGCATTATCGTAGTGCAACTCCCAGATGTTCTTGATGTTTGGTAAAAGTGTTGAATGACCGTTTGGCCTCGAGGTAGAAAGTCTTTATGGACGATTCCTTGGATATAGAAAAAACAAATCATCCTGCATTGATCTTCGACTTCGTCTTTATTCCCTTTTTGGGGCCTTGAAGAGGTTGAAGTGTGCCATTCCATGCTCTGGCGCTTGGCTTCTGGGCCGTACTCAAACACTCGTCACGAGTAATTACACGTTCCAGAAAATGGAACGAAAAAGTCAAGGCACATTTCCTTCCTGATGTCCTAGTATTGCAAAGGTTTTTTGGAAGCATTTTTGAGCAAAATCCTCTCATCCCCAATTCTCGGGTTGAAATCTGATCACCGAGGATACGAGTCAAATAACACTGATGAAGATCAGCTAGAGTTAAATTTGAGGCAAAATCTGACAGCACACCGTTGCTCGAAACTGATGTCACTCATTTTTAGAATACAATAGGAAACAGTTTCAGAAAAAAAAAAACGCTACGGAAAACTAAATTACTAGAGCGAGTTCAAACTCCCAAACTCGTGCTGAAGGTGGTGATCCGCTGTCTCCCCTCCAAGCCCGGCGCTTCCAGTGTTGCCAGATCCAACGCTACGTTATCAAGTCTTATTACTTAATTTACAGACCTCGTTGTTATGTATTAACTCTTACTTATTTGCTTGCTGGTCTAACAAAATATACAATCGATGCTCTGAATTCCTAAGCCGATCAGCAGTAGTGATTGGTTTGGATAGTCCTTGAGCTTTGGCAGATGCTTCACCCATTGCATTGATGACTTCTGACACCTTGTTCACTGAATCCCTGGAAAAAATGTAATATAAACTTTTATGAACTGCCATTATTGAAATGATTATAAATATGTACTCTAACTCTACGAAAACCCATGAATTCATGAATATTTTGGAAGTTAGCTAGATATATCTCAAAAGTGTCGACTTCAAAATAATACTGAAAATGAATCAGGTAAGTTCATTTTGAGATACTTATGAAAACTGTAGAAAATACATCATTCATATCTCGCATCATAAATATTTCTGAAATCCATAAAAAGCTCTGATTCTAAATTTAATGTATATAATGGACTGTTTAGCTGAGCCAATGAAAGATAAGTAATTGGTTGAATTAGATAGCTATATACTATCAAATATTTGATAGGATGAAAAGTAGCTATTGAATTATTTGCATGACGTCAGTGTGTATGCATTGTATACACAGCTACAATAGAAATTCAAAGAAAAGAAAGGCTTGATGATAATTAGTAAATAATAATCATAGCAAAACGTATAATTTATATTTGAGCCTTTACAATCCTACATGCCATGTTAGCTTGCGGCTTGTGCTAGAAAGCAGTGATTTTGCCGCTAGGATTAAACACATTACACAAATATTATAATAGTCCAGTTATAATAAGAATTTCACTCCCATTCAATAATTTGACTGAATAATAAAACAGTATGCCTAGAGATTTACCTCTATACAATAGTGAGAGCTGAAACAGACATGAGCTGCAGCTTATAACTAGGCAAGTATGCCATTTTTTCAAGAAAATGGTATGTATTGCTGTATCTTGGTGAAAAAATTTCTTTGCCAGACCTGAAGCGTGAGACGTGCGCACTTCCTTAGAGATGTCCCACTCTCGGCTTTTCAATGGTCAAGTTTACCATTTTTTTATTACTAGCTCAAATGAAAGTTTAGGAAAAATGAAACAAGATGATGAAAAATGATTAATTTATCTCTAAAAACAAAACAGTTACAGCCCATCAAAGATGCGCTCCGCGAGAATATTTTTATTCCGTCTGTACGTTGCGTGTGACGTCACACTTCAGACTTCAGTATCCAGTTGCAACGCCCGCGGCCGATTCCTGGGCCCGAGGCGATTCAATTTCCTAAACACATGCATAGGCGCACATACAGCGGGACACATGGCAGGCTAAACGTCTTCCGCCCCAATTTGTTTAATTAGTTGACTGTATATATACGATCGGCTATGAGCGAAATAAGAAAAAAAGGTTGTTACAAATACTGTACCGTTCCAAAATGTACGAGCACAACGATGACAACCCCTAATAAACATTTTTTCTACGTACATTCACATGCGCCGTCCATAATGGTATGAACTTATGGGCCTACCACACGCGCAAGCTTCACTACAGTTTTACCTGCGCAGGTAACACTGTGGTGAAGCTTGAACACGGACGAGGCTCCCGCACGGCACAATTAAGTACGCGCAAGCCACATTCTTGTCAAAATCGTCGTCGTGGAATCACAATGTTTCCCAATGAAGAACTATTTCTTCTGTTGTTATATTTTAAGGTTTTGTTAATGAAGAAAAAGATACTGCTAAAGTCTAAACGTAAACGATCGAAGTGGATGAACAAATGGTTCTTGAATATAAAAATTCACATATAAATCTACTGAAGGATTTAAAAGATGATTCAGACGACTGGCGAAATTATTTACGGAGGAAAGAAAATGCATATAGCTTGGTTACGCCTTTCATTCAAAGTCAAAGTACAGTTATGAGAGTATATCACCTCACGAAAGGCTGACCGCTACTTTAAGGTTCTTGGCTACTGGAGGATCATACCAAGATCTGAGAAATCTGAGAAAGGTTTCGTGATACAGAGGATTGAGGTCGTGATTGGCTTATTTTTTGTTGTGAATGTTGAGTTTGAAAATAGTTCTCTGATTGAGAGTATGGAGAGACTGTGGCTTGAACACTGAACACCCAACCACACGCACGGGCAAGTACGCGCAGGCCTGGCTTGCGCAGACAAAATTTCAAACAAATCAAAACTCTCGCAAGCCAAGGAACACCAACCACACACACAGTGTTCCATGTGCAAACCGGCCTGCGCAGGTAAAACTGTGGTGAAGCTTGCGCGTGTGGTAGGCCCATTACGCAGTACTCAATAGTTATCAACTGGAAACCACGTGTCCGAGCGCACAGGTGTGCATTATGAATTGTCTATAGACTAATGACTAAACGCACAGACGCTGTCGAACACCTACGCGACGAGACGCTGGGTACTAGAGAAGTGTCACGTCAGACGCGAACGCATTATGCGTCAAATTTAAGTATCAATTTCTCTGTCATTTATTGGCCGATTTCAATAATTTTTTCACTGGCTGATTATATTTAGTCTATATTTTGCTGGTATGTCATTACTTATGCGATTCTGAATATCACGAAACTTCTCCATTGTCACAATGGCATTTACTCTCAGAAACGATGCTTAAGAGATGAAGCGACATCTTCCTGAACATGAATGTTGTGACCAGCGCTACGGCCACCCCTCTTCCCCTGAGAAAGATTCCTAAATCCGTCCTTAGACATATCCCACCCCTCTTCTGTTATTTGCTCTCAGAAGCGCTGAAGTAAATGCTTAGGCATGCATATACGAGAGACTAATGTCAGCACGCATGCGGAAAGTCTGTCACTATGAAATATTCAAATTCAAATTTATAGAAGCAAGTTGAGCAAACACGTGCATTATATTTCTTTTTCATACGTCATACACCATTTTCTTGGCTATGAGTACCTATTAGTTTTTCTATTAAAAAACCGCTTCATAATGAACAGGGAATTTCTATTTGAAACGAAGTTGCGTTTATTGTAATTTTAACATAGCCAGGAAGGGACAATCCGTTGATGAATTTTTGGTGAGGTCCGCAAAATTCCTTATGTGCTGCTTTCTGATATACAGGGTGGCGCATCGAAAACGAAACAGACGCATTTACTCGTCGATTTTGTTTTCGAGGGGGACACAAGTTTGGCAAAAAATAACGTTAGCACGTGCAGCAAGCGGGGGTGACACCACCCAGAAAATCTTAAATGGAAAGGGGGGTCGAGTGATACCTTATTTTAAAGGTCTTCCAATTCCCTTTATAATGATATAAAATTAATGTACTTCAGTTCAGTAGTTTTGAAGATTTATTGATTTAAAGCTTAAATAAAACTAATACATCATCATTAGTGGAGATCAAAGTAATTTAAAAATGAAGAATGAACTGACCCGTTAGGCAAGTAAATGTTGAAAATGGCCACCATGACTCTCCATGCAATAATAAAGATTTTGCTCAAAACGTTGCCGCACATTTTGCAAGATTTGAGGAGTAATTTGAAGGCACTCATTCACTATTCTTTGTGGCAGGTCTTCTAATGATGTTGGCTGAGTAGCATAGATTTTGCTTTTTAAATGATCCCACATAAAGAAATCCAAAGGTGATAAATCTGGCGATCTTGGGGGCCATTCAATGGCACCTCTTCTACCAATCCATCGATCTGGAAACGTCTGATCCAAATATTGTCGAACACGTAATGCGTAATCTGGTGGGGCACCATTCTGTTGGAACATCAACCTATTCTCAATGTACCGCTGATCATTCTGATTTTCAATTATGGCTGTTAATGCACAGGTCAAATTTCCAGGTTAAGAAAAAAGAACCAACTAAATGATCACCAAAAATACCAGCCCAAACATTTAATTTTTGTGGCTGCTGCGTATGAACCTCATGATAAATTCTGGCATTAGAATCGGACCAATATCGGCAGTTATGACGATTGACTACGCCATTCAAGAAAAAGGAACATTCGTCGGAAAAGCAAGTGTTGAATAGAAAATGTTCATCGTTCAAAATCGTCTTCATTAAGTTCTTGTACCAGGTGAATTTTATATGGATGAAAACTATGGGCCTTTAGAATCCGTTGCACAGTACGTCGACTAACACCACACACAGTCTCCAATTTGCGGGTACTTAACGTAGGATCTACATAAACTTGCCCTAAAACCCCCACTTCTATTGCTTCGTTCTTTATGGGATTTTCAATGTTGCGTTTTTTATTGGCGACTGACCCAGTTTCCCGAAATTTAGCTACAAGTACAAGTTCTCATGTCGCTCATTAAATATTTCTGCTGTTGTATTAACGCACTGATTATTTCCGAAAAATATTTCGATAATTTCAACTCTTGGAATATACCATGGTTAATTTATGTAATAAAGCATTACAAGTTATTTTAGCAACAACGTTTGGTCAAATCAATCGCAAACTATGTACTAAATTCCTATTTAAAATAAGTACGAGATATTTCCTTATCTTTCTTCAAGAAATAACTTTTTTGCCACAAAAAAACGCTCCAATAGCTATTTTCAACAAAAAAATGATAAACAAACTATAGGCGTAGTGAAGAAAAGCATTTACTTATTAAGTAAGTTCTTTTAGCCAAATTTCTTCTGAAAGTAGTACAAACTAATCTGATGTACCTATTAAAGTCTACTTTAAGCTTTAAATCAATAAATCTTCAAAACTACTGAACTGAAGCTCGTGTATTTTACATCATTATAAAGGGAATTGAAAGACCTTTAAAATAAGGTATCACTTGACCCCCCTTTCCATTTAAGATTTTAGGGTTGGTGTCACTCCCGCCCAGGGGGCTGCACGTGTTAACGTGATTTTGTGCCAAACATGTGTCCCCCTCGAAAACAAAATCGACGGGTCTGAGCGTTTTTCCAAAAATAAACTGAGCTGCCAGTAAATGCGTCTGTTTCGTTTTCGATGCGCCACCCTGCATGTACTTATATGTGTTTATCTGTTTATGTTGCTCCAATTTGACAACTTCGTATAAACTACGATTTCTGTTAGGGATGAATAATCCTCACTGTTCATCTAGTTTTAACATATTTGATGCAATATAGCATTATTATCGAGCTTGCAACTTATAAGAAGAGCCAATAGCGTTCGTTATTTTATATTAAAACACCACCCATATTTTTGATTAACCATGCGACTTTGGCCCAAG